TTCAGTTATTCAAAAATGCTTCATAAGTGCCTTCCCCTTAATCCTGCCGTGTTGTCAAAATGTCATGTTGTCTCATTTTTTCAGAGAAGTTAATTAACCGAGTGACACATGGTGACGTAGTGACACCTTCAGTTCTTCAAAAATAATTAATTATTGAATAACCTGAAACCATTAACGTAAACATTATTTTTGGGTCATTTACACTCATTACGATGAAGTCATGACAAATCATTTTCGTAAATGTTGTCAAAATGTCATGTTGTCTCATTTTTTCAGAGAAGTTAATTAACCGAGTGACACATGGTGACGTAGTGACACCTTCAGTTCTTCAAAAATAATTAATTATTGAATAACCTGAAACCATTAACGTAAACATTATTTTTGGGTCATTTACACTCATTACGATGAAGTCATGACAAATCATTTTCGTAAATGTTGTCAAAATGTCATGTTGTCACAAACTTTAGAACGGCATAATTTAAATTTTTATTTTTATCATAAATGGATACCCCACAAGCTCAAAATTTACCACGAATCATAACAAGGGAGGAAACGATAAAAATGATGCGAGAACTTGCTAAAAATAACAAACCACTAAAACTGAGAAAATGTGGTTATGCAGTAATGATGGAAAGAGAGATGTTGTCAAAGAAAAATAAAAATTAAATTTGGATTGAGTTTAAAAATTCATCTTTATTAAATTCATCTCTTCCAATCAATTTATTTATTCTATTAAATTCTTTTATTTTTGCTTCACCCAGTTTAAGGATTGAACGGTAAGTTTCTAATTTTTCGATTATTTCCTTCTTCTCTTCATCGTTTTCAGTTCCATTAGTTTTATGGGCATCAGCCCCACCGCATTGGGGCTTCTTTTTGTAATAGCATATTTTTGATTTAATTCTGTTTAGTTTCTTTTTATATTCATCGTCAGGACTCTTGACTGCTTTGTTGTCACTCATTTCTTACGAAATAAAAAAAATTAAATATTATTTAAATATAATGGAGTAATAAAATAAATCGGAATTTCTATTAATTTATTGTCAACTTCAACTAATGCATTGCCGTTAATATATCTAACAAATTCAGCTATTGTGTCAAATCTTCGTCTTCTTTTTGTCATTGATTTATTAGTTTTTCCATAATCGAGATGAATCAAAACTTTATCCCCTTGTTTAAAATTCATGAGCCCCGAATTAATTTGTTCACGTTTAACATCATTTAACCTTTCCATTTGCTTTCTAATATATTCCCATTCTTTTGAAATATCATTTTTCATTTCCACTGGTTTCATGTTTATAGTTCTATGCCATGTATTATTGTAATAATATACTAACTGTTGTATGATGGAGTCATGATTTCCATCCCAGTATATCTGACCGTTAACCCCTAACGCATCTCTAAGAGTTCTCATTACCGCATCAACTATTTTATTATGAAACGTATATGGAGAGGATGAAAAGAAAAAATTAATTTGTGGGAAATAATGAGCCATAGCTGCCTGAAATCCTTTATCACCATCACCCCTGATATTATCTACTCTTTCATGATCTAGTAAGTATTGTATAGCTCTTCTTGTTTCCTGTTCTGTTTTCCCTTTCACTGGAATGCAATATAAATATCTAGTGTTAATGTTAATGGCAAATAAATAAGTAACGTTTCCTTTTGAATATTCCAGATGATCGATTTCGTATGAATATGGATATGGTGCAAATGAAGGGCGACTAAATTTTTCCTTTAATGGTTGAATTTTCGGGTCAATTGGTTTATTTAATATTTTGAAATCCTTTTTAAAATCTTTTTGCTTCTTTAATGTTTGAAATGGATATAATAAAGTGAATGATGAAGGATTAACTGAAGGAGGAGGCGGTACTGTCGTTGGAGGTTTTGGTGTTGCAAGTGGTTTAATTTTATCTGCTTTGATTTTGGATGATGAAGTTTTGGAATTCATTCCTCCCTTCATTAATTCTGGATGTATTCTATTCATTTGTTTTAAATATGCTGTATATAAAGGTTTGATATACTTTCCCGCTTCGAGTTTATGTTGAAGGATGAATTCCAAAAGTTGATCTTCATTTAAAAGTCGGGCTGAATATGGTTTAACTAATGAATCATAAATTAAAGCTTGTGCATCATTTATGGTCTGAAGAACCTGGGCGTTTTGTTCCTTTTGTTTTTGTTCCTTTGGCTTTTGCGGCTCAGGATTATATAATTTATATAATTCATCAATATCTTCTTCTGTTAATACTTTATTTTTGAAATCTTTCAACTGTTTAAGTTGTGATTTAATTTTTCCCTTTGTATATTCATTATTTTTAATTTTGTCTTTAATTTCAGAAATTATTTTATTATGATATTTCAAAATTTCATTTTTATAATACGGATAATAATAATCCATATCATCACCCGTTATATTGTTATCATGTTTTTGGAGATATGATTTTAATTCATAATAATTAAGAAAATTTTGATTAAGTACTAAATCATCAATTAAAATTTTTAAATCTGTGTTATCCATTTATATAAAAATAAAATAAATGTTTAAGGGTGCCCACCTCTTTGAATCATAGTATCAAAACCATTATTTACATATTGAATCCCATCATTAACGGTTCCTTCTTCTGAAAGTGTTTCATCTATTTCGCCATCTAATAAATTTTGTGTTGATTCTGAGACATAATTTTTATATCTTTCTTCATGAGATTTCTGAACTGCTGATTCTGAAGCTGGGATATTCATTAAACCCTCTACTTCATTTTCATTATATTTTTCAACTTCTCTTAATTCCTTAATTTTTTCATTTATTTCATCTCTTATTTTTTCCAGTTTTTCAATTTCATTGTATTCATCATCATCTTTAATTCGTTCTTCATAATATTCAGGGAAAACATCAGGTTCTTTAGGTTTTTCTTCTTCAGATGTGGGATATAAGAAATTTATAACATCATCTTTATTCATTTTTCCATCATAATCTAAATTATTTAATAACTCGGCAAATTTTTGACAATTTCTTAAATAATATTTACTAACTTCATAACACATCTCATCTAATATATCCTTTATTTCCTCGTTTGTGAATCCTAATTTTTTAACGTTGTTAGTTTTGACGCTCATTTCATACGAATTAAAAATAAATTATTCAAAAATGTAAGACATAATTTTTAAAGTTTATTTTTTATTTCATTATGGTAGTGAATCTTTTATTCATGAAAATAATTATTTCTAATTTCTTTTACTCTCTCGTATATACTAGATTTAAAGAATTCAGAACATTTCCCATAATCTCCTAAATGTTTTCTTATCCCTAACGTGTGCCAGTTATTATATGAAACTGAATAAACTTTATCTTTATCTTTACACCTTTCATCACTTCCATATATTTATATCTCAGTTTTGATTTAGCATTTTCATATTCATTAGCGTTTAATAATTCACAGTCTTCCTTTTTAAATTGATGTTTAAGATATTCAGGATTTAATACTCTACGTTTATATGCTCCTAACTTAGTTCTAAAGGTTTTTCTACAAAATTTAGGAATTCCATCCTCTTTAATGTCATCAATGATTTCCATTTCATTATTTTCAATTTCTTCTTCTCGTTTATGAGGTCTTTGATTATGACTCCATTGATTCCATGAAATTAAATATCTTTATCATTATATTTATACCTCATTAGCTTATTTTGGCTTTCATATTCATTTAATAATTCACAATCTTCATTTTTAAATTGAAGTTTAATCCATTCAGGATTTAAACAATGTTTAATTAATCGCGGAATATCTGACATCATCTATATATAGCTTCTTTTATAAAAGATAAAAAAATAAATTATTTTAAAATTAATGTTAATTTTTTAAAATGTGTTTAGTATATAATATTTATTACTAATTTATTTAATAATGTCGCGCTTTCTTACGAATTCATGACTTAAAAAACGTAAGAAAAAATTTTTATATCATCTATATATAGACGTAACAAAAAAAGTCACACAACCCTTCCTATCCTACTACTGTGATAACCAAAATCATGAAAATTAACAAAGCTTTTAGATTTATAAACGTAATGTCTCCCTATTGTTTTTCTGCTTCAATATTGAGTGGATCTCAATCAAAAATTTGAATAAAACTTTTTTCCATATTAAACTCTGATGCAAAAAGCGTAGGGGTCTCAATTTTCTGACGTTTACAATTTTTGATGGATGAGCAAGAGAATGACTATCAATAATGCGCTCTGTCGTCGCCTTCGATGCAATTGTAAAACTTATGGTAGAGCCCTAATTAACAAATAACAAAAATTCCTTAAAAAAATTATATAAAAATTATCGAATTTATTTTAAAACAGATATCACACCTCATCTCCAATACACATAGTAGCACATGTGAGTATGCGAAAAACAATCATGTGCTATTTGTCATATATCCAATATAAATTAAACGTTTCAAGGTTGCCCATGCAATTTTCAGTCCGAATAACAACAAAATTCTCGTATCCTATGCGCGTTTATTCGAAATTATAGTTCATTACCTCTTACTAAACGTTATTATCCCTTAATTTTATCAAAAATTTTTTAAATTAAGTTGATTTCAAGCTCAGAAGATTGCTAAGGGATTCTAAGGACCATATATGATCCATTTTTATCAGGAGCCCGAAGGATGAATTAATTTGGATTTTTATCCGAACAAAAAGTCTGAATTGCTTAAATTTGTTTCAACCTATATAACCCAATTATATTTTTAAATTTATTTGTTAAATAAAAAATTTAAGACTAGAATTTTGTGTCATAAAGCGTATGGGTAATCTGACACCCAAATTGAGAGAAACTCATAGAATTGATTGTATGTGCTAATTCAAAAAGTTGACTCAGCTCTACGCTTTTTGCACAGCAGTTTAGGAATTGCTAAAAAATATGTCATTTCATTTCATTTTCAATGTCATTAGTTCTAATGAGCGATTCGTTTCTTTTTAATATTAGTCAAAAAATTTTCTGACTTCATTTTTATTTTGATGGGGCATTTTCATGAGTTGTTCGACTTATGCAAGGATTATATTAGCATATATAAGAGGATTTATAAGCTAAATATCTTTGATGATGTCGAAATTAACAATTTTTATCAAGAAATCAAAAACAAATTAATTGCAACTAAAATTCAAACTCCCGATATTGTTCTTTCAAACGTTAATAGTGCAATGGAAAATAATAATTGTTATTACAAATCTTACAAAACGATCATTGATATGATTTGTAATGATTACGGTGTTAAATTTAGTCCATTCATCGATATAAAGGATATTCAGACCATGTCTGCAGACTTTAAAGCAATTCTTAATGCAATTATTAATGATGATATTGAAGCATTAAAACCATTCACAGAAACTGAAAATTTCAATGGAAATATTCTAATTAAAACTAAATTCTATCCATTAACAGAAAATGATGGATATACAATACTTGAATTATGTTGTTATCATGGATCAGTTAATTGCTTTAAGTTATTGAGAGCCAAATTTGACACAGAAATTTCAGAAACATCCTTTAACTTTTCATTTTTAGGAGGGAATCCAGAAATCATAAAAGAATGCTTGAAATTTCAAGAACCCGATGCTGGATGTATGGAATATGCAATAATTTCGCACAACATTGACTTTGTTACATATTTGATGAACGAGTATGAATTGAAGATTGATTTATACAACTGTATAGAATTCAATAATCTTGAAGCATATTTAGTTTATTTAGATCAAACAAATGATGTTAATTCATGCTTTGCTTCTACACCTTTATTTGGCATTACAGAATTAAATCAGTATTTGTTATCTCATGGTGCCGATATCAATTCAACAGACAGTTTTGGAGTATCAGCTCTTTATTATGCAGCATTGCACAATCGCAGTGATTATGTAGAATTTCTTGTAAATCATGGGGCAAATATGAATATACAAGATACCTGTGGCGTGACACCTCTTCAGTTAGCAATATTGGAAAGGCATTACAAAATCGCAACATTTCTGATATTACATGGCGCAGATGTCAATATACAAAATATTGACGGAGACACTGCACTCCACCTTGCAGTACGGTTTAAATTAAAAGACATTGTAGAACTTATTGTTTCACATGGCGCAGATCTAAATATCACAAATGAAAAAGGAGAAACCGCTCTTCAGTCGACATAGCAGAGCTTCTTGCTAGTGAAAATAAAGAAAAATAAATATTAAAGTTATACTTGAAATATTATTTAATAATAAACCTTTATAAATGATAATGTATTGATATTTTTCAAAAAGATGTATACCAGCAGGTATTAGAGTGAATTTTCATTATTATCAAGGAAAAGTTTCTTGAAATTGAAACTTTGTTTCATATTGTCATACCATTTGCCTTTTACTGAGTCTGTATTACTTATTCCTTTAAATAAGGCAATTCTCCATCTAAAATTTTTCAAATAAAAAAAATTTTGAGCAAAAATAACGAGGATGGCTGAAAACCCTGAATTTCAAGTTAAACCGGACATCGAAATCAACGGGGACGAAAGTCCAGATGAATCTAAAATCTCCTCTTCAGAGTCATCTAATAAACAAAAAAGCAGGCATAATTCAAAAAATAATTCATCGATACTCGAAGAAGAATCAACTGCGGACAATACCAATACTTCTGATTCCCCGCCAATACCACGAATTAAAGAAACAATACAAAATAAAATCATAAAACCGAATTCTCCGTTATATTCTTCAACCCGAAAGAGCCGTAATTTTTCATCAGAAAGTGGAAGATCATCTAATGCATCAGAATGCTCTTCGTCTTCTCGAAATTCAGTTCGAAAACAGAATGCTATGACTTCTCCTCCTCCAAAATCTTCTGAAGACTCTTCAACGAAAGAAGATAAGGTGGTGGCATACAAGCAACTCATTGAAAATCGTAAAAAGCCTCCTATTACTTTAGCAGCACCTGTACAACAAATGTTACATCGTTCATTTGTAAATGCTCTCAAGAATGAAGATTATGTTGAAGGTATGAGGATTAGTACAGCATTAAAGATCAATAGCGAGCTAATGGAGCAGGAATACGAGAGTCAACGGATTCAATCTCGAAATGATACATACAAATCACGTTTGGAGGCAGCTCAAAATAGGTTAAATGCTAAAAAGAGTGAGTGGAATAATATAATTCAGAGTTTTGAACAAAAACAAAAGCAAAAAAGAGAGAAATTAACTCAAAAACATGAAAAAGAAGAAGAGGAGTTCGAAAAACAATGGGGAGATGCCAATAATTTGAAAGATTTTAATAAACCTTCTCCTAGTTTAATTGGTATTAGGAGAATTCAAAAAGAACTTGCAATGACTGGAGAATTTGAAGATGCTTTGCAAGTAAAACAGATAGCCGATGGATTAAAGGAAAAAGAGATCCAAGATGCTGAACAAAGAGCACTTGTTGCAATGTTAATCGCTCATGATAAATTAGAAGAAAAGCATAAAAAAGAAATTTTATGTTTTGAAGAAAAACAGCGTCAAACAGAGCTATATATCAAAGGAGAACAGTATAATGAACTCCATCCGCTTGAAATGCTCATTAAACAGCTTCAACAACATTTAGATTCTTCGAAACCTCCTAATTTAAGGCCAACAAAGCCAAGATTTGTATCAACTGCAAGGACGAGATCAGCAGCATGCGAGAGTTTCACGATGCCTCCTAAAGATACAAAGACTACAATAGAAATGAACGAATATCGTTTTAATAATGAACCAGAAAGATTAGAGCTTAATGGATTTGATGTTAGAAATCTAATGAGAATGCCAAAGTCTACAATGAAAGCATGCATTAGAAGAAAATGATTTTATTCAAATCAGAAAATTTGTTTTGTTTATTTTTTTAAGATAAAAACTATGTTAATATGAAGATAAAAATATATCTATTATAGAATTATATTTAACTTAATATGCATTTTTGATTTTTGAATGAGACTTTTATTATGATGTGATATGTATGCTATATCATAAAACCGAAATGTCACAGATAAGTATGTGATATTGCATTTGACAATTTTAAAGAATCAAATTCATGATTATGATATAGCATATATATCGTGTTACTTTAAATTAATTTGCTTTTCAAAGGGTTAGAAGCATTCATATGAATGAATATTGTGTATTTATTTTGAAATAAAAATGAAGATCAAATTACAACATTTTTATTGGGCTCTCAAATATAAAATTATTATCAATATCATTTTAGAATAGATTTTTCTGTTATAAAAACAAATGTTGGGAAAAATCATTCAAAAACTAATTTTAGTTTTATATGGAGGAAATAAAGCTATCAGAGCTTAAAGAGATAAGTAAGGATTACATTAATATATTTATTTCCCTATATAGAATGAACTCATTCGATGAGAACGAAATTAAAGCAATTTACGAAATGATTAAATGCAAATTAATCGAAACAAATACCGTTTCGGCGACAGAGATCCTCACAGAGATAATATATGCATCAAAATACAATAATCAATACTTGAAAACATATTGGGTATTATTCAAAATGATTTTTGAAGAATATCAAATTAAATTCAAATTCGATTCTGATGTTTTTAAGTATTTTGTTATTCAAGAGTATAAAGTCAATGATCAAAATATTGATACAAGCAATGGATACTCATTAGATGTACATGAAAGAGATACTATTTATAGAGCAATTATGGAAGATGATATTGAATCATTTAAATCATTCACAACAAGAGATGAATTTGATATAAATCAAAAGCTTGAAAGTAAGCTATATCCGAAATCAAAGAATGGACTTTCATTTCTTGAATTGTGCTGTTATCATGGCTCGATTAATTGCTTTCGTTTTCTAAGATCTGAGTTCAAGTCAAAGATTACACCTGAGTCACTCCAGCTTTCATTTTTGGGCAAGAATGATGACATATTGAAGGAATGTTTGAATACAATTTTGCCAACTCAAAAATGCATGAAGTATGCAATAATTTCGCATAATGTTGAATTAGTATATTCCTTGGTAAAAGATTATAAATTAAATATTGCAGTAGAAGATTGTTGTAAGTATAATAATGTTGCAGCATTCTTTCTATATTTATGGAACCAAAACTATCCTGTTCCGATCTGGTTTGCATACTCCGTATATTTTAATATTGCAGGTCTTTGGGAGTATTTTGTTTCAGATGGTGCAGATGTCAATTATCCATATCAATATGGAATTACTGCTCTACATGAAGCTGTAAATAGTAATTGCTATAAATTAGCTGATTACCTTATTTCTCATGGAGCGGATGTTAATGCGAAAGACAACTATGGAAAGACTATTCTTCACGTGGCGGCATTTCAAAACGATGTTGAAAAAATACGATATTTAATTTCGAACGGAGCTAATGTTAATGCAACTGACAATAATAAAAGAACTCCACTTCATTATGCAGCTAAAAATTGTCGAAAAGAAGCATTTGAGTTCCTTATTTCGCATGGTGCTGATGTGAATGCAAAAGATGAATATGGATTAACCCCACTTCACGATGTATCAAGTGCTGGAAATGTGGATTATGCAAAAATACTTGTTTCAAGTGGAGCTGATGTAAATCAAAAAAATAGCGTAGGATGGACAGCAATGTATTATGCAGTAGTTAATCAACATATAAGAATTGCAAGACTTCTTGCTTCATACAAAGCAGATGTCAATACCCAAGACGTTCAAGGTAAATCTCTTCTTCATTGGGAAACAACCCATTTTAATAAAAAAGTTTTTGAAATTCTTATCAAGAACAGGGCTGATGTTAATGCAAGAGACAATGATGGATCATCTGTCCTTTGCTATGCAATACGTTCTAAATGTACTGAAATGGTCTCGTCTCTATTGTACAATGGAGCATATCCAAATGATCATATTAACGGGAAAACTGCTCTCCAATATACAATTGAAAATGGTTATATTGAAATGGCCAGAATGCTTGTTCATTATGGAGCAGATATTCCAGATAATTTTGACTTCGAAAGTATTGGTCTTGGTGATGCATTAATGAGTTGTTATATTTAATGTTATTTTCAACAATGAATGAGAATTAGTTCATTTTTGATAAAAGTAAACATTCTAATTTTTTAATAAAAAAGTGTCATCAAAAAAAGAGTGTACGTTTAAAAATGGACAAGCAACGACTTGATAAGATTCTTGAACTTCTTTGGGTATGCAAATTACCAAACTTAGAAGATACAAAGTATTTGCTTACCCTTGGGCAGCAAGTTCTTATTAAAGAACCAAATGTTTTAAAGTTACAATCACCAATTACATTATGCGGAGATATTCACGGACAATTTTACGACCTTCTTGAACTTTTCTCTGTTGGTGGTCATCCACCTGAACAAAATTTCTTATTCCTCGGAGATTATGTAGATAGAGGTTTTTATTCTACAGAAACATTCTTCCTACTACTGGCTCTTAAGGTTAGATATCCAACCAAAATGTTTTTAATCAGAGGAAATCACGAAAGCGAACAAGTTACAATGGACTACGGTTTTAAAGAAGAATGTAAAAGAAAATACACGGATGAAACTATCTATAACTTATGCCTAGAAGCGTTTAATGCGCTTCCACTTGCAGCAGTTATCGATGGTGATGTTTTTTGTGTTCATGGTGGTCTTAGCAAAGACCTCAAAACTGTCGATCAATTGAATGACATTGACCGAAATATGGAACCGCCTGAGTATGGCCTCTTTTCAGATATATTATGGTCCGATCCTGATGAGAAGATTAATGGATTCGAAGAGTCCCAAAGAGGAGCTGGCTACTTATTTGGTGGCGATGTTACAGCAGAATTTTTAAAGAATAATAACTTAAAATTCATGTGTAGAGCACATCAAGTTGCACAAGACGGATATTACAAATGGTTCAATGGCCTTTGCTACACAGTTTGGTCTGCGCCTAACTATTGTTATAGAGGCGGAAACCTGGCTACTGTATTCGAAATCACAAATGCGGACAAAACAAAGTTTAAGGTATTTAGAGAAGCTCCTGCATGTGCTAGAGGAAAGCAGCCAGATTCAATGTTGCCGCAATACTTTGTTTAATTTCTGTTATTTTGTTATTATAAGTCATTAATAAATGTTCTTGATAATAATATATTGAATTTCCTCAATAGCCCTTCAAATATGCTAACAATGTATCAAATGGCTTGTACTTACTATTATAAAAAATGATATTTATAAAATATGAATATATTACCTTTGAATCCTTTGATATTTTAGCTACCATTTCAATAGATATGGATATTTTATTGTAAATATTGATGCATATCAGAGTAACTACTCATATTCTTTGAAATCAAAAAATTATCTAGGTCAAATGGAAATTTAACCACACTCATTTTTTATATTGTCAGCTTATGATTTATATTTATATATCGTATTAGTCATAATGACCAAATAAGAATGCCAAAATTAGAAAGAACGCATAATTCCCAACTATTTCATATTCAAATGTGTTCCAGATACTAGATAATAGTCCTTTATTACCATATGCCAAAAAAAAATCGGCTTTGTAAACTCAAATGAAAGGGGAAAGTAAGCCGATTACGGACCCATCTGGCCGCTTCGAAAAGATTGATGTGGCGTTATCAGTCCATAACAATGTCATTTGCTTTAAATCATTTGACAGAGAAAATGGTCTAGAAGTTTCATGGTATGAAGTTGATTGCCAGAACTTGAACGATAAGCAGAAATTCGCTCTCGAGCAGCGCGCTCAAGTTGTGAAAGGATTCAAAAAAATAAATCTCCTCTCAGTTTTTGCTTATTGGTTTAATTCCGAAAGAACAATCTTTTATTTCATTACAGAATCAGTTAATTCTAAATCTGTCTTCGACCGAGTTAAACGAGACCAGCCATTAAGACCCCGTGCAATCGTTCGTTGGCTTGGCTCAGTTCTCCAAGCTTTAAATTTCTTACATACCCAGCAGACACCTTTTGCCCACAGCCGTATTGAATTATCTTCAATATTCATCAAGCAGAGTCGTCAAGTTCTCATTCCTCCATTACTTAATCCGGCATTGCTTCGTCCAACCTCGAATCAAATCAGAATTCGTTATACCACTCCTCCGGAAGCTTTGATTAATCAGGTATGCCCAGCTTCCGATATTTGGGGACTTGGCATTGCAGTTTTATATTCTACAACATCAGAACAACCATATTCAGAATGTACATCACCATATCAGTTTATACAGAAATTGCGTTCATTTACCCCTCCAGCTAGCCTTCAGAAAGTTCAGGATGTCTACTTAAAGAACTTCATCGAGCAATGTCTCAAGCCAACTGACCAGAGACCAACAGCGGCAGATCTTCTTAACCACCCGATTTTCCAGCAGAGTTACGAAAACCCATCGCAAGATCAGCCTTCAGATATTCAAGTAGAAATGCTTATAGAACAGAAGGCCACAGCTAATCCATTTAGCTCGGCTGGAGCAATTGGACAGATCAATTCTACAATTCCATTATCTCGTGGTGACAAAGTTACAACATCTACTCCTCACATACATAACATCAAATAATTATAATGTTTTATATGATAAATTTGTTTTGGATTTTTGAAATATCTCTATTACTTAATAAAAAATATGCTCTTTTCATCTTTACAAAAAATTATTTCTCATTTTCCCAAATTTTTTTCTCTAAAATTGGATTAATTCGTTCTGATTTTTTAATTCTTTATGTGATGCTTGGCTGAAAATACGATTCCCTTCTTTTTTACAAATTGTCAATTTGGGGGTTCACCAAAACCAATATGATTAAGTTATTCAGCATTTTGGATAAATATATGAGATAATTATGGATAATGGCAAAATTATTTTTCAAATCAAGATTTCATGGATCATGACTTTGTGAGGAACAGTCGTGTTATGTTGGCACTTGGGAAATCAACATTTGAAAAACTTTCGCAGTATAAAGTTCTTATTGTCGGATTATCTGCCGTTGGCTCTGAAATCATCAAAGATCTAGTCTTAATGAATGTTGGAACTATAGATGTATTCGATCAGCTATTAGTTACAGAAAAAGATGTAGGATCTAACTTTTTTGCACGTAAAATAGATATAGGAAAACAAAGAATTAATACAATTTTGCCAAGACTTCATGAACTTAATGAGAATTGTAGTATCAAGTCTTTTCCTAGGCTTCCTGAAATATCTGAATTACAAAATTATCATTCAGTTGTTATTACTTATCCGATTTCGTACAAAATACTATTAGAATACTCTGAATATTGCTATTCTCATAATATTATGTTTATATGCTCATCTTGCCTTGGTCCAACTGGTATTTTCTACGAATCTTTTACATCAAAATTTATTGTCACAAATCCTAAAGGAAAACACCCATTTAAACATGCAATTAAATCTATGTCATATTCCAAAAATAGTACTCTCTACCTTAGAGATGAAGAAGTTTTCCTTCAGTCTGGACAAAAAATTAGATTTGAAAACTGTGAAGCGTTGCCAGCTCTTAATGGGAAAGAAGTTACTCTAGAAGCTAACAAGAACAAAAATATCACTTCAAGATGCACAGGAATCAATCTCAAAGAAATTGGTCAGTGGGACCAATCAAAATCAGGCGGATTCATAACAGAAGTAATCAAACCTGTTGAAATATCTCATAAATCGTTCAAAGATTCATTAGATATTGATATTGGTGAAGATTCAATCCGAAAAATTTTTATTAACATCTGCCGATCATTTGATAATCAAGAGGAATCAATAACATACACAAATGAATACGATTCTTCAGAAAACAATTATAAAAATTTGCATATCGCATTTGAATACGAATATCCTCCAATCGCTGCAGCAATTGGTGCTGTTTCGGCACATCACGTGATAATGTACTGTACACATACCTATTTACCTCTGAAAAATCAGTGGTTTATCATCGACCAAAGAAGAATTTTGCCAAATAAAGTCCAACCACCGAAAAATGACAGATTTGACAGTGTCAGATTGACAATAGGTGATGACTCATTTAGCAGAATTCGTAAATCATGTATTCTTATGCTCGGTGCCGGTGCAATTGGCTGTGAATACGCGAGATGTCTAAGTTTACTTTCTCCTGGAAAAATTATAATTTTTGACAATGATAAAATTGAACCTTCCAATCTGACACGACAGTTCTTGTACAAGAAGTCGAGTGAAGGCCAGTACAAAGCTGCTGTTTGTGCAGATGCAATCAGAGAAAATAATGAAGAAATCGTTGTCGAAGTCAAAAATGAACTTTTCAACGAAAAAACTGCCAGAGAATTGAATTTGAAAGAGCTTGATGCAATTTTGTCTGGTGTTGATACTGTAAAAGGTCGGAAATTTGCTTCTACACTCTGCAGACTCCTCAACATTCCTTTCGTCAACTGTGGAAGTGAAGGAGCAAATGCAGATGGACAAATTATTTGGCCAAACAAAACAGGAATGTTTGAGGCGAATTACGGAGATAACAACGACGAAATAGTTTTGTCTTGTACATTGAGAAGTTATCCAACAAGTCCTATTCATTGTATACAGCTGTACAAACTACTTTTCGATGAAGAATTCCTCAAAATTCCAAATTTGTCTCTCAAAAAAGAAAATTTGGGAAATTCTGAAGAAAAAATTTACAATTTTGTCAAAGAAATTCCGAAATCATATAATGATTGCTGCTTGTGGGCAAGAGTTTTCTTTGAAAGAGAAAATGTTTGGAACATTTCAGATGGTTTCAAAGAAAATGCTGCTGTTTATGATCCAAACAACAATTTGCATCAAAAAATAATTCAAACTTTGTCAGTTATGAAAGCAAATCTTCATCAAATTCATTTTACAGATGAAGATGTCAAAATGTCACCTTTTAATGTACCTTTGAAGGTAGAATTACCGAAGGTTGAAAAGGAAATTCACTCAAACAAAGAGTGGCATGAAATGAGAATGAAAATTTCTGATAATTTAACTGTCAAACCGTTTGAATACGATAAAGATAATATGACAAATCTGACATTTATTTGGTCGATGTCAAATGTTCATGCAAAAGTCTACAGGCTTCAAGAGATATCTATGTTGGAAGCACTAAAAGTTTCTGGTAATGTTGCTGCAACAATTGCAACAACAGGAACTGTTGCAGGATCAATTTGTTCTGAGTTATTGATTGAAACATTTTCAGAAAGAATTTGTCAAATTTTTGATGAAAAGAAACGAATTCCAATGAATTTCTCTGTTGATCTAGAAACAGAACAAGAAATCTCATTCCATTCTTCTGTTCCTCAGATGAGATTGGCGAGAAAAGTCTATGTCAATCCTTGGGAGCCAGTTTTCATCGAAGATAATCCTGTTATTTTGGATTTGATGGATTCAATTGATGAAAAATATTCCACTGACTGTTTGAGTCTCAAATTGGAATATGATGGAAGTGATTATGTCTTCCTCGAAGAAGACATGGAATCTCCAATTAATGATGTAATTATAAAGAGATTAGGAATGCCAATTCTCGGACAAATTCCTCTCATTCCAATTTTGAATGAAAGAGCTGCAAAAACACCTTTATTTATTGTTAAAATTAAAAATTGTTAGATTGTTATTTAAAAATGAATGGTTTTTGAATTATTTTGAAGCAACTAAGGCGGATTTATTGATGCTAACATTTGTAAACTCTATTATAGAATATTCAATGAAATATTGATTGATAATAAAGATTCTTCGGGATAGTAGTTTTTATCAAATCTATCAGTTCAATGCTCAATCTTTACATTTTTCTCGACAATATTAAGGGCGCACTTATGCCCCTATGACATGGCTTTCAATTCAGGTGTTTAAGGTTAATTTTCAATGACGCTTCACGCCGGTTGTCAAAAATTTGAATTAAAGTCAGATGGGCGTAAGTGCAGCCTTAAAGGATAAACAGTTCCTTTTTGCATAATATTTGTCGTATTTATGATATTGATTGATCTTAGATGAAACTAATGAGATTATTCGATCAAAGATATATTGAAATTGGTTTGTCAAACTATAATAATTTATAATGAAAAATAGGTTTGATTTACATAAAGGGATAGATAATAAACAGTTTATAAAATTACATAACAAGGTTAGTATTAATATTCAAGTTAATATTAGGTGGTCTTGCGTAATATAATATGACATTATTTCCATGTTGTGGATTGAAATTGCCAATAAACGATGTAGCGTCATCTATTGACTTAAACTGGAGCATGTTATTCTCCTGAATATACTCAGCACCAGATATTTGTGCATAAGCCTGTAAATTGATTGCAGGACGTGCACAAACATATTTTGATGGTGCCCACATGTCAACGAATGTTTGTAAGTCAGGATCATCCTGTTGGTAATCGAACTCCTGGTAATCATGTTGTGACTTGATGTCATTTGATTCTGGATGAACATCACGACGTGAGGATAATTATACTGTCACTTTTTTACCGTTAAAAACCATTCCATTTATATTTGTCATTGCGAGTCTTGCATAGAAAGCATTTCTCATCTGAACATATGTCAATACTTCGTTCTGTTTTGTCATCACTTTGACTTTGAGAACAGCTCCGTACTGTTGGAAGATGTTTCTAGCGAAAGTTGCCTGATTTGCTGGTAATCCGGTAACTGTCAATGAATTTCCATAGGCAGGATCGAACTGTACTGGTCTAACAAAGTCAAATGATCTTGGGATCTCGTTGCAGGACTCTGGCTCAAAGTATGGAACTTCATTTGTTAATCCTTCTCTTAAAAGCTCGAATTCATCAAGAGCTCCTGGAACAGTGAAGTCGAAACTCTTTGAATTGTTGTACTGTATAACAATATTTGTATTCTTTGAGTATTGGACACGTAATTCAAAAGATGGAGCGTATCTGTTTGGAATGGAAAGGTTTGCGAGAACAAGAGCAGCTTGATCTACGTTTTCCATCTGTAAAAGAGCATATTTTCCTTTCTTTTCGAAGCAGATAATCTTTTGAACAACTCCAAAATGAGAGCATTCATCGTAAATGTCGTGAATTCCTAAGTAACAGCGTAAACGGATGACTTGTATGCAAATAACTTGCGATCTTACCATTTTCTTCTGAGAAGGTGTTGGAGAAACAATGGAAGGAATTGGAGAAATTGTAGCTGTTGCGCGGATTTCTGGAATGTAGTACTTTTTGTCACTAACAAATCTTTGAGCTTCTGCTGCAGTTGTGAATTGAACTAATCCTTGATTGCCAAAGAAGAAAGTTCTTTCAATTCTGTAATTCTTGAAGTATTTAGAAATTGTTGACCAATTTGTTCCTTTTTCTAAGTCAATGATGCTTACAAGTCTGTGATCATTGTTTTGTCCTGGAGGAAAGTTCCATGGCATAGCAAGGATGCGAGACATTGATTGCAATGAATTCGTACCGTAACACTCACAAAAATTGAATCACGTGAAAAGTTGCTCCAACTTGATGTATATAAGAAAAATTAATTGTAACGAAATATAAGATCTAGGAAATACTTAATCGAGATAATTTTTTTACTTTTGAATATGTCATACAAAATATTGAATGGGTTGTAGCCAAAATTGAAAAGAATGTTGGCTGATTTTCGGAGCAAAGATAACTAAAACGATGATGAGATTTTTGAATTAACCCCATTAATTCAAAATAGAAGATGCGAGTTATTATGTTTAAAGCTAAATACTCTAAAAAATTGCGATGATGAAATTTTTTGATTTGATTCCTTTGATTTCCAGATAAATTTTCCATTTATAAAATTGTCAAATAACAAAGCACATAATTCAATAAAGGCTCTTTGATTTCTAGATCTGACAAAGGATTTTTAATTTACCGTATCTTAATGAAAAATCAATATGTGTGTAATCATTTATAGCTACGGGCATTATAGTTTCATATATGTTTTTTAAGTTTTTGCAATTTGTAGAGAGAAATTTCGTATTTCGAATTCTGTGTTAAGAAAATCTTCCACTTAATGGTATAATCATTTAAAATAGGATTAAAATATATAAAAAATTTTATTAATTCGCGCTCAAGCTTCAATTGGAAGAATCTTTGCGGAAAGTTGTGTGTAATTAGCCTTTCTGCGGCGGCAAATAACAATGCAAAGGACAGTTACAACAATCATTACAAGAACGAATGCTGAAACTCCAATAATAATCCACATATTTCTAGAATTAAATGCTGGCTTCTTTCCAGCAAATCTAGACATGAATTGGAAGAAAGCATCAACTTGTTTGTTGGATGTCTCGATCTTAATTGATTCTCCAACGGTGTGAGCGTTAATAATATCAGAGCCAATGTTAATAACAGAGGCATTTATGTATCCACGGACAGCAAATCTTCCAGCTTCTGTACCGGCGTGGAAGAGAACTGGTTTAATTGGATGTCTGTTAACATTTTCGTAAGCAGCCATAAATTCTTTGACAAGTTTCGAATCCTTGTTGTAGAACCATGGTTCACTGGTCAAATGTTCAATAATGGCATCAATTCCGTGGACTCTCTTAAAAGATGCCATTTTCATTCTCATATAATCAAGATGTCTCTTGATATGTGTACGTGGCATGATGTGGTAAGTTGTATTTGCGATGTTTTCGCCTTGAACTAAGTCAATTCTTGCGATATTTTCTGATGTATAAATTTGAGTATCAGAAAAGTAAACAATTCCATGATGTAAAGCAAAAATGGAATCAATAAATTTCTGTGATGATTCCTTTGATAAGCATTTGAGTGTTTCTTGGTTCTTATGTGAATTAAAACTGAAATTCAACTGTCCTGTCTTTCCTGGATATTCCTGTTCGATTAATTTGTATTCTTCTGTTATAACATCCTCTGGTTTCTTCAATCCTTCCTTTGATGCTTCCAAAAGTAATGTAATTTTGCCATGATTTGGTAAAACATTGGCTGCATCACCAGATGTGTAGTTAACTACATAGTAATCGTAACCTTCTTGTTGTAACTTGGTTAATCCTCTAATGAAATACTCTTGTGGAGTGATTCTGCCGTTAATCATGTTCATTCCTGAATGTCCGCCCAACATGTTCTCAATTTTGATGGAGAAATACTGGCCATCGGACTTTTGCTGGTTTTCGTAATGACCTCTGAGTTCGAAACGAATAGATCCGGCAGTTCCTGATGCCATTTTGTCGGAATCAAAGAAATCGATGTTAACAATTGAATTTGCACGTAATCCATGGGTTGTATTCTCTGGGCCTGGAAGGAAATTCATTCCAACTAAGCCAATCTCTTCATCAGAAGTAAAAAGTAATTCTAAAGGTCCATGAACGAATTCGTCGCGTTTTTCTGCGATGAGAAGCATGAGTGCTGTAGCAAAGCCATCATCAGCACCTAATAATGTCTCTGTTGCTGTGAACCAATTTTCTCCATTGATTTCATTTACTTTAACGCGGTATGGAACATCTTCGGCAGATGCATGAAGAGCTACATCCATATGTCCTTGTACGCAAAGTGTGTCAATGTTTTCGTAGCCTTTAGTTGCTGGAATTCTTGCTAAAACATTTGGACCGTCATCGATTGTAATATCCTTTTTAGGAATTCCGACTTCTTCGAGCCATTTTACAGTGGCATCTGTAATTAAATCATGGTGACGAGATTGACGTGGGACTTGAGAATACGCAAAGAACCATTCCCAGTATCTTTGATATTGTTTTGGAACAGCACTCCAAAGATGGTTGTAAAAAGATACATTTAAGTTTGCTTTGACTGAATAAACAGCAATAGGAGCAAAGAAAAACATATGAAATAGTTTGATAAAACCAATAAAAGTGACAAAATGAAGATAAGGATAATCTTCTAATTTTGCTATAAATATGTAAAGATAAAACTTTGAGTCTGATCAGTTTTTTTGAGCGATAAATATGATTTAAAAATTGGTGCGTATATGTACTCAATTTTTCTGAAAATTTTGTATAAATTCGGATAAATAAATAAAAAATCAATTCAGATCATTTTGATACAATCAAAGAACTAAATCCGCTATGTAATATGCTATTCCTAAATAAGTCAAATACTTTAAACTAATGAACTTTGCCTATTTGATTTGCTTGAGAATTTCATGAAAATATAATTGGAATTTATCGAAACAACTAATAAGTAACTGTTCATAGATTGTATGAGTCATTAGCTAAATGATGGCTTTCGAATATGAAGTATGAATATGATTGAATTAAGACAGTATTTTATATAACACCCACACTTTTGATTTATGAATCTTCACCAAATTAGCATGGAGATAGATTTGTTTGTATTCGGTATTAGTATACAAATTATATACCTGAGAGCAGATTCGTACATATAGCTATAGGAAATCTTTTTAGATTACGAGACAGAAGCATCTAAGCAATCCCATAAATTGGAAGCCCTAAAACTCAGAAAAAATTTGCCATATTTTTTCTCATTGAAATTAAACATAAAATAGGGGGGAAAATATTAATATAAAATATATTCAAACATTTACGAAATCTGATATATCCATATAAGGATATAAATTTTCACAAAATAAAAAAATATAACTTTTAATTGTCGAGATCGTATATAGGCTTTGGTTGATCATCGACATCAACGATAATTTCATTATCTGCGTCTTCTTCTTTTTGTTCTTTAGTCCTAGAAATGAGATCTTTATGGTATTCTTCTGCAACAGTTCCTCTGATGCATTTGGAGAAGTAGAAGTAGTAAACAAGAAATGCAGCAATAAGGAGAACCAAAATAACAATAAGAAGTATAATAAAAACGGTAACTTTGTTGTATGGAGTTGTATTTACGTTATTGTATGTTGGAGCTGGAATTTCTGTTGAAGAATAATATACAAATGGAATTTGTGTCTTACTAAAATCATTTGTACGTCCATTTAAGATTGAATCGATATCTTCTATATAATAACCGCAAGAATCGTATAAAATACCAATATTTGACGTTTGTTCACTATTAAAAAGTGAATTTACGAAATAGAGAACTCCATATTGAGCACTTCCGAAATTTCCGGAAATTGAAGTAAAAACTGAGTCAGAAATCCTCCAAATACCAGATGTACATACAGCAGCGTCGGAGGTTGTGTTAATAAAGAGTAAATTGTTGACATTGGACGTTGTTGGAGTGCCAGATAAATATAAAATGTTAATTCCTCTGCATCTCAATGAATAGCAGTATGTAATCGTTATCTTTTGATCTACATCGCAATATGCAGTTGATCCGCGGTTAATAACTGTGTTATCCGTGAAATTATTTAAATTTAATGTTAATTCTTTTGCTTGAAGGTATAAAGCACCATCTGATCCTGGAAATTGACTAAATCCAGTTCTTTCTCCTGTTATTTTTTCTATGTTAATGTTCGTATTTGATAGAGCATTTAAAATTGAGCCGTAAAATGATGATGTTTGGAAGAAATAAGTAGATACTATGTATATACTATTATGGTTTGTAATGTACATTAATCCTGATGAAGCATTATTGTTTGTACAAAAACAATCATGAATAATGCATGATTGTAAATCAAAACTATCAGCGATACTGGTGATTTGGAATAATACTCCGGCTGATGCCCTGTTTATGTTCTGGAAAACGCTAGATATTACTGAATTACTACTATCTGCTAAATATTGCGAAGCTGTAAATGTTTGGCTAGTTAATGTAGTTGAATCATATATAACTGGTCCTAATGAAGAGCTAAAATGTGATTTTTCTATTTTAAAATGTCGTGTTTGATAAAGTATCGAAGAAAATTGGAATTTAAACATTGAATTCTGGATTTTTATATTCTGCTTGCCTGAGAACATCGGTGAGGAGCTACCAATCAAGCTTGAAAAGGAAAGAATTGTTCTATTCATTATGTTTTTAATTTTTTGTCAAATTTCAAAAATCTTGTTTGAAACTGGAAAGAATTATGTTCTGTCTGTTCATTAAATGTAATTAGATTCAAGAGTCTGTTATATTACTTGATCCTAATAGAAGAAACTCTCAATACTTAATAAAGAGATTAACTTCAAAGGATTTGGATATTTGAAACTTCCCAAAGCATCATTCATTCAATATCATACATTAAGGAATAAAAATAATATAAATTATGCTAAGAACTATAGATATTGTCCATTATAAAAAAAAATCGATTAAATTTCTTAAACAGTTTACAATAGCAAGCAAAATAATATATATCATGAGTATGGGTATACTAAAACTATCTTCTGAGTTGAGTAATTCTGAGAATATAAAAAATAATAAAATAATAATAAATAAAAGCAATTCTGTGCAGTAATTTTGTATAGCAACTAGCGAAGATGTATCTTTCTATGTTAAATTATGCAGATTCTTCATATGAATCTTCATTCGATATATTATCGATGATTTCATCATTTTCTGCAACCTTAGCAAACTCTACTTGTTCTGTAAGTAAGGTATTTCGTGTATAATCAGTTGCTTCCTTAAGAGCTTTTGATTGACCGCGCATAAAGATAAGAAGATTAGTAACATACAAGCCGAGTACTAAGAATGTAATGATAAATCCGTAGAGAGTCTTCTGAGCAATTGTTCCAATAATTGTCATTATCCAAAGAGCAATTTCAATAAAGAATGCAATCCAGAACACATTCGATTCGAAAACTTTTGGTACATATGGAGCTGATCTATTTGAAAATTGTAAGATTTCATCTGAGCTTGGATCGAAAAACCATTTAATTCCAATAAGTTCAAAGCCGATTTCATTCTTAACTAGAATAAATTCGATAACTTCGAGAATTAAAAAGAATATATAACTGATATCGTTAGAATATATTTGAATATGAGGACAAAAGTATACAATTATTGGTAAAATCTGTGTTATCAAATAGATAAATACTGGATATGATTGAACAATCGAAATTTCGCCGTCATCATGAAATCCGAGTTCTCGATTATTCACAATCATAATGACACCTTTTTATAATGAAATTTACTTTTTATAATTACACTTCAATCAGGTTTTTATCATTGAATACATTTATAAATCAACAATATATTATGGAAATTAAAAAAAATCTCAAAATTTATTCAAATGTCTTGATATATCATTGAAATTCTCGACATGATGACATAAATGCATGTTTAAGGGGGTAGATCCTGCAAGTATTCATTCAGGTCGGAAACTTTATTCATGATGTCATAACGCGGAACAAAAGCCCAAGCATTTCGCACAGTAAATTAATAATTTTTACAGATATTTAAATTTTTTCGTTAAAATCTGGAATAATTACATAGAATTTAAACAAACATTTATTTAGATAATCGGACAGGAAGTTTTGATTTTTGCTTGGTGGCTCCTTTTTTCTTTAAGAAGTTTTGGAATTTAGCGGCAAGCTCTTCATTCGAAGCTGGCTGTTTCAAAGGTACTTCATCAGTAGAATTAGGTTCGAAAGTGAAATCTGGACCGGAATCGGTAACTCCCAATGTAGAATTTTTACCGATTGTTGAATTTGGATCATCTTGTTCTGATTCTCCAAATGTAAAGTTAGGGGAATCCGATGAATCTAATTTTTCAATGGTCATTGATAAATCAGTAGACCGAAGGTCCTGGGATACATCTAATGGCATTTCATTATCAAAAATTGATACTTCGAGTGGTAAATCAAAAACTCGATCAGCAATAGCGAGTTTTACCTTTTCTAGATCGGTAATTAGGCATTGTCTAGCTCTGATATCTGATTCTGTAATAATTTTAGTTTGAATCCTTTCAGCTAATGCAAGAAGAGCCTGTATTTCAGCTCTCTCCATTTTTTAAACGTACACTTTATAAATTTTTGTAAATTGTCAAATTAATTTTTTTGACAATGTAAAAGGAAGTGTTGAAAGTTGAATCTGGAATTAGAAGTTGAGAAACTCCACCACTTTTGTTTTTACATTTGCATCAAATTTGACGTAAAGTATAAAGATTTCTTGGAAAATCAAATTTGAAATCATTAAAAGTAATCTTTTGAAAAATTCTGAGATTATTGAAAAAAAAATTTCATCTATGCTTCCTGGTTATAGATTGCCCAGTATTTATTCATATAAGTATGAAAATGTTGACGTCCCATATAGATCTGAAAGACTCAAGATTTCCGATTCCGAAATGAAGCAAATCAAAAAAATCAAGGCATCTCAAACCAACCTTGAAAGTTATCCGCAGCCTGAATTACCTGTTAAATGCATTATTGATACTGATATAGGAACAGATATTGATGATGCAATGGCAATACTCTACGGTTTGCATTTAGAGAATCTTGAAATACTAGGAATCACAACCAACTATGGTCCAGCAGATTTAAGAGCAGCAATTGTTAGAAAGATTCAAGATGCCTATCTGAAATGTCACCCAGAAAAGAAAGTTTTCCCAATAGTTGCAGGAGCAAGTTGTCCTCTTGGATCTCACAGAGATTTGTTCTTAGCACAGAATGAAGGTCTTCCATTCATGAAAGGAATGATCGCTGAATGCATTAGCCTCGATCATATGAAATCACGAGTTCAAAGTGATGCTGCAGACTTTATGATACAAACTTGCAATCAGTATCCAAATTAAGTTGTCATTATTTCGATTGGAATTCCAACTAATATTGGATTAGCAATAATAAGGCATGAATCATTTGCGAAAAATGTTAAGGAGATAGTTATGATGGGTGGTGGAAGCTTTGTCACGAAAGATCAAAATGAAGACACACCTTTCCCTTTACCAGAAAAGGATAAAATTTCAGAATTTTTGACGAATGGAAAATTGATTCATTTGTATCCCAATCATAATGTTTCCGGAGACTCTCTTGCAACAAAGATAATATTTGACTCCAATATTAGAATTAGACTAATTTGTCATAGCGTTACATGCAATTATTTCGTCAAAGGAGCTCCAATTGATTTTCTCAAAGAAAAAGCAAAAAAAGAAGAAAATATTGAAACAGATCCAGCAACTGTTGTTGGCCTCCTTATGGTTGAATGGTTCAAGGTAAGGCATAGTGATGTTGGACAATGCCCTCATGATCCATTAACAATCCATGAAGCTGTTTTCGGAGGCGAAAAAAGTCCTTTGAAATATGTAAGAGGAAATTTCGTTTTCCATGAATGGGCTGCTTATTCAACATTCATTCCGAACAATGATGGCCCTCATTTTATGGCTGTTGAAACTATTCCAAACAATTCCTTTTTGAAACAACTTGGAGATTCTCTAATGATTGAAGATTATCATAATTAACAAATATTGATGTTTTTGATATTAAAACTAAGTTGTGTTGCGCTTTATAAATCTTTTGAGTTTTGAGTTTTGCTCAAAATAATCTGACTCAAAAAAAGAGTTTTTTTTATATGAAATTTTTTGATCAAATAGAAGTCGACAATACCGCAAAGAAAAAACGCAATTGGTATTACACAATCAATTCGAGCTATTTAGACTATTTTATTACTATTTCAACCGGTATTTTATTGATTTTGCTCAATATTTTGGATGAAATTCCGTTTTATTATGGAGCTATCGGTAAAATAGGTCCAAAAATCCAAAGAAACATTACCATAAAAACATGGTGGTATAGATGTCCGCATGTTCATATGAAAAAAGAATTTTATCAAAATGATCCTCAAGTAGTGAACTATGCATTAATTTCAGAGAAAACATATACGCAAAGAGCAGAAGTTCCAGCGAAATACGTTACTAAAAGTATGATATATATAACATTATATAATGACGTATTCGTCTCCTCAAGTCAAATCTCAGACGAAACTCTTAGTTTCAAGTTAAATAATCAAGATAATGGCGATCATACTATGATGCAGACATCAGGAGAAATTGATGAGTTAGTTTTTTATAGACAAGTTTTCTGGATGTATGGCCATAATATCCATGATTTCCTTTGTGCAATGATGTATGTGCCGCAAGATTTGGTGGAAAGAGGCTTCAAAGTCAATTCTCCACCTTTACATCATCAAAATACCCAAAGACTCCTAGTATTTTTAGGATATAACGTTACATTTGTAGATGTATCAAAACAAAAATTTGTTCATACCCTCTGGCTTATTAATAATTTTGAATACGCTCACGGATATACTGCAGGAGGCCTTGACAGGCTAAGAAAGCTGATAAAAACAAAAGTTGACTTTAATCTAATTAAGCCTACAAGGTTTGTGATCAGTGACAGGCCAAAGGGAAGTGGAAGAAATTTTGATGACATTAATAAGCTTTATGAAGCCATAAGTAGCGGTACAAAGATTGATGAAGGCTGCAAATGGGAGATAGACGATACTAAATTCTCAAGCCCTGTAGAAACGATTGTAAAATTTTGGCAATCAATAAAGGTTCTTGTTGCACCATGCGGATCTGGTATATATAACTCCATATTCATGCATGATAAGTGTGGAATGTGTTTAATGTTCACAACTCAAGTTGATGAGCCAAATCTACAACTTTGTGCCAATCTAAGGTTTTTCTTAATTGGGGTTATCCATCCTAAGACTCCACATAGCAGCCAAGGTGTTTTTCCGGTAAATGTTTCGGCAATGGTAAAATACACTCAAAGAGTAGTTGATGCTGTGAATGCAGGCCATTGGACAACAATGGAAGATGTTGTTGTTCATTTCCCAGTACCTGAGTACTTAAATTCTCCTCCCAATGAATTTCGTTGATTTGATTTTTTGAATTTTGTTTGTTTATTAATAATATTAAATAATTACTTTCTATGTATGCTTTAAATGTTAAAGGATTTTGAAAACTTAAACTTCAATTCGAATGAAAAACAATAGATGAGGAGGAAATGGTAAAAACAATAGACATTATGAAGTTTGCAGCGAATACAGGATACACACTTAATACAATATGGTGTTTGTTTATAACAAATTAAAAATACAGAATTTGAGCATGAATTTTGGTGCGTCTATTCAATAATCCAATATTTCGAAGGTTTTATGTTTGAAATTTTTCCAAAATTTTTTCATTTTTTAAAAAATGAGGAATCTTTTCTTGATTTTGCAAATCAAAATTAAAATTTCGAAATTTTTTTGGAGGTTGGAAACTTTGAAAATGCATTTTCTATACAAATAATAGATTTTATGCAATTTTAAATCAGTAACTTATATTTAAAATACACAGTATTGAAAATTACATTGATGTAATAAATTTTTTTTTGATATTTTAATCGATATAATAATCAATAGTAAATTCTTCAAATAAATCCTTGAATAAATAGTATTAAAACAAGTTAAAACAATAAATTTGGGTAGAGATTAAAATAAAATTTGGTAAATTTAGATTTATATTTTGAATAATAATAAAAAAATATTGTAAGTAATCAAACGACTTTCTTTATTAAAAAGAAGACTTACTGCTGAGCCTCGTTCTTCTTGGAGATCTTCAGCTTGCCGAGGAACTTGGAGCGTTCTTCCTTTGTCTGGAAGCGGCCGTGTCCGAACTTGGAAGCTGTATCGATCCACTTGAGGTTGATCTCTTCTGTAGCGATACGGCGTGTGTTGATGTTGATTGTCTTGCGGAGTGTGATGGCGCGCTTGACTGTGCCGACAACGGAGCCCTTGATCATGAGGAAGTCATCCTTGACAAGGCCGTAGTGTGGGAAGCCACCCATTGGGTTGATTGACTTCTTTGTGAGATCGAAGGATGTTGAACCACCCTCGTTGATCTTGCCCTCAACTTCGGCAGCACCGATTCTGTAGATGCGCTTGTTCATCTCTGTACGGTGGTGGCAACCGCGCTGGCCGTAACGAGCGACTGACCAAAGAACACGAGCTGGGTTCCATGGGCCGATGCAAGCAACTTTCCTGCGGCCACGGTGGGTCTTCTTCTGAAGACGCTTTGTGCCGTAACGGTGGATAACACCTTCCCAACCGAAACCTTTGCCAACACCGATTGTGTCGATCTGTTCGCCCTCTGTGAAGACATCGGCGACCTTGATCTCCTTTTCGAGGATGGACTTGGCATAGTTGAGCTTAGCAGCAACATCGCCACCGTTGATCTGGATTTCGATCATGTGAGCCTTCTTCTGGCCAAGGTGGTTGCCCTTGAGGACCTTCTTGGCGCCCTGCTCGTTGGCATCAACACCGCGTGTTGTTGTCTTGGCGGACTGTGTGTGAGCGATGACACGGATGACTGTAGCCTCCTTCTGGAGTTCTTCGAGTTGCTTCTCACGCTTTTCAGCGGCCTTGCCGTTGGAAAGGCAGGAGAAAGCCTTGCGAGCCTTGGACTGGTACCAGTTCTTGTAGTAGTTACGCTTGACTTCTTCGTTGACATAGGAAGCCCAAACTGTTGTGACTGGCTTGAGGCCTTCAATTGTTGGCTTGTAACCGATGATACCAACAACGAACATTGGTGGTGTTTCGAGGATTGTGACTGGTTCGCAAGCTTCCTTCTTGTGGAGACGGGAGTTTGGACGGACAACATCACGGAGAACGTGTGTCATACCAGCCTTGTAACCGATGAAAGCGCAAAGATGTGGCTTCTGGGAGGCATCATCCTTTGGCCAGCTGCGTACGCGGCCACGGACGGCATGGGAGCGGCCACGTGGGAGGAAACCGAGGGAACCACGGCGTGGAGCATTGAACTTGCGGTGAGACATAGCAAGAAAAGGCCGAGTCACTTTTTCTCAGACCAATCAATTCGGTCAATTTGTGTTATTTCTTTGTATTCTAACATACCTTATTATAATATGATCGTTTTTCGTCTTATTGGCCTGAATTGTTCTTTTTCATTCATTTTTTTGACATTTTCACTTTACTTGACAAAAAAATTATTTTTCGTATGATTTGTATTTTTCTTTCTCACATCAAATCATTCGAAAGTGAAGATGATTTACGATTGAAATGCACACTTTGCCAGAAAGTCGTTGCTTATCATCAAACTAATTTGAATCAAATCCATCCGTTTGATAATTCATTTTGTAATAAAGATCCCAAAAATAAATATTGCAAATTTATTATGGGTGTATCAGAACAATACCTTCAATTGACTAATCCAATACAGAAAAACGAATATTGCACTCGTTCTTCATTATGTCCGAAAAATTTAAGTGAAGATTTAAGTGGATCTCGCTGTGAATCATGCGTCTTTTTAGCAAATCACTTAAATCATGTACCAAAAGAGAATCAGACTACTGCTTTTAGCTCATTTTGCCTGACGAGTCGTCCTGCGACCACGTTCTTATGTGGTGATATAGAGGATGATGGTTTAGACTATTTTCTCCGTGATTTAGAAAAATATAAGGAACCAGAACAAGTTTGTGTAAAACAACACTTTTGCAAACGTAAGAAACATCAAATACCAAACGAAACAAATACCACTACAGAAACTAACCAAACAGAAGAAGCAAAACAGGAACTTTAAATTTCGTATAGAAATATCCCTGCTATACACTAGCGTAACATATCAGAGAAGCTCATACATACAATATATTAGTGATTCAAACTATTTCAAATCAATTTGTTTTTTATTTCATAAATGTATTTTCTATTTCTTTTTCACTGAGTTATTTTTTATTTGTCCTATTTGTATGTTAAACAATTTGCGCATAACTTCCTATTAATTTAGTTTTTTTGGAAATTGATATTAGCTCCTTAACTTCTCAATCGCTGCCAGTGATAGATTAGCAGATGTACATCACATAAATGCTATTGATACTATCCATCTTTGCTTTTACTCCCATCATTATTTCATTTCTGATTCCTTGATTAAAACAAAATTGAAGATCTGGTCGATCATAGTTTAACTATTATATCATGAACCCTATTTCGAGCCGCTTTGAAAACAACCTTTTATGAAATCAGAAATTTACAAAATTTCAAATTCAATATTGAAACAAACACATTCAAAATATGAATCTAGTTATGTTTTGCCAAATTGTAAATAGAAACTTTCTATCGTTCAAAACATTATGAAATCACGGGCTCGAGCAAAAACCCTTAAACTTGCTCTAATTGGAACACAAAGAGTTGGCAAAACATCTCTTTTAACGAAATTTCACTTCGGAAATTTCGAAAAGAACACGATTGCAACAGTAGGTGCTTCATTTATCTTACATACATTTAAAATCAATGGAAATGATGTTTCATTCCAAATTTGGGATACAGCAGGGCAAGAAAGATATCGTAGTTTAGCTCCAATATACTATCGAGATGCTTTATGTGCGATCGCTGTTTTTGATTTGACAATTCCTCAAACATTCGAAGAAATGAAAATATATGTCGAACAATTCAAGCAACATTGTTCCGATTATTACCATATTGCGATTGTAGGAAACAAATTGGATTTGGTTCCTCAAGCAGGAAGTGTAGATGTACAACAAATTGAGAGATGGACTAAAAATGAAGGATTTTCGTTCCATAGAACTTCTGCATCTACCGGAGAAGGTGTTAATGAAACATTTCAACACATCGCAGAGACTGTAGCAAACAGAATGTCAGCACAAGCTGTTAATGAATCCATAGATATTGAGGAATCTAACGAAAAGAAAGGATGCTGTTAATTTACAAATATTTTACTTTATTTGTTTACTGTTTTTATATATTATATGATCCTATGTGAAGTTAATTCACATGTATAAACTCTTCAAAGTTATTTCACTTTAAATAACTAAATAATGAATTTTATATTTATCTAAAAAATTTATGTATCATCCTTATTGCTATTTTATAACATAGAATGTGTGCGTTCAACAGATTGAACAAAATCCTATCGAAATTAAAATTTATAATTTATTTCGTTTGATTATTATGCTTTCTTAATATATTATACAAAGCAATCAATAAGCAATAAGATACTTCATTGATAGTCGTCAATTTGGGAGTAGAATAAATTCATCATTGAAAGATATCTAATAAATCAATTACAAGACTAAGATTTAACTCACCATTATCGGAGTTAATAGTATAGCAACAACAGAATTTCATGTATATCAAATGGGCATTGATGTCAATGCAAAATTGCTACTATTGATATGTATAGTACATTATGAGGGAATTGACACATCAAATAATCAAAAATATGGTTCCATCCACATTTGTATCTTATAAATTTCAGAATTCAAAGAAATGAAATCATTTAAGATAAAAAGTGACAAAACGATGGATCCAAATTGCGGAGTTAAGACTTGGTATTTAAAGCCAACCTTTTATTTCCAGATACTTTGGGCCGTATTCAGCTTTGTAATTATTATTTATAATATTGTCTTATTAAGCAAGACAACTGATGGATTTTTCAATCGTGCTGTCTCATCAGGACCAAGTACAATTGCAGTATTCATTCTCATTTTCGTCATATTATCAGTTGTAGGCAATTGCCTTTCAATTTTCAGACTTTTCAGAAAATACAAGAAACTCATCCTTTACGGATCATGCGTTACATCAGCTTTCACAATGATCCTTGCTATTATTTACGCTTCAGTATATGGCAACCAAAGTTATGAGAAAGATACAGCTGATAAAGAAATTATTAGATACATGTACAAGTATCCAAATAATCCTGAAACAATCAATTTCAAGAAGCATATTACAGGCAAGGAAGTTGATGCGATCTACAATTACAATGATGCCAGATTAACTCACGCCGGAAAGATACTTCTTGGACTTTTGATTACATGGTTCTTACAACAATGCTGCTTACTCTTTATCTTCATTCAAGATGATGAATACGCCGAAGTTGGAAATTCTCAACCTCTTACTGCTAATGATGGCCTTGCAGAAACTTACAGTAAGTAAAACCGAGTAAATATACGTGATTTAACCACTTTTATTTGAAATAATTTTTAAATTTTTTTAAAATTATTTTCAATTTTCTGAGCAAAACCAAGCTATTTCCCTATATTTAAGTCTATCGTTAATATAATAATGATAGTTGAACTAACTGAATAGAAAAGAAATTTCCTATCCAAAAATTATTTGTGTTATCATGATGTACAACTGCAAAATCAATATCAAATACCGATTTTTATTCATATGTTTAGATTATTTTGCCTCATTCTGAGTCCATAATTCTGAAATGATCTGGTAATTCACAGAATTGGGTTTGATTTTGATTTTAAAACACAATTATAAGGAAAATCAAACATTAAAATTTCCACCCTAAAATTTTTAGAGGGCAAAAAAATCTTGTCACAAAAAAAATTTCTTGAATCTAAAAAAAAAATTTTTTTAAATGACTGAAACAGAGGTAAAACCAACAGAGCCTGTGCAAGAAGGTCAAGCAAAACAACCGCAAAACAATCAGAAGCAACAAAAAGGCCAGCAGAAGCAGCAAAAAGAACAAAAAGAGCAAGGCCAACAAAATCAGCAAAAAGGCCAACAAAAGCAGCAAAAAGAGCAAGGCCAGCAAAATCAGCAAAAAGGTCAACAGAAACAGCAAAATCAGAAAGATCAAAACAAGAAACAGCAAAAACAACAAAATCCTGATCAACAACAAAAACAAAAGCCTCAGAATCAAAAGCAACAACAAAATTCTAAGCAAGCCAATCAACAGCAAGGAAAAGCATCCGATAGTCAACCAAAAGAAGCCGAAATTGTTGTTCAAAAAGATAAAACAGCCATTGAGCAACTTTTCCCACATATTCCATGCGTAGCACCCATATCAAGCCAAGAAATACTCAGTATTGCCGAAAAAGCCAATCCAAACATGCAAGTTCATCCCTCATTTATCAAATTCATTTTAACAACCTGCTACGACTTAACCATTGATGAAAACGAGAAATGCCGCAAATTCCTCAAGACAATCAGCGAGATGGTCGATGATTTACCAGTAGAACCCAGAATAAATCAAAGTATCCTTGATATCATAAAATTCTCGATGAAAATCCTTACACAGATCCGCGTGACCACACCCGGCATTTCCAACTGCGTTCGCTTCATCAAATCCCAACTTACTCTCTTATCCATCCAAGATGGAGCCAAAAAGTTCAAAGAAGACCTTCTCGACGTTATCGAGGCCTTCTCCGCAGAGCGTATCGACGAATCCGCAAACAAGCTCAGCAAGATCATCGGAGAAAACATCTCAAACGATGATATAATTCTGACTTACGGTTATTCGCCGATTATTTTCAATGCTTTCAAAACCGCCAGGGAACTTCAGAAATCATTTAAGGTTATTATACTTGATAACAGTCCCATTTCTAAGAGTCGTTCTATGATTGAAGAAGTTGATGGCCTTGATGTCAGGTATGTATTAGTTTCAGGAGTTTCGTACATCATGCCTGAAGTTAAGAAAGTTTGGATTGAACCATGCGGAATTCTCTCGAATAACGCTGCATTGACAACTGCTGGTACTGCCATGATATCAATGGTTGCACACGATTTCAACATCCCTGTCGTGTTCGTATGCCCATGCTACAGATTTGTTCCTGACGTGAGAGTTGATTCTCTGTCAAAGAATGAAAGAGTTGACTCAAAACTCGTCAAATCTTTCAACCAGGAAAAGGTGGAAGGTGTCGAGTTCTTCTCTCTCTGCTACGATATAACTCCAGCAGAGTTCGTAAATACAGTTATTTACGAAATTGGAAATAACCCTGTCAACTCTATCTCTACAAATATGGTATTCATCCAGGATCAGTATGTACTCTCTTATAGGAAATAAAATTTATAAAATTATTTTTTTTTATAACTTATATTTAGATTTAATAACTGTTGAATTCATACTGCCATGATATCAATGACTACACATGATGAATTATTATTTAATCATCTTCATCCAAGATCAGTGTGTACTCTCTTTTAGGAAATAAATATTATAAAATTATTTTTTTTTAAAACTTAAGGTCTCACTTACGCCAATCTGACATTAATTCAAATTTTGACAATTGGCGTGAAGCATCAGTGAAAATTAACCTTCAATATCTGAATTGAAGGTCATGTCATAGGTGCGTAAGTGGACCCTTAAATTATATTTAGTTATAATGGCTTTGTTCATGTAAGAACCCAATTAAGGCTTGTTTCTTTAATAATCTTCATCCAGGATCAGTATCTACTCTCTTATAGGAAATATAACATCATGATTTCAATAATCATAAATTTGATTTAGAAATGATAGTATATGTATTTATCTTTCTTTCGATTTTGTACTACAAGCCTGTATATTTAATTTGAATGGAAATCTAACAGTTATATGTGTCACTTTTTAAAGACAATTCTGATAAAAAAAGTCGATGGTTATTTATTTTCACATCGTTCTGTATGTAATATTTTAAGCATAAGAAACTCCTGAATTTTTTTGAATAAATTCAATTTTTTTATAAAAAAGATGGATGGAGAGGTTACTAGATCTGGTTTGATAGATCAACCAATGAAAAGATATCCAGGAAATGCAAACACTGTACTTATTTCGAATACATTCTTTTTCTTTTTTAGTTTAGAGCAAATTAGAGATTGTCCTATTTATGTAGATACCCCGATAGTCAAAAACATTACAATATGCAGATCAACAATGCAATACGTCAATACATCCGATGTTGGCTGTTTATGCGTTGATAACAATTGCAGTCCAAATCTCAGCATAAATTTCTTTAAAAACGAATTTCAAATGAATAGTGGCACATATTATTACATTGAAATACAAAAAAGTAACAATATTACATTTCATAATAATCAATTATTTTATTTGCAAAATTTTAACCTACCATTACTTGCAAGATGTAATAATAATGCACAATATTCATACAACAATATTTCTAATACAATATATGATCTTTGTCTCATTCAAGTCGATAATAACGCATTAATCAGTTATTCCCAATTTACAAACATTCAAGGAAGAAGTATAAGCTATTTATTAATAGCCTATTCATATCCTACAATTAAAAATTCAATTTTTCAAGATCTCGATGTTCGCGCTTTTTTAGAATCTGATTTTCAAAAAACATACATTAATAGCTCATATTTTATCCACATTAATACAAAAAATTGGGATGGCTATTTTGAAAAATGTATTTTAACAAATTGTATGTGTTCACCTGATATAAATTCAACGAAATACTTTACCATTAGCCCTGATTTAACACCAGTTGAAGTTAAATTTTACACAGAAAATACATTTCCTGCTCATCAAATTAATCTAGAAAATTTAACACAAAGAATCAATATCAATGAAATTTCGTTGTCAGAATGTATAATTAGTGATTCAATATTTTCTGATATTTTCCATGACCAAGTTGGTGGTGCAATCAATATCGTTACATCGAATATTAATTTGAATATTTCATATTGTATTTTTGATAATCTTTCAACATATTCATTATACAATAATGTTGAAGGCGGAGCTATCTATTTATGCACACTTACAGGAAACGTTTTATTAGATAGGCTTTGCATTCGAAAATGTTCTGCATTGGATTCTAGTCATTTTATTTATGCAAGAATTCGTTCTATAAACGAAACATCCTTCATATTTAATAATTCATGTGTAATTAATTGTCCAAAGCAACCGGAATATATTGGACAAACAATGGAAGTTCATGCATCATCAATATTCAATCATTTGAACTTTTCAAACAATCATCCAGATAAATATGCAATTTTCGACAATTCAGAGACTAATGAAAAGAATTTAACTCATGTAACAGTTGTTTCCAACACTCTTATTTATAATAATTCTATAAATATGTATTCATTGATGCTTTGTCCACATACATTTACTATTTCTCGAGTTAATTTCATCCAAAATTTCAACAATTTTGAAAACAAAACAGATTACTTTATAGGTTTCCAATATATTCATCCATCGAATCTATATTTTGATAGAAATGTTAACTTTAACGAAACAGAATCGAGTGAAATTAATAATATAACATTTGAAGATTATTGCTACAGAGAAAAACCAAAAGAAAATAAGAACCGAAAATAGATTATATATATTTCTGTAGCTGTTTCTGTTTTTGTTGTTACTGTAATAATCTTTGCAATATTAATGCTCAGACTTCATTTTCGCTATGCAAAAATCGAAAATGACGCAAGTCTATTACGAAGTGTTAATCAAGACTTTGGATAAGAATCTCAAGATTTTATTGATGCATATTAACATTAAATTAGCCGGTGTTGACCCTTAATTGTGAATTGTTAAAAATACATTTTTATTAAATTATAAATTTAACCATCAAATAACTGGTAAAAGGATAGTGCAGTTGGATTTCATTTGCTTTCATAAATTAAGTCGGATTAAGCAATTATGCGATAATCCTAGTGTGAAAAAAAAAGTAAAAAAGACGGTCAAAATTCACACAATTTTAGCACCCAATGTAAAACACGCACCCTCACAGGAAATGCTTTATTAGATAATTTTTGCCTTTGAAAATGTTCTGCATTGGATTCTAGTCATTTTATTCACCAATTTTAAACTTGGAATTTTTGAGAAACAGACGGGAAGAATATGATTTCAAGTTTACATTTTTTCCCCAAATCAAATTAGCCGCAATAATGAGCTAATCTCTTTGACAATTGTTGAAGAGATAAGTAAATAAAATTCTTATAATAGAGGGAAGTTAAATATAAAATAATTTTTGTTTTATTTAAATTACAAAAAAATATAACAATATTTAAATGAAAAGATCATAATAATTCATGGCAGTTCTTACAAACAGGACCTAAATTATCCATTGTCAAACATTGTTCGCAGACATATTTATTACAAATTCTGCAAACGCCTTTCGCAGGAGAATTACAAATTGCGCAATGGTCATAAGAAGCTCTCCTCTTCTTTTTGACCATGATATGATATTGGTTTGTGTTCAATGCATCTCCACACAATATCTTCTTGAGATTGAACTGTTCCAATGCTGCCTGCATGATGTTCTGCTTGTCATCATCACCAACAGTCCTCATTTTGACGCATTTCTTGTGAGAAGAAACATAGAAAGAAACAATTTCATTTGTCTTTTTATCTTCAGCGAAAACTGTGCAATAAGAAGTAGAAATGAAATTCATGTCGCTGTAATTTCTTTCTCCCAAAGCCAACTTGCAAAGAAATGTCGCATTAACCGTGTAACAATAGATACAGTTGTCTTCACATAAAACCCAAACATGAGATTGAGGAACATCGAATAATGATGAAAACACTTTTGACTCGAAAACAATCGTTCTATGAACCAAACCATTGAAAATATCCCAAAGAACAACTTTGTTTTCGAAACAAGTTGCAGAAAGCCAGTTTGATCCAGATACGCAGCTTCTCGGTTTGCATGGGCTTGGGAAGGAGTTGAGAACCATCAGTCCACTTGGTAAATCGTTCTCGTAGTTAACTCTGTAAGCTCTTGTTTCTCCAAAACTGAAATCAACAACAATAAACAAACCGTTTTGACTTGAAGAAACTGAAAGAGCTTGGTCGAACGCGTGGTCGATGTATCTCACGTAAACTTTACCTGTATTTATGTCGAAGATCTCGAGCTTGATGTCTTCTGGATAAATACAGATAAAAGCTGATTTTAAGACACTTGTTCGACCACTCAAAGGAGGAAGATTTGCTTGGGAAGGAGTTTTTCTTGCTTCAGAAAGTTTGATTTTTCCTGGAACTTCTAAAGAATTTGTTCTGATTGGACGAGTTGTGAAATGAACTCTTGTCCATTGCTGGAGTTCTATTCTTGCGTTTTCTGATTCCAAAGCATCTCTTAATCTCATTGACTTAAAAATGTCATAATTTGTGTCTTCTTCCATTGTCTTTTCCGCCAAAGAATACGAACAAGCAATCAAAGAATTGGAATTTATCTCTGTTTTCGGAAGTTTCTTGAACGGAAGAATTCTCGAAAGAGACATAGAAACCATACATCCTGATGGGAAAGGAGTCTGTTGTCCTGGATCTTCTTCAGGAGGATCTAAGAATGGTGGGAAACAAGGGAAATTGTCGATATCACTGAAAGAATAACCACATAATGCATTCAAGATACAAACATATTGGAAGGAAGAAATTGATCTATTCGACCATCTCTTTGTTGCTTCTTCTTTCGTCTTGATTTGGTCGAGAAGATGATCGAATAAGAATGATTTGGTGACGTCATCATCGAGTTTGTTTGCGTAATGCAACAAATTTCCTTGGATTTCGTTTTCGAAAACTAACAAAAAGTTTCCGTAGCTAAATGACCAAATATTCATCCTGTTCTTGTTGCAATGGATAGCAAGAAGATCATTGGATTTGACTTCAATGACAAAATGGTTATCAAACAAATATAACTTTCCAATTTGGCCGGCCAACAAACTTTCTTCAAAAATTGTTGAATGTTCATCATACATAATCATTTGGTTGTCTTTGAAAGTGGAGAACAAGACAATAACAAGTGATTTGTTGTATGTAAACAAGATGGATGGAATGGCATCACCGTATCTGATGAAAACACATGATGTAATTTGGATCGGGTTTCCAAATTTTTCAAAAGTTCTTTGGAAAATTGAAAGACAAGAATTTCTATGAATGAAATGTTTCTTGTGGAAAGATTCGAATCCAGGGTTATCAGCAACAGGCGGCAATAGCTTCGGTGGGAAGTAAGGAAGACTCTTTAATGACATAAACAAGTTAACAGGGTTTTCATTCGTCGCTTGTCTCATATTTTCCATTAATCTGAATCTGAAAACTTCCCATTTTCTGAGATCACACAACATTGTGAAGACATAATTATTGTATTCGTAACATTGTTTCATCATTGTTCCAATAACAAATGATTTACAGTTAGAGATAAATGTGTATTTCACAGTTTCACGTGAGATAAACCCGAAATCAACGAAATGAGACTGTTTGAATGATTTGATCTCTTTCGTAATTTCTTCAAATGTTTTCTGGAATTGAGAAGTAAATTGTCCCCATGAATCCTGCAGCATGTTTTTGTCGTAATCTTCTGTAATGCCAAATAACTGTTTAGCTTCTGTTTCTTTCTTCATGAAATTGGACAAGAAGAAAAGCCAAACTTGATGTGATTTTGTTTGTGTACAAATTAAATTCAAAATTTTTGAGTTCTTTTGAATTAAACCGAAAATTTGTTCGTATTGTTTTTCAGGAGAAGTTGCCATCAATTGCAACAAAATTGGATTGATTTGGTCAGCGTATTTAAGAATTGCCGCATCTCCAAATGTCCAAAATATAGAAGAAGAAAGCAACAAGATATCAGATATGAATAATTGTGCATTATCAGATAACAAATTCAATCCACACAAGAAATGAATGAAACTAAACAATTTTTGGAAAGGAATGTTTGATGACAAAGGAACTGTCATGCAAGACATCAAAATATGCAACAAAGAATGAGTATAATGTCTTGGCTTCTTGGAGTATCTGAATGGTGTTCCAATGAAGAAACTTCTCGCGAGCAAAGTGAAATTAGCTGGAGAACAATTCAACAACAAATCCGACATGAAAATAAACAAAGGAGATGTCTTCATCCAACTGCCAATTTCGGGAACTTGGCCATTGAAATCTTCCATGACTTCTTTTGGTAAATCGAAGCTCAAAAAGATCTCATCTATTAAGTTTCTCAAAAATTCAATAGGTGTAAATGTAATTTGCGGTTTTTGGAATTGAATTTCTTTTGGAAGTTCCAAATTCGACCAAAGAATGTCATTGTACTCACTCATTGTCTGGAAATTAATTGACTCATGGTTAATAGGAAGAGGACGATCTGCTTCGTCTTTTTCTGCGAAATAAACATAAAGATAATTAAGAATTAATGGATAAAAATACAACAAAAGTGACAAACAAATAGGAGTTTCCAAAATTTTTGGAACAATATCCATCAAAAGAGCCAAAGCATTGTTCATGTAACTTTCTATCTCTATTAACTTCATGTTTTCCTTCTCGCATTTATGATTGCGTGCATGGAAAATGGCGACAGCTGTTGACCAAGTCAAATTCAACAAAATTGGAACAACAGAGATATTTTTAACTGTTCTCTGTTGATCTCTTTGACATAATTTGATTGAATCTTCCCAAACAATCGAGAATGATGTCAATCTGGAGATATTTGTCAAGAAAACAAAATCAATTATCATGTAATTTGGAATAAAATGCGTTATTTGACAGATGAGGTGATAAATATTAGCCGCTAACGTATTTTCTGACGAAATCATTAGATATTTCAAGTCATCGAACAGCAAGTAATTTGCAAGATAATCAACATTGTCTTTGCTGATGAAATCGCTTAAAACTTGGCAAATTGTCAGTTGTAAACTGTCACTTTTTCTATTTCTTAGAACATCCCAATTTAAGTCTTTGACTAAAGGAGATGATTTCAAGAGATTTACAACGTATTTAAACGTTTTTGGAAGTTTCTTGAAATTGGTGAGAACCAAAGCCAAAAGGCGCTTATCTTCAGAGTTCTTAAATATCCTTTCCGAGATGAATAACTCTCCAGAGTCAATGTTTTTGTAAATAACATTAGGGAACAAATCAAAAAGTGTCGACAAAAGTGTGAAATTGTCAATTTTGTCCCATAACTCCATATCAGTGAACAAACTATTAAACAATTCGTCTTTCGGAGTGTCCGTGCATGAAAGAATAGTAATCAATTGTTTCTTCATCACTTCACTTGTCACTTTTGGTTGATAATCCTTAATTGCTGTCAAAGCTCTATCAATGAAATGTTTCAAAGCTCCCTGAGTGATTACTGCAGTGTTTGCAATGGCGATGATGGCATCTTCGCTTTTCTCGCTATCATTTAATAACTTAAAAAGCGATTGTTGATGCAATGCATTGTGTAGATGACGTGGCAAACCGAAATAATGTACGTTATAACAATTATTTGGCAAAATCTTTTTGTCAACATTAAGAGCAGTTATTTGCAAACTTTCTTTGATTCCTTCGATTGGTTTCATTGATCCAGGACCACGACTTTCAAGAACGGAGAAATCAGAGATCCAATTCTTGGAGAATCTGAGACTTGATCCTAACAAAACAATTGTTTGATTGGTACTTCCGAAACAAGCTTTCTTTAATATTGTCACTTTCTTTTTCGGTTGGAAAATCAGTTCATCTGTTTTTGTGTTAACATGTAATGAACTGTTTATCATTCCTACTTCCAATCTAACAACAATTAAGTTCCATTCAACAGGTGTTATCTCGGCATGACACTTCTGTTTCTCTACTTCACATGTTAATGTTGTATCTCTTATCGTTATCGTCATCAGTTCATTTCTAAAAAGTGTCATTTCGAAATTGATGAAATCACCGAGTTTGAACCAGAAAGAACACATCAAATAATCGGTTTCAATGGTCAGTTCACCTTGGCCAGGATAGAATTGGAACAAAGGGAAATGATCGAAACTTGGATTGCAGCAAGCATCGATTTTTGGAGCTGTTTTGATGATGGACTCCACTTGGCTTGGAAGTAAAAATCTGTTTGCAACTAATGGTAACAATTTGTGTTTATCGTCTTCTGACAATTTGTCAAAACAGAAATTGCCAATTTTCCACAAATTGTAGGGATCAGTTACATTTTTATCCGGCAACAAATGGAACATCGAAGAAACTCTTATTTCCCTGTAAAATGTCAGATTTTTCATACCAAAAACAATTGGTTCAACAAGTTCACTTGGAATATGGAATAAAGGATGATCAGGAGGTAATTTCTGGATTGTTTTATCAAGTTCTTTGTACAAATCATGGCTTGCAATTGCTGCCAACAAAAAGGAAAGTTGTTTTATTGACATTGACAATTGATAATAATTATCTAATGTCCATTGTATTCCTCCTTCTTGAACAAACAAGTTTGCAACAGTAAATGATTTTGTACATGCAGATATCAGTCCTTCACTTAGTTCTCCTGTCTGATTTTCATCAATAAGATTCATGATCTTTTTTACAGAATTACTCGTCGGCCAAACACATATAAAGCCACTAATAGCTGTACTTAACATGTTTAATATGTCTTTGTGCTTCGATAAAGTGAAAATTTTGTCCGTCACTTTTTCATGTAAAGTCAAATCTTTGCAAATGGAAAATACGTCTAAAATGAGCTGAACGAAGGTTGCTGACTTCTTAAAGAACTCGATAATGTACTCTTCTGGAGCATCGATAACGAAAACTTGCAAGAAATTCGCTTTCAAAAGGTCACTTAAGGAAATTAAGCGGCGAAGTAGTTGGTTATCGATCAAAACGAATGTTTGTATGAATAGAGAGACAGGGGTATCTGGTTTAAGATGATTGATCAAGTGTGGCATGCATTGTGAAATTAAAGTATGATCTACCTTTTGTAAAATCGAAATTAAACGTAATATTTCCTCTGCATTGATATCTGTATCGCACCATGTTGAAAATGGAATGATTCCTTGAAGTTTTGGTATTTCTTGAGGATATTTTTCGGCTGTTGAGATAATTGCACGTGACATGTAGGGTTGGGGCTTCGTATTGGGTAGAACAAGTTGTGATATGATGTCTTGTGATGGAGTTTCCCCTGAATTTATCAGTTTGACAATAAAAATTTGTTTATCATCGTCACTGAAGTCGTCAATGAACTTAACAAACGATTGTATGTTGTTATCCTTCTTTAGTATATCGGAATTTTTAGGATTTGCATGTATTGCCTTTTCATAAAAATCCAAAATGAATATTATTATAACTTGCTTGAATTGGTGATTATTATTTGTACTTGTTAGTGCTTCAAACACCTTTGAAAGTTGTTTGGACGTAATTGATTCAAAGAATGACTGGTTGCAATTTTCAAAAATTATTTGTTGAAGCAATTGTGCAGTTTTAACGTTCTTTCCTTTAGAATACACAGTACTGTAAATCGATTCGAATATACCGGTAGTGGATAGATCACTTGCAATTTTCTTATTTTGGAAAATGAAATTGAAAAATGATAAACTTTGTGAAATGACTGCTGAATCATCTTCAGAGAGTAAAAAAGCATTCTCAAAAAGTCGTAATATTGAATCACTGAACTTGTCGAAAGTAATAATTTCCTTTGCCTTATTTAATATCGAAATAAAGCATAAAAACTGTTCAGAAGATGAAACATTTTGAACTGTAAATTCAGTACACTTCTGCCAAATACGAATTGGAATGTTATTTAGATCAGTTGCGGAAATTAAATACTCACATATTTGATTAAACGACTGCAATCGCCTAATATTGTTCTGCTCCTCACAGAAATCTTCAAATTTTTTCTCGAAAGCTTTATAAGCTTCGTTTTCAGGCGATGTCATTTAATTGGATACTTTCAAAATTGAAAATAATTTTGTGTACGAATGGTTTTCCTAACAAAGGATTATTCCCAAAAAGCTTTTCTTGGATATAAAAATGAGTGTCGAAAAATTCAACGGAATGTTATCCCCAGCTTAATTTTGTAATTCTCCCTTTTTTTATAAAATCTAAAAATGCTGTTTATAATTTTTTCACTTTGTAGAAGTGCAACAGATTCGCAAGAAATTAACAGTTCCTGCCCAGTCTCCGTTGATAAGTGTACCTTTGTGACTACAACTAATGAATCAATTGCAGAAGATACCCCAATAGGAATTCCATTTAATACAACATGTACGTTATATCTAACAGAGTGCAAAACTTATGGGTGCTATACAATATTTGACCTAACGCAATTCCTGAAGTGGGGATATTCTTCAGATATTTCGTATTCATTCTTTAGGGAAGTAAAATTATCTGCAGAGTATAATTTAACAGATTCTGGTATAGTGTTTAGACCAACAACAGAGAATTTCTGGCTTAATTTCACTACAAAGACGGCTGATGAATTTTTCACGATTCATCCTTATGAAAGCAAAGAAGATCCATCAGCTTCATATAATATTTCTCAAATTGTTGATGGTATGCCATTTTGTTCTAAATTCTAATCATAAAATTTGTTGTTTATTTATTGTAAAACGAATATTCTTTTTATCACTCAACATAACTTGTATACCAGTAACAGATACAAGAGTTGATATACCATTGTTCCTTTATGAGTGGATTTGAAGCAATTAAGTTATAAAATTTCCTTTTTTATGTGATAATTTGTCCTATATTTCTGGAGAGAAACAAAGATATACTCAATAATCATTAGCTTCAAGTTCATGACCAAAAGCATAATATAATTTTGATTAATTCTATATTATTTGAGAAATTAGTTCATTAAGAATAAAAAAGTCATATAAATAAAAGTATTAAGAAAAATTATTGAATAGAAAATGAAAAACACTTTATAGGCATTTACGTAACAAAATTGAATTTCCGAATTCCTCCCACTCGGCCTTTGTGATGCATAACTGGTCAAAGTTTGGAAGAGAAGCAACAATTGAGCCGCCAGTCCAAACACAGCGACTTCCAGCAGCAACATCAGCTAAAGGACGAACAACATGAGGTTCTGTTCGCTTTGGAGCGATCTGACGGGCTTTTTGTTCAAGCTTAGCATTAAAGCCAGGTATTCTTGAAAGACCACCACTTGTGATGATATTCTTCCAAAATGTCGAATGCAAATCTTTTGGAGATGAATCAATTGCATTGTAAACGACATTTTGGAGTGGAATATTTGATTGTGGAACTCCTTCTGTCTGTTGCCAAAGAAGAGGCTTCAAAAAGTTGATTTCATCTTTGATTTCTAATGGCCGTCTTCCTGGCATAAAATAGATGTAGTCAAGGATATCCTCATCGTTTGGTTTTGGAGGTGTATCTGTATAGCGTAAATGATTTTTAATAATATTTGTAATTTCATGGCGAACGCAATAATCATGCTGACTTGGAGTTGGCGTAACAACTTTTGCTGTTCCAAATAATCCTACGTCTGTAGGCTTTGGATCGAGGAAAGTATATATTTGTTTGTTATTTTGCTTCATTTTTTCGAATAAAAGGTTTGTAAGTTCTAATCCACCAAGAGGATGAATTTGCACTGATTGCGTAATTGGGTGACCTTCAAAAACAGGAATTGCTCTGGCACATGACCAGCCGTAGTCAACAACGACTCCTGTATGGATACCATGAGCATAACATGCTAAAGATGCATCGTGTTGCAAGCAAAGCGCAGGGTGATTTGCAAATTCGAAAATGCAAGATGCTAATGTTTCTCTCCATTTAGTAATACCGTTTTTATTGCCAGTGAGCTTAGTAATAACTGTAGGTTGACTGATTAAAACAGGATTTTGTGTTGGCTCTTCAATTTGATGAACAGATAAAACCCAATCGAAGAAAGTGAAAAGCATATCGGACTCGGTAATCATGCCATTATCATCAACCATTTGATTGATTTGAATATCTGGAAGATTCTTTTCAAACCATTCAGATCCAAAACGAATTTTTTCTTCTCCATCTTGAAACATCTGAACTGATGATGAAGGGACAACATACAATGGATATGCATCTCCTGCATAACCAAAACGTACACAACTTGACCCAAAATCATAAACTAACGCCTTGTGAAGATTATCAACAACATTCATCTTTTTTTAGCGCAAAAATAGAATACACACAGGAATAGGAAATATATATCATCCTTACAGTATATGATATTTTTACTCATATAAATATAGGTTTATCTCCAAATTTTTTGGATTGAATTTTTATTTCCAGTTACAATCCCCTTATTAAAAGATCAGTATGCATTAGATTTGGAAAATTAGAGCATTTGTAAAAATTACATAGCTAGAATCATGTTATTGAAATTTTCAAGTTTTCAATTCGAGAAAATTTTGGTTGAGAGAGATGAGAATGTAATTAGTTTAAGAAGGACATGCATAAGTAAACAATTAAAACGCAAAATATACTAGTTTGACTTTACAGTTTATGTAATGATGTCATAAAGTTCAAATTATGTGTATACTAGGCATCTTTTGGTGAATGCGATTCAACATCAAGATATCACATCGAATTAATACGCGGTACACGAGATTTTGTGATAAATTTTGCAATATATAATGCATATTGGGCATTTTGATTACGCTAATCGTTAATCAAATAACATGTAGGATCATTTAATAACGAGATTTCCACAAATGGAATGAATTCTATTCGATCCATATTTTCATATCCGTCATAAAGTGGCCAATTTAATAATAAGTAAAAAGCAAAATGAATTACAAGAAAGTTAATCGTAGTATTTAATCAAAAAAAGACGTACCGTAATAAATTTATTCTGGCTTATTGGCAATAGCATGAGCCATATAATCTGTTCCGAGGATATTGAAGTTACGAATTGCCTTCTGGCTGTAAACACGAAGTCCATTCATCCAGTCTGGTCTGATGAATTCGTAGAATTCCTCTTCGAGTTCTTTCATGATCTTCATAACGAATGCGTGGTTCTTAACCTGGTTATCGAGGGAAAGAACGCATGATTCGCAAGAAAGAGATGTGGCGATAGCCTTGGCAGCTCTGAGATAGAAGATGTAGTGGGCCTTGAGAGCAAGATGAGCATCTTCCTCACCGGCGATAGCCTTCTTAGCAACTTCGCCAGCATCAATTTGTTCGAGTGGAAGAAGTTCTCCCGTCTTCTTCTGGTGGTAGAACTGGTAAGCTAATGGAAGACCACGGCCAGAGCAGATATCTTCGTATTCTGGGTCGAGCTGACCATTGTAGTAATGGTTGGAGATGTGTTGGATGAGTTCTCTCTCCTCTTGGAAGTTCTTGTGTTCCTTCATGTTTGGAGCAATTTGAACGTGTCCGAGTTCTGTTGGAAGAACTAATGGGTTCTTGAGGAGTGGTGTTCTGACAACAAGAGCAGCACCGAGGCCAGATCCCATAGCTAAAACAGCTGTTCTGCCTTGAGCAAGTACTGGGCCCTTTGGAGCCTTGTCTTCGAAGAGCTGAACGAAGTTTTCTTCAAGGATTCCCTTGTCTGCAGCTGCAATAACACCGTATGCGCCGGCTTCGAGGTCATTCAAGAAGAATGTTCTGTAAATTGGGAAGAGCTTGCGTGGAAGATCCTTGATTGTAAGTGTACGACCTGCTGGTGGGCCTTGCCAGTTTGTAAGGATAACTGTACCGGCTTTAATTGGGCCAGCAACAGCGATTGCTGCACCGAGACAGATGAATTTGTCGTTGATCTGGGTGATCTTCTTCTCAAGATCAACAAGGACGTCGAGTAATTCCTTTGTGCACTTAGCCTTTGCATGACCAAGGTCAACATACTTTTCGGCGTCGTTGAAAGAGGAAAGTCTGACACGAAGGCCAGAACCACCAACATCGCAGCCAAGGCAGATTGGGAGAGCACCTTCTTCTGCGACCTTCCATTCGTTAATCTTCTTGATGAGTTCGATGTCGAATATCTAGAGAAATAATTTTATTGAGTTAGGTGATGGATTGAATAGAATTTTCTCAATTTGAGAATAATTCAAAAAATTTGAGAGATTTTTGGCCAAACGTCATTCAATTTGAAATGGTAGTTTTTGAAATCATTCCATCAAAGTTATCATACAGATTTTTCAAGTTTCTGATTAAGTTTATGAAATTGAATAAAAATTTGAATGGTTTTTGGATAATAATATCGTTTTACAAATTAAATCATTATTTAGTTTTCGAAATATATTCCTCAAAATTGAGAGTGCCACAATTTTTTCTGAGTCTTATGGTTTTAGCCAATATGTTTGGTCATTCAGATAGATTTAATTAAAACATTTATAATCATGGCCGAATTTTTGAATTGAATTCAAAGAAAATCACGGTTGGATAAATTGATAATATATTACAAATCTCGAATTATTAAAAATTTCAAAAGTTCGGAATTTGTGAAATTTTGTAATCAAGAAGAATTGCCCTCAATACATAAAAACGATGTTATCTTGCTTTTCGGCTGAATACAATAGACCAATCAGTCTTCTTTCTCATAACAAATCAAAAGATGGATAAACATAATTTGCATGTTTAATTTTTCTTTTGCAATAACCGTATAATACAGAGAATTAAACACATATGGGTAGAAAGGCACAAAATTAATGAGATCGAAAAAATTTCCAATATAAAGCAATCAGTTTATGCATAAATTTTATGAAAGCTTAGATGCAACTATATTGAGTATAATTCCAAGCATTTTATAAGATTCACTTAATTGAAATTGAGCATCAAATATGGCTTTGCATTTTGTTTGGCCGTAGATTTTCTATCATTAAAAGATTGGATAAAAATAAATACCAATCAGATATTTTTAATTTGATTGCTAATTTGTGGTGAATCATTTCCTCACTCATGCACAATCATGTGATAGCCTATAATGATAAATCTCTTAAGATTTGATAGATGAGAACAATTTCTTCACAGCAATTATCATGATTATCAAATGTTTCGTCATAGAGAGAGAGAAAAAATGTGTTTGCTGTCTTGTGACTTTATCTGAGTAAGTTTATCGAGAACAAATCCAGCCTATTAAGCATTTGTCATGGTTTTGAAATAGTTTCAATATTTAAGTGCTGTTTAAATTTTAAGCACTTTCTAATTATACAACTTTTATGCATACAATACCTCAATATATTTATCGATATTACCTGAAGAATGAGGGTGTTTAGGGTCTCATCGATTCTTACGTAGTCATCGAGACAAAGGGCAAGGACCAGAAGCCAAGACCAGCTGGCAAGACAAAAGTTGACAAGAATAACTTGAATCCAACATTCCCGGACCAAGTCTTCGACATCCCATCCTATGACTGCTACATAATCAAGTTCACAGTCATGCACCAGGATCCATTTAAAGATCCTATGGCTTGCTGGATCAAGACCAAGGTCCCATCTCTTTTCTCCAGAATCGGTGAGAAGATCACAAAGGAGATGGTGGTCATCAACCCAGAGCACCATCCAAACTGCCACCCAATGATCACCTTCATGGTCGAACTTGAGGGCAAGCTTGCTGAAGACTACCCAGAGCAGGCTCCACCACCACCACCTCCAGAGCTAGTCAAGCCAAAGGTTTTGTTTGTATAATCATTCATAAAATAGATTGGTCTAGAAAATTAGAAGCTAATAATAAATAATTTCCATTTTTTGGCGAATCAAAACTTGAAATCGAACAATGATTTTAAAATCAAATTCATAATTATTATTGCTATGCCATAGGAACTCTACTGAAACAAAAGAATTAATTTGGTTAAACTGTTTCATTTTGAAAAAGAATTTATGAATTGAATAATATTATTAAACTATAGCTGATATATTAGATTTGTAATTTAGTGATTGATTTCAGATTATCGTTCCTCTTAAATTGAGAAGAAAAACAAAAAATAATGATTTAATTAATGTTGTCTTCATAATATCAAACACAATAGAGAATATTTAAAAATTAGCAAAATAAAAAGGTCCGTACGCCCAGCTACTTAGTCTCTCAAAAAATAATTATCATAAAACTAAAAAATTTTAATATTATTAATTGATATATTATGTATAATACTTTTCGAGCCCGTGGCATAAATTTTCAAAATTTGTGAGCAGGATTTTGAATCTGATACAAATTTAGGTTTTTAGAAATTGCTCTTCTATATACATATATCAACTATTCTCGTTAAATAAATATCAAACCTTTATCTTTTTTCAATAGGTCATTTAAAATTATAAAACTCTGATTTTTCCTATTTTTTGTATTCTTATTAGTCACATATTGCTGCATTGAATATTAAAAATCATGGATAACTGATTAAACGATTCATTCAAAATTACTAAGTCTCATCACACTTTTCAATGCTCGATTTTTAAAAACTGTTTAAAAATGGAGCTTATATTGAAATAGTGTAGAGACTAAAAGTTACCACAGACTATTTCAGAGGATTGAGTTGCCACTCAATCCTCTGAAAAGTCTGAGGTAATTTGCAAAATTTTAACATGCTTTTTAATAAAATACTTATATTGCTTTGTAGATCAGGAAAATCACAATTTTATTAATTTTCCTTTGACGCGAACTTTTCTGAGAGCATCATTGAAAAATGGAAGTTTAAATGGTCAGCTAATTACGCTATATTTATTTGCTTTCAATGCCTGCAGCTAACTTTGAAGTTCCTCAAGTCGTTGGACCATACAAGGTTACCAAGATCATTGGTCGTGGAGCCTTCGCAGTTGTTGCTTTAGGCATCAATGAGAAGACAGAAGAAAAAGTTGCTCTTAAAGTGATTGATAGAGCAGCAATGATGAACACAAACTCTCTTCAATATATAGAAGCCGAGCTCCGCTTATCCACTCGCTTCAACCACCCGTCAATTGTGAAGATTTATGACGTTTTCTATCTTCCTCAGTATATTGTTATTGCCATGGAGTACCTTCCAAATAACAACCTTATTTCCCATATTGTCGATGGAGTTTTCTTCACCTATCAGGAGAAGATCGAACTCTTGACAAAAGTCCTTGAAGGAATGGAATACCTCCACTCCAAGAACATCGCACATAGAGACATCAAACCAGAAAACATCTTATTCGATGCAAATTTCCAACCAAAGCTCATCGACTTTGGCTTATCCTGCGAAAATGCAGATGCGATGACAACATTTTGCGGAACAGTTCAATATATGTCCCCAGAGATGATCAGAAACAATAGCTATAACGCTTTAAAGGCCGATATCTGGGCTTTTGGAGTCACAGCACATCTTTTTATCACTAAGGAATTCCCATGGATGTTCACAAGCGACGCAAAGCACATCGATAATATCAAGACAGGCAAACTCCAGTTAAACAACATCTGCGGATCAAACATCGGCAAGATCATCGAAAAGTGTCTTGAGTTCGATCCAGAAAAGCGTCCAACAGCTAGAGAACTCCTCCAGATGTTCAATTCATCCGAATGCTTGAAGACAAGAGCAAGAAATGCCCTCAGTGATAAGATCATTGTTCCGAAACTTACTCCACAAAGATTCCAGATCAAGACACACAGTGAGGGTCGCATAAGTTCTAATGGCTTCTCTCACTCACACCCAACATTTCGTGTTAGATCAGCTCCGGCGTTTTAATTTATTTATATTATTTTGTTTGTTTGTAAATATTAGATTAGTTAAATTCTTTACGTCTTTTTAAATATTTCCCATCTTTCTTTTGATTCAATATTGAAAATGAATTTCATTTATCTTTTATTTCAAACATATTTGTGAATCGCTCATGGTATCTGTTTACCCTGATAATCAAATAAACAGATGCCACATTGATGCTGCAATTTGCCACAAGCGTGAGAACGTTCGTACATTACAGATCAATTATTCTTGTTTTAGAGGCTATTTTATGAAAACATATCATATAATTAACAAGGTAGAGTCAATTCTGAAGGTTAAATAATTGATCGTCTTTTTAATTTTTGAGGAATTTTGAATTGGTTAACAAAGATGATAATAACTATATAGAAATAACAAATTCTTTATAATATTTACAACATAGAAAGGATACCAAATAACTCAAAGTTCTTATTCTCTTTTGCAATATTCAGGGGCGAAAGTCCAAGTTTATTATTCATTTCTGCAGCAGCTTTGAGTTCACCTTTATTTTCATAGTTTTCGCAAATGAATTTTACTAGATTGACATTGTTAGATTTGGATAAAATGTGTAAAGGTGTATCTCCATCATTATCTTGCATAATAATTGATGCTCCATTTGATATCAACAATGAGATGATAGTTTTGTTGGAGTTTCTGCACGAAAAGTGCATTGCAGTTTGATTTAATTTTGTTTTTATGTTAATTTGACATTCATTTGTAATAAGGAAGCGAACTAAACCAATACAATTGATCTTAGCTGCATAATGAAGAGGAGCTAATCCTTCTTCATCAAGTTCATTGATTGCGTTCTCATTTAATGAAAAGGCTAATGTAGCAGCTGAATAACATCTATTTTTGATGCATTGGCATAACGTAAGTTGGCCTAATTGATCTATAAGTCTTCCTCTACGATATTGAAGAATTAAATCAATAATTGTTGGATTTAAGTGAGATATGGCATTAATCTTCTCAATAATTGAGTAGTTTCCGCCTATAATTGCGCATTCATCAACTGTGTCTGTAATTTTTGCGTTTAATTTTAATAATTTGTCGAAACATTTTTCAGCTCCGAACAAGGCAGCAACTGCCAATGGAACTAATGGCTTATTAAGTTGAATTGGCTCAAAGATACTCCATTCAACATTCAACTGATTAATGTTTGAATCTTTGATAAGTGAAATCATATTATCAACATGATCGTATTTTATTGCAAATCCTAGAGAGTCAAACGGAAATCCCATTTCAAAATCAGATTCATATTCTGAGTAATTGTCTAAAAGATTAAATTCGGGAGCGAATATTAATGAGTACTCCTGAGGTATCTTATTGGATATTTGATCAAAAGTAAGCGCTCCGCAGATTAAAAGCTTTCGGAGAAAAATATATTGCTGAGTTATTAACAAATTATTGACAATAAACTGCATTAAAAACGGGAATTTACCGGATGTAGACAAATTGAATATTAAGCTTGCGTATAAATCTAATGAATTTGGCCGGATTTTTCCTATGAATGCAATTTCTTCAGCGAGAAATAGCTGTTCATCTTCTGAAAAGTTAAGAGAGAGCATCCACAAGGTTAGTTTTGATGAATTATCTTTATTTACTTCTGTTATGTAATCTTGCAATTGAAGCAAGTCGGACAACCTTGCCATTAATTTGAAGAAACAGCAGATTTTCTAATTACTCATAATTAAATATACACTTAATTTGCTTATATGTATTCAATTTCATATTTGATATCATCCATTAGCAATTGAAACAAAAGGCTAAAATTTAAGCATGGACAATTATAGGGTTGCAGTTTCCATTTGTTAAATTGTATGGTTGGACTAGATTCCTTTAGCCATGATTACAAAATAAGGATTTATCATTTTGTTGTTGTGGAATGAAACAATATCAAATATATAAGAAACCATTCTGCAAAATTATAAAGATAACTGATCCATAGTTTTGATTACGTTAGAGGGGCAAATTAAATGATATAACCAGCATAAACAGTAATTACAAGATGAAATAAAGCTATAAGCGATTCAGCCAATTTTTCGATTAACTGTTGTAAATTCTTAGAAGTTTTCAAAAATTGAGACATTATATTGAATCTCTCGACATTTTCATTATGAGGATTCAATACAAAAGCTATATCTCTAAAGTTACAACAATATCCTTAAAAATAATGTTAGAAAGTAATGGTCTCAAATATAATTTTCAATAAATTATCGTCAATATCAAATTAACATTCAAAATGCTTGATCAGCATATGAAAAAACATTATGGACTGGCTTATGAAATGCAAGGCAGAGCCAGACTTCCATATTGGTTAAAATGGATCAGGGAAATATTCATTTTTCTTCAGCATGTTTTCTTTTTATTAGATTTTTGCCGTGTAGATGAATTATGCACTCGAGAGTATTCATTATTATCGACTTTAAGTAACGCTTTTCTTCTCAATGCCGGCGTTTATACAGGAAATAATTCACTTGGTCCAGCAATTGTTGTTCTTATTATTCTAGTCTTGAGTTTTCTTCATTTTAACAATTCATCAAAACGAGCAATGCAAGATAAATACCTTTATAGATTCGGATTACTTATTTTAGCATTATTGATAGATTTTATTGCACCAATTTTTCAAGTTCAAATATTTATTCGACTTTTTCAAGTCCTAAATTTAACACTCCATACGTTTCGCCTCAAATATTTACTGTCAAATTTAATATTAATATTTGATATCGTTCTTTTTACTTATTTTGAATATGTTCGATCAGTGTTCATCAAACCAAGGATTTTTATCATACATTCTCTTATTGACAACAATACAGGAAGTTCCGAACTTGTATTATTTTTTGGACATATACTTTTAGTCTATTTTCAGCTACTTTTAGCCCAATTCCACAGTTTCATACTCGAATTTGTCTTCTTAGCCTTCTATCCAGCCTATGTTTTGTTACTAATTTGTTATCGATTATCAAGAGGTACACATATCAGTGTTTTTGGAGCAGTTCTCCAAGATGGACCATTATTTGCCTCTATATTTATTATTCCTGTTCATTTTCATAACGGAAATTTTGAAATTATTCTTTCAATTTTAATTTTTAGTTTAATTTTTTATTCATTGATATACCTTTTGCAGAAGATGTATCTCAAGAAGTATTCCCATCTCATTATGAGTGGAAAGATCGATAGTCCATGGTACATTCCAATATCAGATGCATTAGTTATGCGTCATGCAGCAGAAACAAAAGCGGATATCGAAGTTTTTGATAATTATTTGTTGCTTAGAATGAAACAAGATCCAGAAGAGATGATAGAACTTACAAGATTTCTAGGAATCTTTCGAAGTCAAAGGGCAAAACTCCAATTGATACTTTCCAAATGGAAAGGAGAGAATGTATATTATAATTATCAGTTCTATGTTTTTTCTCGTATGTTTGAAAGTCTCACAAAGACTCCACAACATTATTATAATGATCTAGACAAATTACATCGTCATTATTTGATTGATTTGTCATTGTTTTGGCAGTATTCCAATAACAAAATATTATCTGTTGTATATGGATTTAAAGCAGCATTAGCGTATGTTGAACTTGTTGATTTAGTCAAATACTTAGCGTATATGTATGAAAATGATTCATCAATATTGATGTCATATGCTGAAATTTGTTTGATTGCGTTAGGAGATCCAAAAGCATCTGTTAAATATAGAAGAATAAGTTCAATGATAAAAGATAGTCCTACTGCATGCGAAGATCCGATATTTAGACATGTTTCAAGGTTCTATCCTTTATCTGTTAATAATTATCAATCAGAAAATTATTATTCAACATCAGATTCGAACTCGAATTCTTCATCAACAGAAAGCTTTTCTAAATTAAGATTCCATATAAATGAAAATGTCATCTTTAGAGATGAAAAAAGTGATAATAGCTCTGTTGCAATGTTTGTTAGAAAATGTACTGATTTAAGGACATTTGGAATTATTTTAAGTTGTATTTTTATCTTTGTTATGTCAATGCTTTATCTTAAGAAATTGAGAGGTTTGACAAACGAAAAATTTGAAAATTTGGAAGGATTGAAACTAATGATAAGTCAAACAATAGAAGTTGCTTATAGACTAACATCAGGTGTTTTGTTATATGACCAATTAGAACAAAACAAAAATTTAGATTGCAAAGAATTTATCAAAAAAGTTTATAATCATTTGAAAAATTATCCGATTTCTTACAAAGATGATTATTTCTTTTTAGCGAAAGTATGGGGAACAACATCACAAATACTATCAGATCAAATGATTAATAACTGTAATTTGTTTGATAATCATTCAACAATAATTTTCCAACAATTACATCAAATTTTGATTAATTACAATTTCTTCCAAGGAAATTTGTCAAATATTTTACATTCTACAAGTTTATCTTGTATGTACAAAAAGGCAATGATTATTACTTTCTTAATGTCTTTTGTTTGTGTTATTATTTCTATTGGTTTTGTTTATTTCGGCACGAGATTATTATTAACAAGATTTCCAAAAGAAGCAAAAGAATTTTTGGGAAGTAGAGAAAGATTGAGTTTATTATTACTTAAAAAATCATTGGAAAGCTGGGATTTGTTTAAACTAAACTTCAAATCAATGAAAGAAGAAGTTAAACAAACACCACAAATTGAGAAATCACCAAGAAGAATCAAAGTTGGACATAAGTTTTCATCAGAAACGAATTTGAATTTGAATTGTGAACAAAAATCAAGACACGTTGATTTGAAAGATGGAAAGATTTCTATTTCTTTTATAGGTGCTGACCAACTCTTAAAGCCATCACAGTTTGCATTAATGAGTCCTTTTGTTTTCTCTCCAACACCGAAGGCTTCAGATTCAAGTGATGTTGAAGAAGATGAAAAATTAATTCCATCAGAAAAACTTGAAAATTTGAATTTGATTTCGAAAACGATAGAAAAAACAAAGGATACTTACAAATACAGATATTTATATATTGTAATTATGTTCTTCCTTCCATGGGCTATTACTTTAATATTGATGTTCTTTGGAAGAATTGTTATTTTCTTTGAAAATGATGTGACAAAAATTTATTTGACAAGAATCGACCAAAATGCAACTGAATTAAGTAAACTTCCTTACGCCATCTATTACAATTTCAAGAACAAAAGTATCCAACAAATAAACTTTAACCAAAATTTGTCATGGTACAGAAGAAACTTAATGCAAATTATTGAAGATGCAGATCAAATTCATAAATCAATCATCATATCAAGACATTCGTTTTTGATCGTTGCATCATTCTTTTGGATCTTGGCAATGTACGGTTGTTTCGTTGTTGAAGAAAGTATCAAAAGAGGTTATGAGTCACTTTTCCATTTCCCTATCGGTTTGATGAACGATATTATTTTACAAAACGATACGAAAAGTGAGAGTTCAATGACAAATGAAATCATTGAAGTTAGTGTTAACAAAGAGACAAACAATATAATTTGTGTTACATCTAATTGTTTGGACGTAATTGGCGAAGAACCTTTGAATATAATTGGCCACAAATATGATGAAATTTTTGCCAAAAATGATCGTTTAAGGTTATATAATTTAACATCAAAAAAGGTCAAAAAGTTTGTAGAATGTTGTTATGAGATGGAGAAGATCAACAAATACGCTTTGTATGATGTTTCCACTTATTTAACAACAAAAACTGCGATGATGAATTTGATGCAAAGTAATATTCCGAAAAATTTTGCAGAAGAATTTTGTGAAAAACAGAAACAAAGTTTTAGATTTTCAAACTCATATACAATCATTGTTAAGTTTGATTCATCGGATTATTCAATGTCAACAGATAATTTCTTCAAAGCTGTTAGCAACATGCTCCAATGCTATATAACAGTTAAGTTTATTAAATACGAAGGTTCTCTTTGTTATTTCATTTGTCCAACTTGTGAAAGAGTTATTCCTTTCTTGTTTGTAAGAGATTTGATTGCAAATTCCCGTCCATCATCAAGAATTAAACTTGTGCAATCAAAGAGTGCTGTTTTGAGTGCAATTATTCTCAGATCTGATGTGAAATACAACTTAGAATTCGGTGAAGAACCATATCTATCATCTAATTTGAATTTTTCACCTTTCTTCGCAAAGGATGAAACAATCGCTGTATTAGACAAAGAACAGTTTTTGATCAGATTAGATGACCTGGAAAAATTCATTTCTGCTGTTTAGATTATTACAAGTGCAAAAAGAATTTATTAATATTTTTTTGCACATCTATATATTATTGTATTGTTATTTATATATTATATATAAACATGTTAATTTTTGTGTTGAATCTGAACAATTTTTATCCTTCTGTTAATGAAATTCGTCTCACAAAATGATATAATGACTAAAATATTTAGGTTAATTACAAAAGATTATATGGGGTAAAAAGATAAAAAATGATCAATTTTTCCAGGTAGTAAAAAGAGTTAATTTTGATAGTTTTTTAAACTCTAGAACGATTTGATTTTTGAGACTTTTTTTGATTCGATTTTTATATCCTTCGCCTGTTTTGGACCCTATTATTTGGTTTTTCTGAATTGAAAGCTCATCAATGAATCGATAAATATTTTATAGTTGATTCATGACCATATCTCCATAAAGTGAAATAATATTTTAAAAGAAATCCAGACATTTAGTAAAATTAAGAATTTAATGGCCTAGAAAAGCCCCAAATATTTAGTTGTAATTTAAATTTTTACTTGATAAAATAATAGAAAATAATATAAGATATTAAAATGAATGGTAGTAACTTGTAATTTAAAGCCCTAACAATAAATAAAAGAACAATTTTATAAGACAAATGACTTTTTTCTCTTTCTGTCATTTCAAAAATTGTCCGACCAAAATAATTTTTTCCAAATATATCTGCACCATTAATAAGCAGATATAGAGTTATTTCTGGGCGATCATAAATTATTGCATCAGAAAGAGGGGTCGTTCCTGAGTCGAAATCAGCTCCATGAGAAATTAAAAATTTTGCAATTTCCACATAATTCTCCTTTATTGTAAGTTGAAGAGCATGGTTTGAAAATAGATTTTCTTCTTTCATATCCACACCGTTCAAGACAAGGTATTTGACGATTTTATAACAATTATTGAATGTTGCATAATGTAAAGCAGTATAAGCATGATTGCCCCATTTATTGACATCTGCGCCATGTTTAATAAGCATTTCTAATATTTCCATGTTGTTATTACGTGCTGCAATATGAAGTGCAGTATTTCTATCGGCATCTCTATAATCAATAGATGAAGAATTTGAAACAATAGTTTCTAAAGTTTCGATACTATTAAACTTCACTGCATAATGAAGTGCTGTGAATCCATGTATATCTCTAGCAGTGATGTCAATATTATTTGAAACAAGAAATTTTGCAATCTCTTTAGAATTTTTCATTGCTGCATAATGAAGTGCATTTTTATCATCTCTATTTTTAGCATTGATGTTTGCTCTATGTGAAAGACAATATTCACAAAGCGAATAAATATTAAAAAGTGGGAACATAAGAAGACCAATATTAACATCTTTTGTTTTATCTATATAAACAGCAAGGGCTTGGAGATTGTAATATAGGGTGTCCAAAGGTGCGTTTAGCACAGCGCTCTATATGAGACTATTAAAGGAGATATATGCTGATTATAAATATATAATAAAAAATATGAATATATGTATATGATGAGTATGTTGTATTTTGGCGCCATGCCGGGATATAAAATGAATTTTGAGACAAGAGGCGGTTTCGCGGGAAATTTTGGCGGGATTTTTTCATTTTTTTAATGAATCATAAAGAAAACATCCTCGCTCTTGCAAAAAAATGCAAAGACTGTAAAAAAATCTACGAGACATTGGTAAAATGCTTCGGTATGGATGCTCCTAGCTATTCCACTGTAACGTATCATGTTAGGATGTATCACTTCATGAACAAAAAGGCGCCCATCATAAAAATTGACAAAAAATCGCCGGATCAAAGAAAAATCAAAGCAATTCTTCAAGTGCTAGATGAAGACCCAAGAGCATCACTCAGAAGGATAGAGGAGATGACAAAGATACCACGTACAACAGTCAGTTATTATCTGCACAATTATTTGAACTACAAACTAGCGTATACACGTTGGGTTCCGCACAACCTTAATTCAGTTCAAAAAAAATCTAGAGTCCAATCTTCGAAAGAGCTCCTCTCTATATTGGGTGCGTATCAATCCAAGAAGTTTCGCTTTTTAGTAACAGGGGACGAGTCTTGGTTTCAATATGCAACAGAAGCCAAAATCATGTGGATCCCGAAGGATGAAAATCCGCAAACATTCCCGAAGAAAAAAATTGACACACCAATGATGATGTTGTCGGTTTTTTGGGGCGTGAATGGCATCATCGCAATTGATATTCTTCAAAAACCTAATACGATGAATGCTCAGTATCTAATTGACAATGTTCTTACTCAAATTATCAATTCTGATGAGTTTGAGAAATCCAAACAACAAAAACAAAAGTTTGCAATTCATTTTGATAATTCAAGAGTTCACAAAAGTCATAAGGTAATGAATTACTTGTTGGAAAACAATGTCAAAGTTGTTCCAAACCCAATTTATTCACCTGATATTGCACCCTCTGACTTTTATTTATTCGGCACGCTAAAAAAGAGAGCTGAAGGACGCGAATTCGCGAGTCCAGATGATCTTGAAAATTTTGTAAGAGAGCAATTTGAGCAATTTTCTCATGATGATTTAAAGCGTGTCTTTCAAGCCTGGATCGATCGCTGCGAACGCGTGATTGAATCCAATGGTGATTATATTTAAATAAACTTTATATATATATGTAACTTGTTTATTTCTATTCGCAGTATTCAGGTTTGTGCTAAACACACCTTTGGACACCCTATATTTGATGCACTTATTTGTGTCAATTTTAATATCGAATTCATTATTTAGAAAACAAATAAAATCAATGTTATGCAATGAAATTGCATATTCCATACATTTTAAATCAGGTTTGAAATATTTCAAACATTCATTCAAGATGTCAGGAATTCCACTCAGAAAAGAATTCAATAGACATGTTGGAGTGATTTTTGATTTGTTTTCTGATATCAAAAACCTAAAACAATTAACAGCTCCATAATAACAACATAATTCGATCAATGAAAAAGGTGAAATAGAGTTCGGAAACAAATCATTTCTGATACATTTATATTGATCAATATTAATATCAAAACTTTCTATGACTGAAATAAATAATTTTATGTCATCATCTAAAATTGCTTTGTATAATTGGTTATTATCAAAAATAGAAAGTAATTGATTTTGTTCATTCATACTATCTTTAAATATTTTGTAATCTGAAGAATAATTTTCATCAAATAATTGCATAGATGAATTAGAAACTATTTTGATATTGTCAAAATATTCATCATAGATCTTTCGAAATATGTATATATATGATTTAAGATACTTATTATTTAATTTTGCAGCAGTGAAAATAATTCCCATCATCTCAGTTGGTAACAATATTTTTGTTTCTATAAATATGTCCTTTAAGTTTTTGTATATCATATCTATCTCTTTTTCATTGTACGTTCTTAGTCTGAATAATTCTTTTATGGCTTGATCTTTCTCTTTGACCAAATCCATAATTTCATTATAGACATTATCATACATTCAAATTTTTGTCAAACGATCAAAACTCTCACAATTTTATAAAGAAATTACAACATCTTTCTTTATTCTTTTTGAGTTTTTCTTGTTTATCTCAAACTTTGTTTTTATATTTTAATAAAATGTTTCACCAATTTTTAGTGTCTGATCAAGAATATCATAAATTCTCTTTCATTCTAAATCAGGATTTACTTGGATTTCAGATTTCTTGATGCCCAACATATCATATTACATCTAAATGAGAAGTTGACTCATGTTTCAATGGTCTTATGCATCCTTATAATATCTTTTTTTCCAGTTTTTTTTACAAACCGAGGCACTTCATTTCTTTTGAAATTCACCAGAGGGAAAAACATAATATGATTTTATAAGTAAAACACGTTCAGATCAAAATATGAATGCATCTCCTTTAACCTTTATTAAATCTCCTTTTTTCTTGGCACCAATTGATATAAGGTATTTAACGACATCAAATTGTTTTTCTAGTTCTGCATAATCTAGTGGATATCTTCCTGCTCAATTTTGATTGTTTCTTTCTGCACCATTAGATATAAGACATCTTACTACTTCCTTATGACCTTTCCAAGATGCCAAAATAAGCGGAGTATTGCCAATATAATCTTTCGATTCTAAATATACCTTCATAGAGATAAGATATTTTACTACTTTAATTTTTCCATAAAATGATGCAATCATGAGTGGATTTCTATCACTATTATTTCTTACATCTTTATCTCATCCACACTCAATTATTGATTTTACAAATGTTAAATTTCCTCGCATGCATCACTAAAAGTCCACCTTCGTAAGCTTTGGACATCATTTTTTGATTCTCTTGCATTGAAAGCTCGTCAAGGAATTGATATACACCTTCTATTTCTTTTGAATTCTTATAATGGGAAATTTTTGTTATGATTTAATTTTCATTGTTATTTTTCAGATTGTTATTTTCATCAATAAGTTGTTTGACACGCAAATTATTGTTTTTGATTTCATTTTTTAAACAAATATTTTCCTCGCAAATTTTAGAGTAATATGATTCTTGCCCTTTAATTTTAGATTTAAGTGTTGAATTATCTCTGTCACAGCTAGTCATTTGTTTTGTGATACTACACAATTTTGTCTGCAATTCATTATTGGAATTTTGATTTTTCTGTTTGATTTAAGAAATCAATTATGATATCTAGAAATCTCAATTTCATGAAATTTTCAACAGCTCTCAGAGTTGAAATGATATCTTGAAAGTTATTAATATATATTGATGCATTCCTTGTGCAAGAATATAATTCTTTTGTAGAGTTTGTATTATTAATTTGTTTTAGAAGATTTTCAAAATCATCTGGAGTCAAAATAGCTGATTTCAACGCTAACTTTATATCTCTTGTTTCAAAAATATTACCAACTGTCCCATTATTAATAAAATCATTGATATGAGCTGCTATATACTCATAGTTAAGAATTAGTCCTTGATTCATTAATAAAAATGACAACAAAACATTTAAAATCTTTCATAAAATTTGATTAATCGTTAGGAAATTTTAATCAATGCTAATCAACTTTCTTAATGGTGCACCTACCACTTTCTGACACACTCTCAATTTTTTTGACACTCTAACTTTTAACCCAAATTTTCTAAGGTAAAAAATTAATAATTTTGTTCGGGAAAAAGTTTTTTTTAAATCAATATATAGTACCTTATATAAAGACATATTGATATTATGCGAACATCATATCAGACATTGGTAAGTTCACCCTTAAAAAATCCAAATTAAAATTTAGTAAATTTAACCCATTTATATCAAATATCATTAATGCAAATCTTATACATTAATACAAATGATTTTCAAACTGTTTTGACGAAGTCTTCTGTGAGTTCTCCTTTGGGAGCTCTTTTTGAACGGAGAAGAATGATAGCACAAATAACAAGAATAATGCATGCCAAAACAAATATACCGAGTGAAACAGATATAATAATAGTGGTTTTCTTAGATTTGCCCTGCTTTGAATCATCCGGGTTTTCTGTAGGTGTTTGTACTGGTGTTGTTACTCCTGGGTTTTCTGTTGATGATGATTCCGGTGCAGGTGTTGGGGATTAAGTTGGTTTCGGTGATGGCGTTGGTGATGGAAGATCTGGATCTAGAGGACATAGTTGACTTGCATTTTCAATTGTGTATAAACCATATTTAGTTGGAAGTGTGAGACTGAGATCTTCTCTAAACAAAAATGGTTCCTTAGTTTCTGTATCTGGAATCTCATCATATCTAAAATTGAGTTCTTTTATTCCTTCAGTTTTATCAATGGAAGTAAGCTCAATCGTATAAATGCATTTATTAGACATTGTTTTGTTTGTATATGTGTCTAAAAATTGATCTGGATTTGACTCAATATCGAGATCATCTGGCTTCGAAAATTCGAACTTCCTAGAACTTTTAGAAATTAAAACAGCTGTTGTAAGAAAATACTTTGCTCCATCAGATTTTTCAATTACATATTCTTTGAAAGTATGGCTGCCTTGTCTTTTAGTATCTAGAACGACTTTATGTGAAAATTCGACTGGTCCCATATCTGAATCTGTTACATTCATGTAACAAGGTGGTGGTAACTTTAACGCTTGTATTGCGCAACTCTTTGTTGTGTCTTTACAGTTAATTCTGGTCATTGGATATTTTGTATTTAAATCTAAATTGTCAACCTTTCCAACAGAAACTAGTGGATTTTGAATAGGGTTAGTGTATTCAAAATTATATTCGTTGTCTGGGAAACCCACAAGGCCAATAATCTCAGAATCTGATCCAATGAAAATACCTCCAACAAGGCATATGTATTGTCCCTCTTCAATATGGTACAAATGCATTGAAGTATCCTTATCATCTGTTAAATCAATTATATTTGATTGTGTACAGCCATTTATCTTGTCAATATAATTGTTTATATCGATATTGCTTTCACGAGGAATTCGTACACTGGCTGACAACCTTTCATGGGTCTTCATTAGACTTAATGCAATAATATTGCTTAGCATTGTCGAAAAATGAAAAATTCAATAGTGTTTTTAGGTTAATGTTTCTTTCAAAATTCAATTCACAATTACGAAATCGTCAGAAGTGTTTACCTCTTTGCATATGAAAGAATTCAAATACTATAAATGTGATGAAATTGTAATTCAAATTTTCAAATAAACGATATCGTTTTATTAATTTGTATCATATTGAAAACTGAATCTGAAATCCAAATATTTTTAAGGATTCACTGCATGAATTGAGAAAAACAATATTCACTAAAAATTGAGACATTTCTTGGCCTATAGTTCAGATCCAATTGATTTTGACCAACCACCTATCTCAATTTTTCCACCCATGAGACTTTTGATCTAGGCGAATATTAAGGGAAATTTGTTGAGAGATAGTTTGATAAAATAAAAATGTTGAAAATTTCCAATAATTATTTCGGCAAATTGAATAAATTTTTGATGTCCAAAATTTATATCCCAATTTTCTAAGGTAAAAAGTTACCCTCCATTTCCAGGAATTACCGTCACTTTTTTCCACCTTCTAAAAAGCTCCTATATCTCGAAATATATAGACATTTTCTAAGCTTTTTAAAAGAGGATATGATAGAAAAGATGTTGAATTTTATGATTTTGTACTTTGCATTGAAATATGAGATATGAGATTTAATATGATTTGATTGCAAGTTGAAATTTTTGATTTTTATAATATAGCATTTTTATGATATAAAGAGTGTTTTTATAATAAAAGTTTTGCTCACAAACAAAAATTTTGGTTAAACAGTTGGGGAAAAGCATAATAGTCGTACTGATTGACAATGATTGTAGCTTTAGCATATGCGTGTTCATAACAATTTATGTTTGTCCAGCGTTTATAAATGTGATTTGGAAAGGGCGTCCATGATTTTCCTAGTTTTGATATGAGAATATTATCGATGGAATAGTAAGCATCATTGCTTGCACGGATTTGGAATGAGATGATTCTAAGGACATTAGCAACATAGCATCTTGGAACCGTTAAATACTTCTCTATTTCAGTGAAATCTTTAGAATTAAACAAAAATATTTGAAACAAGCCCGAGTTTTAATCGCACATACGAAAATGAGTTAAATTACTATAAATACAAAAATAATTAAGGGTCAACTTGCCGTTTCTTGACATGCTCGAAAAATATCAATATATCATTATTGTAATTGCAAAAAATTATAAAAGTAATAAAAAGTATCAGGTTGTAATTTAAAATAACTTTTTCCCTTAGAATAGAGTGTCAAAAAGTGTTAGTACACCATTAAGTATAAATTAATTTAATATCAATTAATTCCAATTGATCTTAGATACATTCTGATGTTTTCTGATGATTCTGCAGCAGTGAGAACTGTTTTCCCAGAGATTGTTTTTGCGTTAACATCAACTCCAATTGATATAAGATACTTTACTATTTCAAGTTGATTATTTCCAGCTGCAATAATGAGTGGAGTTAAACCATAAATGGTTTTAGCTTCTTTATTAGCTCCAGCAGAGATTAGATATTTAACAACTTTAAGGTTTCCACCCAATATTGCCCAAATAAGAGGAGTATTTCCATTTAATGTCTTTGATTCAATATTACAACCACTTCTAATGAGATGTTTTACAAGCTTAAGATTTCCTCGGGTACAAGAAGTATGAAGTATGTTCATTCCTCCGTTCTGAGATTTCTTTCGCCAAAGTCCTTTTTTGCACGCAACTAATAACATCTTTTTATTATTTTGTTCTGAAAGCTTATCAAAGAACAAATAAATACTTTCAAAATCATTAGATTTCTTTAATTGAACAATCTTTGATAAGTTTTCTTGTTCTATCATCTCTACGAGTTTCTTGTTATTTTCATTCATTGGCATGCTATTTGATCTATGTAACATTGTATTGCTCATAGATCCGATATTTTCATTGGCTGATCTCCGGAGATTTATCTCAAACTCTACAACTTTCATTTTATGCTTTATCATCTCTCTTTCACAGTCTTTCTTTTGATTTATAATTGTTTTTAAATCCATTTGTAGTTTATCAATGGAATTTTCTAGTTCGGAATTTTTCTTTTTCAAATCAGAAATTTCTAAACTAGATTTGGCAATGAAGTCAATTATTTCATCATGAAATCTGAGACACATATGCTTTTTAACAGCTTCCAGAATTGAGATGGCTTCGTCAGAATTGCTGATAGAAAATGTAGGAATACTATAATTTAAATCTTTCTTTGTAAAATGTGATGATATTTGCCTTAGTAACTCAATAAAATTAGTTGGTGTCAACTTTGCTGAGTTGAAGTAGAATTTGAAATCTTCCTCTGAAAAAATATCGATAATTACTCCATCTTCAATATAATCATTGATGTGGGCTGCAATATACTCGTAATCAGGATATAGATCCACAGACATCAATATGAAGTATGCTGGTAAAAAAAATAAACTAAAATTTTTATTTCTTTCAAATTGATAGTCGTGATATTTCAATTCAAATTTTTTATAAGGAAGAATATCATGTAATTAGTATTTCATATCAAAAATTATAATATTTTTCATTACATATCAGAAATATATAGTTTACATCACAAATGATTTGTGAAATTCGCATTGATTATCCAAGACACTTGAATGCGCAATGTTCAGGATTAAAAGTCTGATTTTTAACACGTCATGAAATTTTAAATTCTAGAGTCTTTTTTATATCCATAAGCTCTTTACTTTAACTAAATTGTAAATTATTCAAAAATTCTATTGCATTCAAATTTTTTACAAAAGTTTTCTTGCACTTTCTCTCAATTTTTGTTGTAAACATCAGAAAAATAAGTAAAAAAATCGAAGTCTTTAGTCCGTGTTAAAAACAAAATATGAAGAAAATCTTCAAAGGGAAGGTCAGGCAAGCATATAGGTATGCTTTTTTTAAAAATTTCATGTAAAATAATTTCCATGATCATCATAAATTGCTTCGTAGAGATATGGAATTGTGATCCTTCAAGGGGCATCGATCCAACTAAGTAGTTGTTGGGCGGTCTTTAACCAGTGGAAAGGGAAAGGGAGGAAAGTTAGGAAGTGTTGTTGGCCTCCATTGAGAATATTTTTGAAAGAGTATTCAATATTTTAAAAGATTTATACTAAGTTATATGATTTTTAAAGACAATCGATTTTTTTCACTTTTTTTCTGAGTTTACAAAAAAATTGAGAGAAAGTTCCAGAAAACTTTCTTGTAAAAAATTTAGAAGGCTATAGAATGATGATAATTTTATTGCAACAAGATTGTTTAGGGGACCATAATTACGACTAATTTTAAATTCATAGTGATTCAATATTAAAATTAAATAATAGCCTCGAAAAACCCTAATGTTGTAATTTATTTATTTTTTTATTTGATAAAAAAGAAGCAAATAAAATAAGAGATTAACGTGAATGGTAGTAACTTGTGATTTAAAACCTTAATATGATATAAATTAACAATTAGAGCTGACAAATTCCATTTTTCATGTTTTGCCACTTGAAAAACTGTCCTACCAATACCATCTTTTGCATAAATATCTGCACCATGAATAAGTAGATATATTGTTATTTCTGGACGATCATAAAGTATTGCATAATGAAGAGGTGCGTAACCTAATCCTACTGTTTTGAAATCAGCTCCATGAGAAATTAAAATTTTCGCAATTTCCACATAATTCTTCTCAATTGCAATTCGAAGAGCATTATCTGCATTTTCATTTGCTCTTTTCATATTAACACCATTTAAGATAAGATATTCAACGATTTGTTATGAATTATTGAATGTCGCAATGGAGAGAGCTGTACGACCATATTTATCTTTTTCATTGACATTTGCCCCATGTTTAATAAGCATTTCTAATATTTCCATGTTGTTATTACGTGCTGCATTATGAAGTGCAGTACTTCCATCGACATCTGTAAAATTAATAGAAGAAGAATTCGAAACAATAGTTTCTAAAGTTTCGATACTATTAAACTTCACTGCATAATGAAGTGCTGTGAATCCATTTATATCTCTAGCGCTGATATCAATATTCTTTGAAACAAGAAATTTTGCAATCTCTTTAGAATTTTTCATTGCTGCATAATGAAGTGCATTTTTCCAATCTTTATTTTTTGAATTGATTTTTGATCCATGGAGAATAAAATATTCAGAAAGAGGATGAATATTAAAAAGTGGCGACATAACATAACCAATATTAACATCTTTTGTTTTATCTATATAAACAGCAAGGGCTTGGAGATTGTAATATTTGATGCACTTATTTGTGTCGATTTTAATACCGAATTCATTATTTAGAAAACAAGTAAAATCAATGTTATGCAATGAAATTGCATATTCCATACATTTTAAATCAGGTTTGAAATATTTCAAACATTCATTCAAGATGTCAGGAATTCCACTCAGAAAAGAATTTAAAAGACATTTTGAAGTGATTTTTGATTTGCGTTCTAATATCAAATACTTAAAACAATTAACAGCTCCATAATAACAACATAATTCGATCAATGAATATGTTCCAAAGTATGGAAATAAATTATTTCTGATTTGCGATGATAGAGAAATATCACTATCAAAACTTTCTATGATTGAGATAAATAATTTGATGTCATCATCTAAAATTGCTTTGTATAATGGGTTATTATCAAAAATAGAAAGTAATTGGTTCTGTTCATTCAGACTATCTTTAAATATTTTGTAATCTGAAGAATAATTTTCATCAAATAATTTCAAAGATGAATTTGAAACAATTTTGATAGTGTCAAAGTATTCATCATAAATCTTTCGAAATATGTATATATATGATTTAAGGTACTTATTATTTAATTTTGCAGCAGTGAAAATAATTCCCATCATCTCAGTTGGTAACAATATTTTTGTTTCTATAAATATGTCCTTTAAGTTTTTGTATATCATATCTATCTCTTTTTCATTGTACGTTCTTAGTCTGAATAATTCTTTTATGGCTTGATCCTTCTCTTTGACTAAATCCATAATTTCATTATAGATATTTTCACTCATTCAATTTTTTTGTTAAATGATCAAAACTCTCACAATTTTATAAAGATATTACAACATCTTTCTTTATTCTTTTTGAGCTTATATTGTTTTCCTCAAGCTTTTAAAGTTTATTTTATAAAAATAGAACAATAATATTTAATTTCTAATCAAGAATATCAACAATTCTCATTCTTTCTAAATCAGTATTTACTTGATCTTCAGATTTCTTAATGCCCATCACATCATATTACATCTAAATGAGAAGATGACGCATCTTAGAGAATACCATCCTGAGATCAATTTCTATCAACGATAGCATTAATTTGGTCGAAAAAGATCCAAAAATTGTTTTTAAGATTTTTTGTCCACTTTTTATAGCACGATAAGCATAAAGGTATAATAAGAAGATGCTCAACATAAAGATAACTAATGCAATTTAGATAATTTAGAAAAAAATTAATTTTTTTTTTGTCTACTTTTTATAGCATAATAAACATAAAGGTATAATAAGGAGATGCTAGACATAGAGACAACTAATGTAATTTAGATAATTTAGAAAAAAAATTAATTTTTTTTTTTTGTCTATTTTTTATAGCATAATAAACATAAAGGTATAATAAGGAGATGCTAAACATAAAGATAATTAATACAATTTAGATAATTTAGAAAAAAATTAAAATAATTTTTTTTTGTCTATTTTTTATAGCACAATAAACATAAGAAAAATAGTAATATAGGAAAAGAGAAACAATCATCAGTTAGAAGTTGGGAAACCAGCGAGTTTCTCCATCAAAATCTTATCCGGGATTGTTCCTCCGTTCAAAATCATTCTCTGTATCTGTTGGACCGGCCAAATTCCGTAAGGAGAGTTCTGGAACCTGTAATAAATCACAAGTTTCTTGGCGATTTCGTATCTCCTCTTCCAGTTGATTGCGACACCATCTATGAAGTTATCGCCAGGTGGAATGGCCGTAGAAAGTATGTCCACGCTCAAATTAGGTATTGTTGGACCGGAATTGTCGTATCTCGAAATTATCGTATTATTATATAGCTGAACTCCTTCGTTGCTGCTTGAAACCTTCTTTCCAGCATTCAGGAACTGGTCCTCAAGCTTCGCCTGCTTGATGGAGAACTTTAATTCAGGAATTGTGATAATTTTCATTATTGAAGCCAAAGCTGCGTAATTTGCCAAAGAATCCAAGCAATTTGCAAGGTTAAGGATGTAATTAAGTGCTTCGTTTCTGTTTCCATGCTTTACAATGGCTTCAATTATGACTCTTTCAAATCTATGCGTTGCTTCAAGGAATTCAGTGATCTTTGGTACTTGCATTGAGAATCTCCTTGTTTGTATCATGTAAGCGAACTCTCTGGCCGGTATTAATTTGTAGATATCGTATAATAACAAAGTAATCTGCTTTGCGACTTCAACTGACTCAACAATAGTAAGGTTGAACTTCGGATTGAAGAGTTTCGGTACTACTTCCGCTGAAATTTGTGGATTTTGCTTAGTTGGTTCTTCAATATTTTGAATTCCGTAAGTTAGAACGGGAATTTGTAGTACAATGTTCTTTAGAACAGGTCTGCACTCATTGATTTCTTGAGAAGTATCGGTAGAATCGAGAATTGCCTGTGCAAAATTCAACATTAATTTCAAAGTTTTTCTTCCAATGAATAAACCTGAGAAATTGATCCAGCGCTGCATCAAATTGACAACGCGTAATTTAATATTCGGAACTTTGGAGGAAATTTCGGAAGAAGCTGATTCATCCGAAAAATCAAGGTAAAACATAGCGAAAAGGTTCTGTAAGAAATGCTCATTCGATGTTATTTGCTGTATAGATATTAATATCAAATCTACATCTTCATCTTTCATTTTCAAATTCGGATCAATTAAATCTCCCAAAACTGCAATAACAATCATTCTTTTGAGCGTACATTTCGTAATAGATTTGAAGGTTTTATCTTGCTGTCCGAATTCGATATTTATCGATGGATTTAGTATTTCTTGGTAGATTAATCTTTGATTTTCTCTGTAATGGCATGAAAAGAGGTCTTCCTCGAGAAATTCGTTGATAAACTTACAGTCTACTTCACCGCTGATGTCCCAAGGGTTTTCTGAAGGAAGGACACCTAAGGAAGCCAAAATTCTTAATCCAGTTCTTTCCCAGGGCTCCTCAAGGACTTGAAAATCATGCCCCGACTCTATCTGTAGTTTCTCGGCGGTATTTTCCATTCCAACAGATAGGAAATGGTTGTAAATTAGTTGCAAAATCGAATATCTGTTGAAAACAACCGGTGAAGCTGTTAATTGAGTATGAATCATATTTGCAAATGATATACCGCCTGTCCATGCTAAAGATCTCTCCCTCAAGGCAAGCAATTCCGGATCTTCCTCTAATGCACGAGGAAGCCACTGGCATTGCTCTTCAGCTAGAGGATTTGAAATCGGTGATTCGTGTTTAGGTTCTGGTGGAGGTGGTGGCGGAGGAGTCTCTTCGACGACTGGCTCTGCAGCTGGGGGAGGTGGAGTTGACACCTCCGTTGTCATTGAATTTTTTTCTATCATTGTTGTTAGTGGCGTGAAGAGAAGATTTCAAATCAAAATCAGAATCAGAAATTCATTTAATAACTTTGCAAAGATTTAAAATTCCTTTTGCAGCTTTAAATAGGGATTATTTTTGTTAATTGTCAAAATATTCTTTGATTTTTGTAGTTTTTCATTGGATATACAGTATCAAAAACTACAATAGTTTGTTAGTACATTCTTGAATGACTAGCTAGAATATTATGTAAATACCTTATTTTTGATTTAATTTTTTAGACTATAGATTCAAATACTTAACAATTAAAGCCCTTAACAATTGTTTTAATTAACCTTTACGCAAGAATGATTAATTTCAATAAAGAGTTTTGAGTAATAGAATTTCATTTGTTTTTTAAGCAAACACATTTGAATCATTGAACTTGAGATACAGCAACCTTAACTGTATCCAGAATATTGTGTTTGAATATAGATTAGCCAAGATATTATTCGTAATCATAAACTGTTGTTGTAGTATTAGGTAAAATAATAAAATTTAAATATCAAAAACAAACATGGTTTAATCAAGATCATCTTGGATACGAATATTAACAATCGTTGGTTTTTTGTCAATAGATGACTTTAAGTACTCTTTCATCATATTGCAATCATATATATTAGCATATGTTGCAATTGTGGTTCCTCTTGAATCCTCTAAATATGGATTTGCTCCATTTTTAATTAAAAACTTTACAACTTCGAAATTTCCAGCACTTGCTGCAACAATAAGTGGATGGTTTTCATTGAACAGTGTTCGAAGATTGACATTAAGTCCTTTCGCCCAAATCATTAAAATTTCTTGGGAATTTGACTTTTTTGCTGCATCAAAATACTCTCCGAAGAAGTAAATGAAAGCAGTGGTATTAAATGACTCAGCAGCAGGCGATAAGTAGTTAATTGACTGAGTTATTGGAAAATTATTAATCATCCACTCAACAATGTCATTGTGATGGTACTCAATCGCTTGTGGCAAAAAATTAATCATATTTATTCCATTTTCCATGCAAATTGAAATAATTTGAAGATCACCACCACAAACAGCGCTTTCAGCCACAGATTCATCAATTTTCCATCCCTCAAGAACAAGGTACTTGAAAATATTAACAGATCTGCAAAATGCCGCAAATTGGAAGACATTATAAATTTCATAGCCAAAAGTAAAAGTTTTTTCTTCAATATTAGTACATGAATCATAGTAAGATACAAACTTATCAAAATCATGGTTGTAGATGATTTCTTCTAATGAATTCCTTTCAACTATTCTTTCATAGTTTTTGTAAGTGTTCGATGTGTAAGGAAGTTGTCCCTTTTGGCATAAATACTTTACAAATGCATTTTTAGGGTACTTTTTTGATGTTGGTGGTAGCATTTTCCAAATTTTCAATAAAAATGGGAATTCTGATCTCCTAACTTCTGCGCAATAAAATATCAGTTGCCGTATTATAGATTCATCGTATTTTTTAATCACGTTTCCTATTGTTTCGAGATTGGCCGGATCACATTTAAAAATTAAGTCTTCTAACTTTGCATATTCGACTAATTCATCAAGTCCTATCAAATCGTTAGACTTATATTCCGACAGTCTCTCATTCATCTGTAAAATCTAATAACAATTTGCAAAAAAGTGACAAAGTGTTAATGACAATTATAAAAAACTTTACCAAAAAAAGCATGATAGCAGGGCATTTTGGCACTGGCTATCTAAAACGTGAATTATAAAGCTTTAATACCTTTGAGTAGATGTACTATTTTGTGATTTTTACCAGTTTTTATCGAATATCATTAAAATTATTTATAGATTGCAATGATTGCATTGATCTACAGGGGTTTCTATACCATCTACTGTATTTCTCATCAATCCAATCTTTATTTCCAAGGATTTATTTTTTTCCAACAAACAAACAAAAAAAATTTTTTTCATATCGAAATTTGTCTTATATTGTAATAATTTTTACATTTTGAGATTTATTATTGATCCAAACAACAAATTGGATTTATAATATAAAAAATTATCGTCCTATAAACGGTTTTGACACACCGGTAGCCATTGATGGATTCTCGGGAAAAGATCTCTGTAGAAAGCATTAAAAGCCAATTTAATGATGATCCTTCTGAGCAGAATGTTGAAGGATTATATAAATGCGAAGTTGCTCAAGAAAATGATTACAAATTGAAAGAACAATGGGAAAATGCATCCAAAGTTAACGAGCCTTTCCCAGAATATGTCGATGGCTATGATGAAGACTTTTATCATGACGATGCCGATGAAGTAGCTTTAGATCAAATGTCACAGCTTTACAGAGAGGAAGAAAAGATGAACAGAGCAGATCGTCGAGAAGAATTAATGAAATATTATGAGCAATTCAAAGAAGACCATAAAGCAGCTTTCCCACAATTATATCAAAAAGTAACGAAGCCAAAGGCATCACCGTCCAAGGCAAAGTCTGCTTCAAGGCCAGCACCAAAGAAAACATTCTCACCATCAGAATCTGATTCCTCATCAGAGCCAATATCAGAACTTGATTCAAATGATGCTGACGATCTTATCATGAACTATTCAAGTGATGACTTAGATCGTGATGGCATAGATTCTGAATCATCATCAGATGCTGAAGAAAAGAAGCCATCCAAAGCAGCATCAACAGAAAAACCGAAGCAATCAACACATATTTCATACAACGAACTATTAAATGCAACAATTTCAAGAACAAAGCTCAACCATATACTCAGCGACTTCAAGACATACTTAAAACAGAAAGTTGTTATCTTTATTCACTTTAAAGACGGAGATCATAACTCAATTGGCTATCTAAAACATACATTTAACTGCCACGAGGCTGATGTTGAATGCTATGATATTGTTTCTGATATTCAAATCCATATTGCACCAGAAAACGTTTTGGACGAACAAATTCCTCGTTCGTTATTCGAAAAAATACATTATGACTTATCTCAGTTGTCCGATGATATCAAACGCGGTATCAAACTGCTCAAGAACAATATTGAAATCAAATCAAAGGATAGCAAGGATGATGCATTCAGCGAATTAGAGAAATTATACAATATGGTCATGAACGGCCAATTACATAACATTTCTGGTTACAAATTCCAACTTCAGGAAGAAATTAAGAAAATTCAAGAAGAAATTGGAGAAAATGAGTTGGGTGATGATTCTCATGATGAAGCATCTGATGAACTTCACACTAGAATCGAAAAAATGAATGTTTGGCTGGCAAATGTAGAAGAAAAACTCAGAAAACAGCCAGATCCAAAAGCTATCGTCGACCATCCAGTTGTTATTCCTAAGGACAAGATGTCTGCCTTCGAGAAGCTCTTAACTCAGCAAAAGAAGCCAAATCCGAAGAAAGTGGATACTGTGGTCGATCAGCAGTCTCAGGAGAAGAATTATAAGGAGAACCTTAATCGTTTGTTTGATGATGATGACGATGATGCATCCGGAAGCTCGGATTAAAATAAAATAAAAATTTCATTATAAAATAACACGATCTGCCTTGAATTATCCAAATTTACTCAGTCATGGCTTCATGAAAATCGTGTTCGATGCATTGTATCAATTAGGAAGACGAAAATTTTATCAAAAAAAATTTCAAAAAAAAGGGGAAAAAAAGTGAAATATTTTATGACCAAGTTCTGATATCAGAAACAAAAATTTATAAGGTCGATGAAAAAATGAGCGTTTTTAAAAAACCGCCGTTTGAGAGGAAAATTGAGAGCCCCGATGTATACTTTTTGACATTGTCAAAAACTTTGAAAGGACTAAAAAAATTTTAGTGTCAGAAAGTTTACAAATGTATACTTTCTGACAAACAGACTCTCAGAAAGTACTCAAACTGCGGTTTTTAATTTCCGCACTTTTTTTGGCGACCTTATATATATATAGAATTAAAAGCATGAAATGCGGATCGATTTTTTCCGAATTTTTTTCTAATTTTTTTTATTGATATTCGAATTGGAAATGAAATATTTCACCTTTTTATCCCTGTTTCAACAAAATTTACATTATTTCAATGCAACCATCTCATTTCCCTTTTCAATATCTTATTTAATTGATTATTTATTCAATTGACATTGTTATAGTTATAAACATATATATTTTCTACCATTAGTTAATCTTTTCATTTTGTCATTTATAAAACAGAAAGATATTTTAGTAAAAATAAATAATTTTTTTATAAATGATAGATTTAATATTATTATCTTTAATATATAACGTAACTTAATTCATAACTTCACACTACTATAATAGAATCAAAATTAAAATCAAATATAAAAAATCTAAATGCAAAACAAATGAATTTGCAGTAGTAAATAAGTCAGTTTTGTAGTTTTGAGATATAAAGTATTGGTTTACATCTTTAAATCGTAAATAATATATTTGTATTCAAGAATCTTTTTATTGGCCGGTAAATCCAATATTATTTAGCTGCGCGGCTTCTCCTTCTTTCCGAGCCAGAGGGCGAGGAGTGAGAAACCAGCGACCTTGATGACTTTGAAACGGCATCCAGGAAGGTCACCGACAGAACGGCCGGAACGACCCATACCGGCAATAAGAACACGATCGTTATCATCAATGAGACGAAGGGAACCATCACGTGGAACGAAAGCTGTAACGACCTTGGAGTTCTTCTTGAGCTGAACACGGACAGCTTTACGAATGGCGGAGTTTGGCTGCTTGGCTTCGACAGCGACCTTGCCGACGACAATGCCGGAGGCCATTGATGTGCCCTCAAGTGGGGTCTTGTAGATGGATGTGCCGAGAGAGCGGCGGTAAGCATTAGAAGCCCAAAGGTTGGACTTGTGAGCAAGACGGAGCTTACGAGCGGCGAGGCGACCGCAGGCCTTGGATTTACCCATTTGCTAAAAGGCCATGAACGATCATTTTGAACTCAATTTTTACCATGATAGCGCATAATTTTTTTTGTTCGATGTTTATGAGCAATTTAATTCTTGAATTTTTTAATGGTATTTTCTAATTTTCGAGATTCATAAATAAACGTCACTTTTATTGATAGAATTCCCTCAATTATTTTAAGAGAAAAGGAACAGAACTGTTAATAATTATCAATGATAAATCAATGAATTGATGGTGTAAAAAAAATCCAAATCACACATTCAAAAAATAAATGAGTTATTGCCCATCAAATTCGCATAGCCATTCAGACTTTCTTCCAGGCATTTCGTCTATACCAGATGGTCGAAGAACTTGTTCTGGGCGTTCATGCGTAGCGTCATCAATTGATTCAATTTCGGGATTTCATCATCATTCTCAATTCGATGATAGTCCATGGACTGTTATCGAAGTTGACGGCCCTGCACCAGAAACAAGGGTTGGACAAACAATCATATACTGGCCAGAAGGAAATTCCATTATTTGCGCTTATGGAAGAAATAAAGATGACTCCTTCTCTGATGAGTTTTGGAAATTTTCTATTGAAACAAACAGATGGGAGAAGTTACCAGTTGAGAACGTAACACCAAGAGCTGCTGCCGGCTGTGCTTTGGTAAATTCAAAATTATATTTCTTTGGAGGAATTACAACATCAAGCTTCGTAAAAGAATATCATACAGTTGATTTAAATACATTAGAAGTTGAATACCCAGTTACAACAGGTGATGCGCCACCAGAATGTGCACTTCCTCTTGTTGCTTTCTATAACAAATACTTGATTGTTTGGGCAGGTACATCTGGCTCAAATTTGTCTTGTTTGCATATCCTAGATATCGAAGAAAACCATTGGGAACAAATTAAAACAGATTTTGTCGGAAGACAAGGAGCATGCGGCTGCATTATTGATTCTACCCTTTACATATACGGAGCTAGTTGCTCAATGTCAATTCTCGCTTTGAATCTCGAAACTTGGGAATTTACTCCAATTCCAACAACAGGAGCAGAACCTCCTCGCGGACTTGATTGTCTTACAATGATTACTTCAGGCAATACAATTCTCGCATTTGAATCAAATTGCTCGGCAAATACAGCTAGAATGTATGTTTACGACATTGAAAGATCAAATTGGATTAGTCACACTGTTAATATTACGAATGAACAAACAGAACGTCCTAAAATCGTATTTTACCTCCCAGATTCAAGAAAATTATTGGCATTAGGAGAAAGTGCTTCAGGAGTGACCCAGCCACTCTCTGAATTATCAATTGGCAAGATGATATCCTCCCTCAACCAAAGAATAGACATGCTTTCCGCTTTGAGAGGACTTCTTTAATTATTTTTGTTTCGTTGTGAATGTTGAATGGAAATTCATCAACTGGCGAGCTTTAAGGATTCTTCTTAAGCTCGTTTTACTGATTAATATTTAGTATATATCATATTATTTTTTATTTACTTCATATAATTAAACTATAGATTTTAAATAACTATTTATCCTCATTTACAATCATCCACATCTTTCAAACATTAAATATAATAACAATTTTTTTAATAAGATCTAATTATCGAAATATCAGGTATTTTTAAGGGACTTAGGCTATAATCCTTCAATAAAATTTGAGAATGAGTTATTAAAAGCATGAAAAGAAATCAATATTTGATTGAAATTATTTTCTTTGAAAAATCAGTCTCCTTGTGAAAAAAAATATTAACCTAAGCTATTGTTATATCATTCGCATACTATATGTACAGAGTTATTGATAAGATTAAACTTTGAATCATGCGAAACATCTGAAATGAAGCGAGTGTTGAATAAAATACCTTACTAAATTAAAATGATCGGATTATAGTGATGATAATATAGCAGATTTCATTTCTTCTGCTTTACTGAACAAAATTTACGTTTAAAAATTCGTCTCAATTCGATGCTCGAAACTTCTAGCGCGAAGGAGAATGTCAATCGGCGAATTATGATTGATCTCCAACGCAGGCTTGCATTGATCGAAGATGATATTAAAGTTGCAAAGAAAACTCGTGAAAATTTGAGAAATGATAACGAAAAAATCGAAGAACAAATAGATCAGAATTTATTTCGCTTAGAGGAACTTAAATCTCAAAAGCCAGAAGTCAATGCAGTATCGAATCCAGAAGAAATAACAGAAGAAGAAAAGAAGACAACATTTTTCGGAAATCTTGCTCAACTAGAAGCATTCGAAGCAAATACAAGTGCACAAATAGAAGAATTGAAGAAACAATATAGTCAATGCACTCATGAATATACAATTCAAATTCAGCGTCAAAAAGTTTTAGAGTCTAAGCTTTTAAATGCTCAAGAACGATTGAACCTCCAAAAAGAGCAACACAGTAATGCAAAATCAGAATATGCAGTTACACAGCAAGAAAACTTGAGATTATCAGATCAAGCTTACAATCTTAATGATACACTCAGTTACTTGAAAGAAGTCCTTGAAAATAAGCAAACTGAACTAGATTCATACTCAAGCCAGCTAGATGACCATCTTTCTGGTCAGAAAAAACCATTACTTGAAGAAAGAGAAGAACTGTTAAAAGATCTCGAATTTATCCAAGGAAGACTTAAAAAGCTTCAGGAACAACATGAAAAGAACGTTGTAATTCAAGAAAATGAGGTAAAACAAGCTGATAATATTAATACATGGATATTTAGAAGGAAACAACTGCTAGAACAGATCAAAAAGAAAAGAACTAATATGTCTAGAAACCAAACATCTTTGAAGCGTGCTCAATTGATGAATACCGAAATCAGATCTAAATTTACTGCAATGTTTGGAAGATCTGATCCAGGAGATGGAACTGGTGCTTTCTCTAAGTTGATGGTTCAAAGTGAAATAGATTCTATTGAAGAAAGTAATAAAGTTTACATAGAAATTAATGCAGAAGAAAATTATAATCAACAGCTCAAAAAAGACTTGCAACAAATCGAGAATTCTCTCAAAGAGTTCGATAAGTTCAGCCAAAACACTCTGTCAGAGTTGGGGTGTGAAATCGAAGCCTGCAAGAATGAAGCATACTTGAATCTTCTCAAAGACGAGAAAACCGCCATTATTACTTCTAATTGTTTGAATTTTTGATTTTCTAATAAATATTTGTCTGTGTTTTCTTATATTTCATTAAGATACTCTTTTTTAAAATCGATATGAGGATATAAGTTGATATGACTAATTTCAACTAATGTATTGTAATAGAAGTAACTTTTACAAAAATAATGTTTTCCATTACAATACATTTTTAGTCCGAAAAACAAAGATATTACATAATTAAGCTTGAGATAAAAATCTCGTTCAAATAACAATGTTTTGTCTGGAGAAGGCTTGCAGCAATCTTGTTTAAAACCTAGGGGAACAGGATATAATGCTAATCCGTTTCTATAATGAATTTCCTTCAATCCTTTAATGAATATTTGATACACACTATTACCTCCATAAATACTATCATAATCATTTATTGAAACATTATTTAAAATATAGTTATATCTGTTTCTGAATTTATCTATTTTAGCTAAATCGAAATATCTTCTTGTGTTTACAGTATAGTCTGTAATAAAGTATTTGATCCGCCAGCAGTTCAAGAATGCATTATAATAAATATTGCAGTTCTGGCCCAGATAAATATATTTCAAATTAATGTAGTTTGAAAAGCTCTCAGTTTTCAATACGACATTATCTGATATTTGCAAGCAACGAAGATTAATACAATTATAAATTCTATAATATTACTCCCTAATATAATGTTTTTCAAATAATAACAATTCATAAATACACCAACACCAATTTCAGTAACACTCTCAGGTAAAATTACCGAATGCAATTTTGTGCCCATAAATGCTCTCTCATTTATTATTTCTATATCATTTGGAAGTATTATTTCTTTAAGATTAATACAATTTGCAAAAATTTCCATCCTAATGATTTTAATTTGATCAGAAATGATTACCTTTTCAATATCAGTGCAGTTTTCAAAAAAGTATGCACCATATTGTGTGTGATTTGTGGTTAATGTTAATATCTTATCTAAGTGAGAACCACTGAAACAAAAATCATATAAATAAAATGGTCCTGGCGGCAACTGAAGAATATTTGGAGTATAGCAATTATAAAAAGCAAAGCGTTTGAAATAACGGATTGAATCTGGTATATGAATTGAAATCAATTTACAATTTTCAAAACAGCTTTCCCATATTTCTCGAACAGTCGGAGGGATTATGAATTCTGTATAATTGAAAGAGTTCTTAAAGAATGAACTCGGGATGTATTTGTTTTTGTTGAAAATAAACTCTTTCAATGAAAAACAATTACTGAAAACAGATTCTCCAAGATCAGTAATAATATCTGGTAATATAAACCTAATAAATCCTGTATTATTAAAGGCATGTGCCCGTATTGCTGTTAGAGATTGTGGTAGTTGAACTTCAGTAAGATGAATACAATTTGCAAACTCGCCATAGCATATTGATACGACACCATCTTGGAATATTACCTTCTTTAGATTTATCATCCCATCAAATAAATGGGATCCTCTATAATCTCCCCATATATGTGGGATGAAGAGTTCTTCGATTAAATTGGTACCACCTAATGAATACCTTCCAAATGAATAAGCTTTGTTAGGAAAATCAAATGATTTCAAGAACGAACAATTATAAAATGCATAATCTTTTATCTCATCTATTGAATTGGGAAGGGTTATGGTTTCAAATGAACAGTTCATAAAACAATAATTATCAATGACTCTCAAACCTGATGGAAAATTAAATGTTTTAAGTTTAATTCCATTCTCAAAGCAAGAAATTGGGAGAGAATAGAAATTTCCATTTAAAATAACTTCGTTCAATGAATAACAGTTTTTAAAAGCTGCTTTTCCAATATTTTTGCATTGAATTGGAATGCTAATTGATTCTAAACCTGAATTCATGAATGCATTTTCTTGAATTTTTAATAGAGATGCAGGTAGTATAATTTCCTTCAAGTTAATGCAATATGCATATTCTTCATAATAAATTTCTGTTATTCCTGATTCAAAAATGACTTTTTCTAAACCTGTTATATATGAAAAACACCCCGGGCTTCTATTAGTAAGATTTGATGGAATTGTTATTTCATTAATTAATTCACAATTATAGAAGGCCGATCTTCCTATATATGAAAGATTATATGGAAAATTCAATGACATATTTAAATATTTGCAATTGTTGAATGCATCCTTCTGGATTTGTTCTAGAGATGATGGAAAGGTTATAAAAGTGATTTTTGCATCTTTGAAGCAATTTGGTTTAATTGTTGTTAGGTGTGATGGAAGATTGATTTCAGAAAAGTTGAATGAACCTTCAAAACAAGATTCTGGAAGGAACATTATCCAGTCATTGAATGTTATTTCTTTGAGAGAACAGCATTGAGCAAACGCTGATTTACCAATTTCTTGAACTAAAATTGGTAAATGAACTGTAAGAAGACCAGTGTAATACAAACCTTCCTCCTGAATATATCTTAATGTTTCTGGGAATATGATTTCTTGAAGATTTGCGCAAAATTTGAACTCTTGTTTGTATATTGTCTCTATTCCATAATCAAAGATAACTTTTTTCAAGTCTGACATACAATAAAATGGGCAATTATTTCTTCCAGAATATGATGCAAGGATATGTATTTCTTCAACTTTATTCATTCCACTAAATGCATATGTTCCAAAATAAATTGGAAAATTTGGAAATGTTACCATTTTTAGTGATTTGCAATTTACAAATGCATAATCACCAATTATTAATTGTTCCAAGTTATTCCCAAATATAACTTCTTCAAGATAAAGACAACTTGCAAACGCCTGCAATTCAATATTGGTAACATTATTAATTTGAAGAGATACTATTCCTGAATTAACAAAGGCTTTTTGTTTAATTGTTGTTAACGAACTTGGAAACTGAACCTCTTTAAGGTTAGTGAAATTAAAAAATTCTTGATCATTAATACTTTGTATACCTTCATCAAATATGATTTTACTTAAACTTGTCATCAAACTATTCCATCGATATCTTCTTATATTTGCATGTGATGGAATTCTTAATTCTCTAATATTTGAGCAGCTGAAAAAGCAACCTTCATGTATTTCATATAAATTTGTTGGCAGAATTATTCTTTTTAAGTTAGTGCAATTATAAAAAGAATATTCCGATAATATATTAATATTTTCTGATAATGCAATTTCAATTATTGAGCTATTATAAAAGCATCTTCTACCTATTTTTATTATTGACCGGGGAAGGAATAAAGTAATACCATTAAATGAATTTTCAAAACATGCTTCCTTTAATTCTGTAACAGCATCATTTAGGATGAAAGATTTTAAATAATAACAATCACTAAAAGCGTTATTTCCGATTTCAATAACACTGATCGGTAAATTAATTGATTCAATACCAGTATGACTGAATGCTCCATCAGAAATTATTTGTAAATGCTCTGGAAAAGTGACACTTCGGATTTGTTCACAGTTATAAAATGCCGATTTTCCTATTTTAGTAATATTAGGCGGTAAAATAAATGTTGTAAGACTTTTGCAATTATAAAAGCAACTATCTGGTATTTCATTGATAAAATTTGGGAGATGCACATTAATTAATTTGACACAACCAGAAAAAATGTCATATCCTAATTGAAAACTTTTATTTGATATCAAAGTAAAGATTGTCAAATTAGGACAAAATCTAAATGCTCCATTTCCTAAATATTCAATTTCTCCATATAATGTTACTTCAACTATAGAGATGCATGAAGAAAAACAACCATTTCCTATCTTCCTGAGATTTTGGCCGAAATTTGGTGAAATATATCGACACCCACTAAAGGCGCCATTGCCAATTTCCTGTAATGTGTTAGGGAAATTAATTTCAGTAAGTGTATAGCATTCAAGAAAAGCTTCGTCTTCAATATACCTGATTGTATTTGGCAATTCAACTTTATCAAGTTTAGAACATGCATAAAAGCATCCATTGCTAATATTTGTTAGATCTCCAGAGATTCTGACTTCTTTAAGATTAGAACATGCTGCAAAAGCTCCTAATCCGATTGAGTGGCATTCAAGGATAGTAATATTAATCAATGTCGCATTTTCAAAGTACTCTAGCTGTCGAACATCTCCTCTAATTATCAGTTCTTTCATATCAATCAAATAAAAATAAATTTTGAGTTTATCAAAATAAACTTTTGAAAGTACTTTTCAAATCTCTGAAAATTTCATTCAAAAATAAAATTTTCATCGTTAAATGATGAATTGAGCCATTAAATTACATGAAATTTATTATTATAATTTTCTCAATTTTCAAAACAATGTTAATCCTATTTAAATTAATTAAACCTAATAGAGTAATATAAACTTTTTATAAACATTGATTGAAAAATTCAAAGCCTGTCAGATTTTTCCCTGACTTCTGATCAAAAATTAATTATTCTTATATCATTGATTAAATTAATGCATACACTCTACTGTTTATTTCGATAATAATATTTTCATGCAAAATGCAATAAGAGTATATTGTGATAAATAAAACTTAATTAATTATTTAGTATCACATACTATAGTATCTTTTTAATTGTATCTCAGAAATGGATTATGAAAAGATTAAGGGTGCCCTATAACGATAATGTAAACATCACAAAATTAACCTTATTAGAACTCGAATGAATGGATTATCCAGATTCTAGTTCTCAATATAATAGCCTTAAAAGTGCTTTTCTGAGGGTGGTCTATCGTCTATAGGGCACCCTTAATCTATCCAAAATTATCAATAATTACAATTTAATACATCGAGCTTTCTTCATGATACAAAATTAAACACATTTCCATGGTTTAGAACTTAGAGGAATGTCGACCAGAATGTTGAGTAGGTGACAAAAGTGCATACTCTTAAACAACCATCGGATTTCCGGGTGAAATCGTGACACACTTTCGTCTTTCGTAGGCAGTGGTGGTTGTTACAAAAGGTAACTTCGAATGTAGCGTGAAATCTGCAAAAAAAATTCTGAAATTTGAATGGAGAACACAAAAATTGAATAGTTTACGTCAATAAAAAAGAGAAAAATGAAGCCAATGTGTCTCGAACCTAGGACTTAGAGCAGCAATCCCACTGTTTATCCCATTACACTACATGCATCTCTCACCTCAGTCAATGAGATCAACTATATGATAACTTTTTCCCCATTATATTCTTGTGGAAAAGTGACAAATAGCAACTTTGACCCTCTCTCCCAGAATGTTCAGATATAAGGTTTTTAAAATTGAGGACTTGAAATAATCAAAATGAATTCCATAAGTATGTAGGATAATAAATACATCTTAAAAATCCAAAGTCGAAACTTTAAAATCTAAAAAAATCACCAAACGCTTCAAAAATCGAATGATGATTAGTGCTCTATGAATTCATTTGAGTAAATTTTCTATTGTAATGTGTGAAAATCAGTATAAACACGAAATAACAGAAATTTCATATTTAGAAATAACAGAATTTAATAAAGATTATGTTTGAGTGAGAAGATAGAGCATTTCAAAATGATATCGAGAGAAATCTCGTTCATGTAATAAAGTTTCCTGCAGCTTGCATTTATTTTGTTTGAAAATTGCAGGTGCTGGAAACAATGTGATTCCTCTCTCTTCATCGTAATAAGGACGACACAATCCAGTAACGTATGCATATGTAACTTTGTAATATAATTTTTGAAATAAGGATGTATAATCTGCCTTTGTGATATTGTTGAAAATATATTTATGTGCATAGTTATTTATATCATAAAAATATTCTAAATGGTCATTATAATCTGTAATAATATACTTGATATTAACGCAATTTTGAAATGCCTGAGGATTAATTCTACAACCCTGCCCAAGATAAATAATTTCCAAATTAAAGCATTGAGAGAAAGTTTCCGCATCTAATATAGAGTTATCTGCTATTTGAATAAGATTTAGACTGATACAATTAGAAAATGCTCCACTTTGAAATGTATTTAAACCATGAGTTTTTCCCATTATGATTGTTTGCAATTTTGTACAATTTATGAAACAATCATATGTGACGAAAATATTTCCAAAGATTTTTAATTCAGTCAAATCTCTACTATTATTAAATGCAGCATATCCTAATTTGCAAGAACCATTTATTCTTAATTCAGTTAAACTATAACAATCTTTGAAAGCATTTGTTCCAATCATATTAATTTTAGAATGTAATATTATTTGATGGGGTAGAGAACAATTTTCGAACGCACCTATATCTATCATTGTTACTGATTCTGGTATTTCTATGGACCTTAATGAACAGTTTTTAAAACAAAAGCTTCTAATAATTTTTAGATTTTGTGGCAATTTCATGTGATAATCAATAAGCGTATTTTCAAAGCATCTAGCTCCAATTTCATTGACACTACTTCCAAATTTAATATTTTTAAGATAATAGCAATTTGAAAATGTCCCAGTTCCAATATAAGTAACACTGTCCGGTAATTCGATTGAATTTATTTTTGTATTCATGAAAGCTCTTTCATCAATTGTTTCAAGGGAGTTCGGAAATTGAACATCTAATAGATTTTGGCAATTAGCAAATGTTCCTTGATATATTTTCTTGATTCCATTTGATATAATCACTTTTTCTATATCTTTACAATTTTCAAAACAATAAACACTTCGAACAATAATTTGTGTAGATAAAATAAATATGTTTGAAAAATGGCATCCACTAAAACAATAATCAAATAAATATATTGTTGTATCAGGTAATACTACAATGTTTGGTGTATAACAATTATGAAATGCATAACTGCGAATACTACGAATTGATTGTGGAAGTTGAATTGAAAGCAATTTACTATTTTCGAAACAACTATCTCTTAAATCAACAACTGTTTGAGGAATTGTAAATTCTGTGAAATTAAACGAATTTTGGAAGAAATATTTTGGTATGAACATGTTGTTATTGAAAGTAAATTGTTTCAAAGATTTACAATTTTTGAAAACTCCAGATCCAAGATTTGTAACATGATCTGGTAAAACAAATCCAACAAATCCTGTGTTATCAAAAGCGTTATTTTTGATTGTTGTGATAGATTGTGGAAGGTGAATCTCATTAAGATTAATACAATTTGCAAACTCACTTTCAAATATTGTACTAATTCCCTCTTCAAGTGTAACTATTTTAAGATTGATCATTCCATCAAATAAATGGTATCTTCTTCTCCAACTACTAGCAATTGAAAGGTTTTCAATCAAATTGATACCGCCTAATGAATTATATGATAAATTAATTCCTGCATTTGGTCAATTATAAGATTTCAAGTAAGAACAGTTATAAAACGCCCACATTTCTATGAGTTTTACAGAATCAGGAATGTTTACTGTTTCCAATGAACTGTTTTTAAAACAACTATATCCAATTGTTTCTAATCTCCCGGGAAAATTGACCGATTTCAGGCTGATTGCATTCTCAAAACAACTATTAGGTAAATTTGTGATATTGTCATTAAAAACGATTTCATTCAATGAATAACAGTCTTTGAATGCAGCAAATTCAATATTTGTACAATTAATAGGAAAATGAACTGATACTAATCCACTATTCATAAATGCACAATTTTTAATTGTAGTAAGAGTATCTGGCAATACAATTTCTTTAAGATTCGTACAATTTACAAATTCTTGATTATTAATAACTTCAATTCCTGATTGAAATATGACTTTCTTTACATTTGTCATATTAGAAAAGCATTTTTCACCTCTGATCACGCAATTTGATGGAATTGAAATTTCTTCAATAAGCTCACAATTTGAAAATGTAGAATCACCAATTTCAGAAAGATTCACTGGAAGAATTAGTGATGAATTCCAATATTTGCAATTATAGAATGCGCCTGTTTCAATTGTTTGAAGAGATTCGGGAAGGGTAAGAGAAATCATCCTTGCGTTTTTAAAACAATCCATTTCAATAGTTGTAATTTGTGGAGGTAAATTAACAATAGTATAATTAAAAGAATCTTCGAAACAAGATTGTGATAAATATGTTAGTTTGCTTCCAAATGCTATTTCTTTTATAGCTAAACATCTCTGAAATGCTTTTTCTTGAATCTCAACAACATTATCTGGTATATTCACTGAAATTATACCCGTGTAAAACAATGCTTCTGCTTCAATAACTTTTAATGTCTCTGGGAAATCAATTTCTTGAAGATTTGTACAAAATTTAAACTCTTGATTGTATAATCTATCTATTCCTGTCTCAAGAATAACTCTCTTTAAATTTGACATACAATAAAATGGGCATTTTTCTCTTCCTGTGTATGATGCATAAATGTGAATTTCTTCAATCTTACTCACACCACTGAATACATTTAATCCAAAAGAAATGGGGATATTTGGAAGTTGTAATATTTTTAGTGATTCGCAATTAGTGAAAGTATTATTTCCAATCGATAATTGTGTCATTCCATCATGAAATATTACTTCCTCGAGGTAGTTACAAAATAAAAATGCATGATTCTCTATGACAGTAACTGAATTATGTATATGGATTGATCTAATACTGGTGTTTAAAAATGCCTTTTCTTTAATTTCCCTTAAAGTTGTTGGAAGCTGAACTTCTGTAAGATTTGTTAAATTAGCAAATTCTTCTTCATTTATTATTTCAACTCCATCCATAAATACAACTTTGCTTAAACTTGCCATTCCTTTAAAGGCTAGCATACCTCTAATGTTGGCTGAAATTTTTAATTCTTTTATTAATGAACAGTTAAAAAAACATAATGAACCAATTTCTGTAATACTTTGCGGAAAAATGATGCCTTTCAAAAGTGAACAATTATAAAATACACTATCTCCTATATATTGCAAATTCGGTGGTAAAGTTATTTCATATATTGAAGTACTCATATAACATCTAGCAAAAATTTTTATTATTGATTGAGGTAGAATTATACTTGTATTAAGAAATGAATTTTCAAGAATCGAAGAATTCAATTCAGTTGGATTATTATTAAAAGTAAATGATTTTAGGTTTTTACATTCAGCAAATGCAAAATCCCCTATTGAAACAACATTTCTTGGTATGACAATTGATTCAAAGTTATATTCATAAAAGGCACCTTCTCTAATTTCAACTAACGTTTCGGGTAACTCGAAATGATGGAGATTACTACAACCAGCCAAAGCATATTCTCCTATTTTTGAAATGTATTGTAATATATTTAAATAAATGAGACTTGAGCACCAAGTAAAACAATGATTTGATATTACATGAATTGTTTCTGAAAAGCGAACTTCTCTTAATTTCATACAATGATAAAATGTATAACCACCAATTGTATTGATTTTGCTGGAATTACAAGTAAAAGTTATTAAATTACTGCAATATTGAAAAGAATGATCTCCTATATGTTCCATTCCCTCGGATAATATGATATCTTCTAAATTTTCGCATTGGTAAAAACAATAGTCTCCTAATTTCTTAAGTTTTTCACCAAATTTTAGTGAACTAATATTGTTCATATAAAATGCATTGCTTTGTATTTCTTCTAAATTATCCGGAAATTTTATTTTTTCAAGACTTTCACATTGAGCGAATGCGTATTCTCCGATGACTTTGACACTATTTGGTAATTCAACATTTAGGAGGCTAGCACAATAAAAAAAAGAGAATGTACTAATGTTTGTTAGGTTACTAGAAATTTTGATATCCCTAAGATTGTGACAATATGCAAAAGCTTGATTTCCAAGTGAACTGCACTCAAGGATTGTTATATTAAACAATGTTGCATTGAAAGAATATTTCCCTTCTTGAATATCTCCAATTATTGTCAGTTCAGCCATTCTTTAAAAAATTGAATGAAATATTTTATCGGATTACTATGTTTGATGAATTTAGTTTTAAAAAACTTTAAATGCTCAATATCATTTTTAGATTCAATCAAAATTGAATTAAAAATGAGATCAATTCAATTCCTTTTAAAAATTTTGAAAAGATTATATTATATGTATTTCATTTATGACTCTGTAATGCTGATTATCAGCATTTGAATATTATGTAATTTTCCCAATGGCCTCAAAAATTGAATACAAGGAAAATTGAAATAGAAATTGAAATTTGATAGAAAATACCATAAATTTTATTATTTTTTTATGCTGAAATACAAGAAATCAATAATAACAATTTAATTCAGTCCCAAAATATGATTCCTGAAAAATTCCTTTTCCATCATGTAAACCTCGATGGGTTAAGGTCGATGAAAAAATGAGCGTTTTTAAAAACCCGCCGTTTGAGAGGAAAATTGAGAGCCCCGATGTATACTTTTTGGCATTGTCAAAAACTTTGAAAGGACTAAAAAAATTTTAGTGTCAGAAAGTTTACAAATGTATACTTTCTGACAAACAGACTCTCAGAAAGTACTCAAACTGCGGTTTTTAATTTCCGCACTTTTTTTTGGCGACCTTCTATATATATAGAATTAAAAGCATGAAATGCGGATCGATTTTTATCAATATTTGGACATTCTATTTTTAATAAAATAAACATATATTTATATGGGAAATTAGGGAGATCTGAAACTCAAAAATTATTTTTGAATTTTAATATGATAAATATAATTATGATAATATGTACATTACAAATAAAATATTAATTCGCAACAACGATGAGATGCGATAAATTTGATTCTCTCAAAAATCGATTTTGATATTTTAATATTAATTTATATCTTATGTGCATATACAATATATAATAATTTTAAAACATCAAAAAGTGACAATTTACGGTTAGAAAAAGTCATCAAAATGCTTTTTAATGATTTGATTTAACATAAGCATAGACTATCTCTTTGATATTTAACTTCAATTTCCAGAATGAAAAGGATTTGAACAAAAACGATTATTTTACGATTATTTTTTGTAAATTTTTTTAAATTGAGACTGACATCTCTAAAATCTTCTAAAAAATCCAAATATCAAATAAAATAATATCATTAAGGGTGCACACGAGAGGATCATGTAAACTTCAGAATTTAGAACCTTATTTTTAGGCATTATCTTGGCTACCTATTTAGGCTCGAAAAGCAAAAAATATCAAAAAATACAACTTGACTCCATTATGACTCTTTCATGGAGGTAGTTTTTATCCGCTAGTATTTTCCCTTTGAATCTCTTTACAATTCGAAATCAAATTCAAAACTCAGTAGAAGAAAGAAGAATCGACTTACTACGGTTGTAATACGAATAAATACATATATTTAATTATTTTTATTTACATAATAATTGTTTGAAGCTCATATTCCATCAAATTTTTAAATAAAAACATTAAAATGTTGAAAATGTTCATATATTTTAATAGGGTTTTGGCACTTTATTGAGGAATTACTACATACATAGTCGAACTGAACTTGATATTTTGAAATTTAAATTATTTATCAAAATTAAAATTTAACTTGAAATTTATAATTATTTAGTCATATTTTGCATAATTCTAAGTAGATTTTGTAAAAAATCAAGAAAGAAAAATTTTAACGTGCTTTATTTTTTCTTTTTTATAATAATACATATTATTATATAATTAACATATTCATAATGTTTCACCCTTTCAAAAATATAATCCTCCTCCTCTCAAATAAACGTACATACGGGTGGCCTCTTTTTTCAAAAAATTAAAATTTGAAATTTTGGGCTCAAATATTAGAGATTTTTTCAACCTTCAACGATATATGTTGTCTATATCAGACCTCCTTTCTTTTTGATACTTAACATTGTTCCTAAATCTTAGCCGTTAAGGCTGTTCTGAAAATATTTTTTTTCGAAAAAATTCGAAAAAAATTCTTAAAATTCAAAAATCCCTTAATTTCTGAGGATTTTGGAAAAAAGTTTTTACATGAACATGTGTATATTATATGAAGTATATTGATAAGGTAAAAATCAAATTTTATTGCATATTCATCGAGAAAATAAACTAACGAATCCCTCAAAATTGAGAGGGTAATCCTCCTCCTCTCAAATAAACGTACATACGGGTGCACCCTTAAAACTCCTCTCAATTTAAAAAAATTTTATAAATTGAGACTTCAATCTCTAATATCTTCTAAAAAATCCATATATCACAAAAAATCACGATATTATATTTATTCTCAATTTCAAAAATTTTTTTGTACTGTCTTTATTTTTGCATAACAGCAAGGCAGAAATTTGAAACGAAGTTTCAAATTTCTCAATCTTGCATTCTGAGCACGTAAGTGCCCAGAATGCTAAAAGGCGCGTAGCGCCGTCGCTGAATATCAAATTTATTATAATAATTATTTTATGAAATTTCAAATAAACTCGATCTGTTATAACACACTGGTGCATGACAGCCTTGTCCATTCATGGGTTATATATATACGGTCTAGGTGAAGACATTGCGGATCGAAGATCCGCAATGTCTGAACCCCACAAATTTATATTAAAAAGTATGTTATTATATGGAAAAAATTCGAGATTTCGAACTCAAAATTTAGAATCGGGTTATTTTGGATTCTTTCGCTTTGGGAGGACGCAAAGCGCCCTCCCAAAGCGATAAAAGGTCGAAAATGCTTATCTAATAAAATCTTATATCAGAAAAATGACTTTGGATATGATAAATATCATTGTTATAATTGATACATATTATATTACACATTATTTTGAAATTTTATTTTTTCAAAATTTTCAAAATTTAATTTTGATTTATATCTAAATATTATATGATTTTAAGATAGCATCTCTCAATTTTATTAAAACGGTTTTTGGTTTCCCTCAAATATGTTAAAATTGAGAAAAACAAAACATTTTTAGGTGAAGCACTCTGAAGTTCTGAGCCAGACTTCAGATATCTCGATACAGTGAAGTACCAAAAATCATGTGCATTTGCCATAAATATTTATCGCTCGAATTTTGCAATTGAACTTTGCGTTCGATATTTGATTATACATACTTTCGAAATTGTAAGACCTTGCGACCACACACTAACACAATCACTCAGCCGAATCAATTGATCCAATTCTCCATTATATTATTGGTTTATAATAAGAAAATTTGATAAAAAGTCAAAAAATAAGCGATATCAAAGATTACTTTATGGGTGTACTATTAATTGACCCTTTTCTGATTAATTGCGAATTACTGAAATGTATTTATTTGTTAGATTCTTATATAAATTTTAAAAATCTCTTTATTTTCTTAAGTTCTACTTACAATTTGTAATCTTTTATTTCATAGATATATACTTTTAATAAAATAACAAAACTCAGTTTCATCATAACAGACTTGTTTCTTTTATTATTCGGAGCAAAAATCAATTTAAAGCGATAAATGCATAATAGGTATGATGGATGCTCGCTGACTTTTATTCATTTTCGTTGAAATTACTCAAATTAATAAAAACATCAATGATTATTAATTAAAATCATGAAACTAACTTAAAAATCAATATATAATGAGTTTCAAAACATTTTTCCATTATGAACTCAAATCGCTTCATGTGATTTGTAGTAAATTCTTTAAAATAGTAATTAAAATCCCTCAATGAACTTTGAACCCAAATATATGGACTCAATATAACTATTGTCAATTGCAATAATTGCGAGACAAATTAGATATATCTCATCCGATAAAAAAGGAAGCAAAAAACTCATTCCCTTGCATTTAAATACTAATTTTAACTTACAATTGATTTCATATTGAGTATTTTCTATACTTGAACTGGAGTAGTAGGGGCGGATAATTCAATTAAATCTTGTTTGGCTTCAGTCATCGGAATGATTCGTACATTAAATGATGAAAGGTCATATTGCATAAAATACGTCAGTAAATTATCATAAAATTCCTTAGTGCATGAATTCATCAAATTCTTGAAGTAATCAAATTGACCCTTAAATTTACTATTAACTCTTAAAACTACATATCTTCTGTCTCCAACTTCAATTTTGACAGGGTAAACGTTATTAGTTACGAAAATGAAGTTTGCAACGTTCTGAGCAGTTCTTCTGGGTTGATTCTTTTCATTAATTCTTATCTCATTATCCGTTATAATTGATTTCAAAGCGTTGAAGTTTGCGAGTCTATCTTCACCTACATTCTTGAGTTCATTAAGTACAAGAAACATTTTATTCTCAACTACTGAATTGAAATTACCCGTTAGCTCACCTATTTCGGTAATGTTTTTGCATGAATAACCAGCGAGAAGTTCAGAAATAATGTCTGTAAATCTGTTTTTACCTGTTCCCTGAAGTCCTTTCAAAATAATTGCTGTTTCATTCTTGATTCCAGGATGTTGAATCATTGATGCAATCCAGCCGAGTAGGTATTTATACACTTCATCGTTATTATCACAAATGACTTCTTTAATGAAATTCATAAACATCTCAATTTTTGAGTAATCAAGCTTTTCAAGAATGTTGTATTTATAACCTTGAAACGTTGAGAAAACATCGGGGGAATCAGATTTAAAGCAAACACCCTTAACGGTTAATGAAGACAATTGATTTAGTAGTACATCCCATGCTGTTATTGTTTTACCTTCTTCTTTAAATAATTTAATCATTTTAAGTGACTCTTTCATGTTTGATTGAAGAACCTAAAAACATTAACGAGGAAGGCATTCATGAAGCATTAACGAAGAACCTATGTTGTTGTCAAAATGTCATGTTGTCAGTAATTTTAAGAGAAGTTGAATTACCTGGTAGCACATGGTAACATGGTAGCACCTCCAGTTCTTCAAAAATAATTCATAATTGAAGAACCTAAAAACATTAACGAGGAAGGCATTCATGAAGCATTAACGAAGAACCTATGTTGTTGTCAAAATGTCATGTTGTCAGTAATTTTAAGAGAAGTTGAATTACCTGGTAGCACATGGTAACATGGTAGCACCTCCAGTTCTTCAAAAATAATTCATAATTGAAGAACCTAAAAACATTAACGAGGAAGGCATTCATGAAGCATTAACGAAGAACCTATGTTGTTGTCAAAATGTCATGTTGTCAGTAATTTTAAGAGAAGTTGAATTACCTGGTAGCACATGGTAACATGGTAGCACCTCCAGTTCTTCAAAAATAATTCATAATTGAAGAACCTAAAACATTAACGAGGAAGGCATTCATGAAGCATTAACGAAGAACCTATGTTGTTGTCAAAATGTCATGTTGTCAGTAATTTTAAGAGAAGTTGAATTACCTGGTAGCACATGGTAACATGGTAGCACCTCCAGTTCTTCAAAAATAATTCAATTATGTGAGAATTCTTACGAATTAAAAAAATAAATTATTCAAAAATGTAAGACATGAATTTTTAAAGTTTATTTTTAAAAAATTTTTTTATTTCATTATGGTAGTGAATCTTTCATTCATGAAAATAATTATTTCTAATTTCTTTTACTCTCTCGTATATACTAGATTTAAAGAATTCAGAACATTTCCCATAATCTCCTAAATGTTTTCTTATCTTATTGGTTTTCCATTCATTATATGAAACTGAATAAACTTTATCTTTATCTTTACACCTTTCATCACTTCCAATATATTTATATCTCAGTTTTGATTTAGCATTTTCATATTCATTAGCGTTTAATAATTCACAGTCTTCCTTTTTAAATTGATGTTTAAGATATTCAGGATTAAGAATTCTATAATATTGCTTCCCTTTAAATCTTTGAATATAAACAGGAACACCATCCTCTAAAATTCGATAATCTATTTTATCTGGTTTTACTTGTTGGGTCATTTATGTAAGAATAAAAAAATAAATTATTTTAAAATTAATGTTAATTTTAAATGATACAAAATCGTTCAATATTGTATGAATTCTTACGTTTACAAAAAATGTCACAAAACCCATCCGCCCCTACTACTAACTGGAATTATTATTTTGAAAGAAATTTTTATTAAATTCGAAACAACACTAATACAGATAAACCAACTAATAACCTTCGGATTAAATCCGCTTTTTATCAATTTTTCAGAACATCCGATTTTTTCAATATATTTGGCTGAGTGTGATATTTTTAGATGCGATATTTGATATCAGGAGACTTTGGAATATAACATCAAGATTGCATTAAAGTTCCACGTACAAAAATCGTGAGAAAATATATTTAAAATTGAGAAGAATGGTAAATTATAGTTTATAAATGACAGTTTTATAGGTTATAGTTTAGTGTTCGGAAAAAGGATCCAATTAGGAGAAAAGTCTGATCCGACCCCATTCTAAAAATTGGAAGAAACGAAATTTCATGTGAAGATTTATTGTTTTATTGTCATTTGTCATCTTACTTGAACAATTTATGAAACAAATGTAATGAAATATAAGAATACATTCCCCAGATATATGATTTCTGAGCCAAATTCACATATAATATCCTGGATTAATATTCTTTATAGTCAAAATCTGAATAATAATGTTTTTTATTCTTAAACCAATAATAACTGCGCAAGAAATGCTTCATTTCTTTATGAAAGAGAAATTAAATAAACAATTGAAAAAACTATTAGCAAACTTTACATGTTAACTAATTAGACATAACAAAAGAAATCATGTTTGAGCTAAAAGATAAAGCAGCTCAAAGTGATATCGAGAGAAATCTCGTTCATATAATAATGTAGCCTCAATTGGCTTACAATTTCCATTTTTGAAACTTACAGGAACTGGAAGTAACCTAAGGTTTGATTCATCATCATTTATTTCGTGAGATAATCCATTGACATAAGCTTTATTAAGCCTATAACGTAATTTTTGGCATAATTCTGTGTAATTAGATACATTATTGAATACATATTTTCCACCAAAATTCTTTAAAGAATAATGGTAATAATAGAATTTATCGTCATAATCAATAACAAAGTATTTGATTTTATTACAATCTTTAAATGCTTCGGATTCTACATGGCAATTCTTGCCAAGATAAACAAACATTAAATTAACGCAATGACCAAAGCTTTCAAAGCTTAAAGCGCAATTGTCTGGGAATTGAAGACAACTAAGACTGATACAATTATAAAATGCACCAGATTGGATTGTATTTGTTCCATTACTCTTTTCTAACCTAATTGAATTCAACTTTGTGCAATTATTGAAAGAGTCATATGAAATAGTAATGCTTTGTGAAATATTTATTTCAACTAGATCTTGACAGTTATAGAATGAATTAAATCCTAAATAACATGTTGCAACTATTTTAATTGTACTTAAATTCTTACAATCTTTGAAAGCATTCTCACTAACTTTATATATATTGGAATGTAAAGTTAAATGACGCGGCAAAGTACAATTTTCAAATGCTCCTGCTCCAATTAATGTAATTGTTTCTGGAATTTCGAATGATTTAAAGGAACAATTCTTAAAACAATCTATACTAATAAAAGAAAGTTTTGAAGGAAAATCAAGGTCAAAATCAACAAGAGAATTTTCAAAACATCGAGGTTCAATTTCATTTATATTACTTCCAAATTTAATATTTTTAAGATAATAGCAATTTGAGAATGCCGCAAGACCAATCAGAGTAAGGCTATCTGGTAGATCAATTGAAAAGACTTTTGTATTAATGAAAGCTCTTTCTCCAATTTCTTCAAGTGTGTTTGAAAACACGATTTCTTTAAGATTTTGGCAATATGCAAAAGTTCCTTGATATATTTTCGTAACATCATTTGATATAATTAATTTCTCAATATCTTTGCAATTTTCGAAACAATAAACGCCTCTAAGAATGTTTTCTGCTCCTAAAGTGAATGTACTTGAAAAATGGCATCCACTAAAACAATAATCCATTAAATAAATTGAAGTACTCGGAAAAACTACAGCATTTTGTGTATAACAATTATGAAATGCATAACTGCGAATACTACGAATTGATTGTGGAAGTTGAATTGAAAGCAATTTACTGTTTTCGAAACAACTATCTCTTAAATCAACAACTGTTTGAGGAATTGTAAATTCTGTGAAATTAAATGAATTTTGGAAGAAATATTTTGGTATGAACCTGTTGTTATTGAAAGTAAATTGTTTTAATGATTTACAATTTTTGAAAACACCAGAGCCAAGATTTGTAACATGATCTGGTAAAACAAATTCAACAAATCCTGTGTTATCAAATGCATCATCATATATGTTAATTAGAGATTGTGGGAGATGAATCTCCTTAAGATTGGCACAATTTGCGTATTCACCTACAAATATACTCTCAATTCCTTCAACAAATGTAACTTTCTTAAGATTGATCATTCCATCAAATAAATGGAATCCTCTATGACCATTCCAATGAATAGGAATCGTAAGTTCTTCAATTAAATTGATTCCACCCAAACAATAACTTGCAAATGTATGAGTTTTGTGAGTGAAATTATATGATTTCAAATATGAACAATTATAAAATGCATAACTTCCTATATTAACCACTGATTCTGGAATACTTACCGTTTCTAATGAACTGTTTCGAAAAACATAATATCCTAAATTTTGTAATCTATTTGGTAAATTAACTGATCTCAAACTGATTGTATTTTCAAAACAACTACTAGGTAAATAAGTGATATTGTCATTAAAAATAATTTCACTCAATGAATAACAGTCTTTGAATGCAGAAAATTCAATATTGGTGCAATTGATAGGAAAATGAACTGATTCTAATCCACTATTCATAAATGCACGATCTTTTATTGTTGTTAGAGTGTCTGGTAATACGATTTCTTTAAGATTAGTACAATATGCAAATTCTTGACTATTGATAACTTCAATTCCTGATTGAAATGTGACTTTCTTAACATTTGTCATATTAGAAAAACAGCTTTCGCCTCTAATTGAACAATTTGATGGAATTGAAATTTCTTCTATCATCTTACAATTAAAGAATGCAGAATCTCCGATTTCAGAAAGCTTTACTGGAAGAATTAGTGATGAATTCCAATATTTGCAATTATAAAATGCACCATTTTCAATTCTTTGAAGAGATTCAGGAAGAGTAAGAGAAATTATTCTTGCATTCTTGAAACAATCTATTTCAATAGTTGTAATTTGTGGAGGTAAATTGACAACAGTGTAATTAAAAGAATCTTCGAAACAGCACTGCGGTAAATAAGTTAATTTGCTGCCAAATGTTATTTCTTTAATAGCTGTACATCTCTGAAATGCACTTTCTTGGATAACTACGACATTATCTGGTATATGAACTGTAATAATTCCTGTATAATACAGAGCTTCTGCTTCAATAACTTCTAATGTCTCTGGGAAATTGATTTCTTTTAGATTCGTGCAGAATTTAAACTCTCATTTGTATATTGTGTCTATTCCTTCTTCAAGAATAACTTTCTTAAGGTCTGACATACAATAAAATGGATCATTATTTCTTCCTGTATATGATGCATAAATATGTATTTCTTCAATTTTATTCACTCCACTAAAGGTATTAATTCCAAATGAAATTGGAATATTTGGTAGTTGTATTCTTTTTAGAGATTGATCATTAGTAAATGCATTGTCGCCAATATGTAATTGCGTCATTCCATTTTCAAAAATGACTTCTTCAAGCTCATTACAAAAAAGAAATGCACAGTTACCTATCGAAATAACTCTATTATGTAAATAAATTGATCTGATACTTGTATTTAAAAATGAATTATCTTTACTTTCTTTTAAAGTTGTTGGAAGCTGAACTTCTTTAAGACTTGTAAAATTAGCAAACTCATCATCATTTATTGTTTCAACTCCTTCCGTGAATACAACTTTACTTAAACTTTTCATATCCTTAAATGAGCTCCCACTTCTAGTTTTAGCTGAAATTATTAATTCTTTAATTAATGTGCAGTTAAAAAAGCAATATGAATCTATATATGTGATAGTGGTTGGAAGATTAATACTTTTCAAACATGAACAATTATTGAAGACATCACTATCTAAAACCTGTAAATTTGGTGGCAATGTTATTTCAGTTATTGCACTTGATTGAAAACAACTATATCGAATACGTGTTATTGATCGAGGCAGAACTATTTTTGTTAGACTAGAAGTATATGAAAATATTGAGTGATTTAGCTCTAAAAAATCATTATTAAAAATAAATGATTTTAATTTTGTGCAATAGGCAAATGCAGAATACCCAATAGAAACTACATTTTTTGGAATAACAACGGTTTCAAAACTTGTACTAAAAAATGTGCTGTCTCCAATTTCTTTTAAAGTTTCCGGAAAATTAAATGGAGGGAAACTAACACAATTATAAAATGCTCCGGATTCAATTTTAGTGATTTTGTCATCTAAATTAAATGAAACAAGATTTTCACATTCCCTAAAGAAATAAGGTGGTATTACTTGAAATGTTTTCGCAAAATGAACTTCTCTTAATTGGAAACAATATTGAAATAAACCGGAACCAATAAAAGTAATTTTATTGGAATTACATGAAAAAGTGAGTAAGTTTGTGCAATAACAAAACGCAAGATGATCTATATGCTCTATTTCCTCGAATAACTTTATTTCTTCTATCATGTAACAGTATTGAAAGCAAGAATAATCGATTTTTTTGAGTTTTTTATTGAATTTTGGTAAACTAATATTGCATTGAATGAATGCATAATCTTCTATTTCTTCTAATGCATCCGGAAAATTGATTTGTTGAAGGTTTCCGCAATAATGAAATGCATGATTTTGAATAAACTTGATATTATTTGGTAACTGGACCTTTTGGAGATTATGACAATCGTAAAAGCATCCGGCGCTAATATTTGTTAAGGAACCAGAAATCCTAACTTCTTCAAGATTGTAACAATATGCAAAAGCTCCATTTCCGATTGAACTACATTCAAGAATAGTAATATTAAGTAATGAAGCATTGCCGCTATATTCTTCTTCTGAAATATCTCCTCTAATGATCATATTATTCATTTTCCAGTAAACTCAAAATTTTGAATGTGATTTTTTTTCATCGGTTTAAAATTAGTCATCATTTGATATCATATGTAAATAATGTTTTTCAACATCGAATTCTATATGATTTCTCAATTTTTGAAAACTTTGGCAAAACAACCGCTTTCGAATAAATAGTTGATATTCAAACTCAATTGTATATCATTTTTAAAATAAATTTGACCATTCAATTTACAATATATTAGAAATATACTTCAAACTTTTTCTGAGCTTTGCTCAGAAAAATGTTTGAAGTATATTGGAATACCAATCACTTCAAATTCTTTTGGGGATTAATATTTCATTAAAAAAATGGGGCCCCAAAAAATTTGAATTGATGGGTATTTTACTTTTCTATGCAAATCAAAATTTGAAATTATAAACATTCATTTAAAAATCTTCAAATGTTTTCCATGGGTGGATTACGCAATTGAATAAGAGTGTCAATTTTTATAGTTTTTGTTCATTTTCCATTATAAAAAGCTAAATGTATTATAACCCTATTTGGCTTGTTTGTCAGATATCAAATGTTTAATTCCTTTTAATCAACTGTATGAATATTATAAATTAAAAGGAATATGCTTACGTGATCGAGCTTAGAATATCCTATTTGACATCAGTAAGAATCTACCATCCCAAAAACGTTTAAAGAATGTATTTTAGAACCTTAAATGTTTTGAATATAAAAAAATGTTTACTTATTAGGTCTAGTTGGCCTTCTACGATTACCTGCAGGAGGTATACGCCTTAATTTGTTCTCCTTTTCATCGGGAATAACGACGTCAATAGCTTTAAATTCGTTAGAAATGCTAGCTCTTGTTTTCCTGACATGAGACATCTGCATTCCAGTTCTGGCTGCTGCAAGTTCAAAGTTGAGGTTAGATTTAGAAAGTTTTCTGATTGGAGCTTTGCCAAACGCTGCTGGTTGGTTTTGTGGTACTTCAATGGCAATTCTTTGTGGTGATCTTCTTGGATCGTTGTTATCTTGTGCATTAAATGCAATTCTGTCGTCTGAATCGTTTTGAATAGGAGATAATAATGAATCTGTACTTGCAGAAAGCTCTGGAGTAGGAGAAACAAGTAAGGAATTGCTGCTTGCAAGTTCTCTTGGATTTGTAATAGAAATATCCTTTGGAGGTTTTTCTGGAATTCGAATTGAATTTGATCTTTGGTTTCCATGTCTCGCTGCAGGTTTTTCATTGTTAACATTATTGTTGTTATTATTAAGCATTTGGAGATTGCCAATCTGAAGCCTAATTAAACTAGAGCGGACTTTAGTTCTATTCTTTGTTGCTTTCCTGTTTTGAATGCGTAGTGCTGTATCGCCAGTTTCAGAATTAAGTGAACGCCATTGGGAGCGAATGTTGTTCTCTTTCTCATGTATTTCATTCTGAATTAAATCTCTACGAATGGATTCGTCATCGATCTTCTTAGAATTTTGTGCACGGCCTGATGCTGTACGCTGCAGTGAAATCATGAACATTTCATTAATCTGCGGCGAGCAGAAAGGATTTAATTTTGTAGAATAATAGAAATTAACTTCTCTCTCAGGCTCCATTATGATTTCATTGGAAGCTAAAGGATTATTCGAATAAATGTTATTGATTTCTGTGATCAGATTATCAAGATTAACAAAATCTGTATACATTTTTTTTTATTTTTGACAAATTTTTTATCATCAAAAAATGCTATGCAATACATTATTATTCCATCTATATGCTGCTTATCCTTGGTTATTCGTTTATTTCATGATATAAAAGCATTACCTGGGTTCAAAATTGAATCGTAATGTCAAAATATGGATCAGATTGCAAATATGCATCATAAAGTTGTATTGGTGAATAGATGAATTAAGATGGCTACCAGATTTTTAAATAATTAATTCAGGAATGATCAAATATTTATTAAAATTCAACATGGATCCAATCAATGCATTGCTTTTTGCAGCCCGTGCAATAATGCAAATTCTCTTTCAAGTACTTTCATATTTTATTCAGAATCATTCCGTGCTTTTTTATAACTTCACAAATTTTGATAAACGTTTTCATTTTTATGTTTTCTGTATTAATTGTATTTAAATATTATTTTGAAAATAATATTATCAATTGAAAGAATTAAGGGTATAGTAAACTCAAAATTCTAGAGTTTTGAGAGTGCCAATAAACTCTATAGGCCTATATATATCTATATTTTAAAGGAGAGGTTACGCCATAATATTTGATATTATAAATTATTAATTCAAAATAAAAGTAGAAAATGAAACTAATTTTATTCTAACCTATATAAATATATCAATAATCTAAAATGATTATAGTCTGAACTAGAGTGGGGGACAAACTCGCCCATTGTCACTTTTCATTAACCTTAAACTTATAATTTTCATTATTTTTAATTAACCTTATTTCTTTCCCAATTCCTGATTTATTTTATTCACTTACTATTAAAAGTCACATTTTAATAAAATATAATAATTTATTTATAGCATTTTTTACTATACTGTAATAAAAAATTAATTATAATAAATTAAATGTTTATTAAATCAAATGTTTTCTTTGCAATAATATTTTTAATGTTGAGTAAACAATGTTGGGATCAAGTGTATCATTTTTCAGACCTTTCTGAACAGCTTCAAGCATACTGATGCATTCGACTTTTTTAAATTGTGTCATTTCTTCGAAATCTCTTGTGACTTTTTTGATAACTTTAACACTTCTCTCTGAATCCAGACCTTTAATTTGCAACTTAATCAGGAATGAAGGAACAACAATGGAATATAACTCGATGACAAGTTCATCGAGTCGAAGATTTTGCCTTTCTGGGAAGTACTGGTGCTTCAAAACCTTGAAATGTGATTCCGAGATGTTGTTTGTTCCATCTCCTTCATTTCTATAGCGAAGCATCCACCTGTCAAGATGATGGCGCCACTTTCGGTCAAAGTATTCACGGGCAGCAGGTTCCTCATTTAAAATTTCTTCTAAATTGTTGTAAACTTCATCAGGATCAATTTCTTCCTCTTCAGAACCAAAGACCAATAACTTCATTAAGTTATAGAAAGTTTCGAAGTTGGAACGATCTTGAAACTTTTCAGCCTTTCTCATGACAGCGCGCAACACATGAACGCCACACCAAATGATCTGGCATAAGGGGATGGCTGTTTCAACAGCATTTGTGATTTGAGGTGCGCAGTCCATTGAAAAATAAGATGGTTCGCGATTGATGGAGCCAAAATATGCTGTGAGACAAACTTGTATATTTTCACTTGTGTCGGGCCAAACGAAAAAATACAAAAACGGAAAAACAATTGATTCCGCGAATTTGCCAGTGACGGCATAAAATGGTATGCGAGAGCGCAAGAGCTTATATGTGGAATCAATGTGATAAGTTTGTATTTGATGTGAAAAAGCATTTGCTTCGAATGGGGCGTAATAGAAAATCATACGATCTGGCTCGTGAATAAATTCGATGAGATCATCCGGAGAATGACTCTTAACCATGTCGACAAAAATTGCAAGAGATGTAACATCATCCGCTGAGAAACGGGTATTGATTGCATGAAGGCGTTTAGAAAACTTTTTTAAAGCATCTGTAGATTGTTGAAACATTTCCGGAATGATCCCACTATCAAATGGGATATTAAGATCTTTGAAACACCTTAATTGTGCGTAAACACGGTCTTGATTTGATTCAAAATATCTTGTTAAATAAGATCTATAAAAATATGATGTAATTTGTTGTGATTTGTTTGGAAAAGGGGCAGAATGATTGTGGGTGTTAATACATTTTCGTATGTGGTACTTGTCATCGGGAAGTGTATCAACAAGGAAGCGACATGGACAATTCGGCCACTTACAATTAAATTGGATTTGATTTCTTTCTTTCCTAGTTTTATATGAATAACTACAACCTGCTTGGATTTCTTGTTGCACTCCATACTTAAGCAACTCGATATATGTGAGTTCGTGATCTTGGATCTGCATTAAAATGAAATGATTTGAAAGAATAAAGAATTTTGAATATATTGGTCTTATTTTGATAAGCTTGGTCGTGTTTTGAATAGCTTGGCCATCTAATTCAATTATGATCTTTGAAAATTAGGTGAAATAAAACTAAACATAAATGTAAAACTAGGGATATGAAATTTTGGTTGTACACCACTTGTATGTGCCAGATACCATTGTGTCAAATTTTTTATGAAATTAACTTTAAAAGTACTAAGTAAGATCATGAGATATAGCAATATATGTTTAAACCAATTTATATTTTGGTTGTACACCACTTGTATGTGCCAGATACCATTGTGTCAAATTTTTTATGAAATTAACTTTAAAAGTACTAAGTAAGATCATGAGATATAGCAATATATGTTTAAACCAATTTATATTTTGGTTGTACACCACTTGTATGTGCCAGATACCATTGTGTCAAATTTTTTCTGAAATTAACTTTAAAAGTACTAAGTAAGATCATGAGATATAGCAATATATGTTTAAACCAATTTATATTTTGGTTGTACACCACTTGTATGTGCCAGATACCATTGTGTCAAATTTTTTCTGAAATTAACTTTAAAAGTACTAAGTAAGATCATGAGATATAGCAATATATGTTTAAACCAATTTATATTTTGGTTGTACACCACTTGTATGTGCCAGATACCATTGTGTCAAATTTTTTATGAAATTAACTTTAAAAGTACTAAGTAAGATCATGAGATATAGCAATATATGTTTAAACCAATTTATATTTTGGTTGTACACCACTTGTATGTGCCAGATACCATTGTGTCAAATTTTTTCTGAAATTAACTTTAAAAGTACTAAGTAAGATCATGAGATATAGCAATATATGTTTAAACCAATTTATATTTTGGTTGTACACCACTTGTATGTGCCAGATACCATTGTGTCAAATTTTTTATGAAATTAACTTTAAAAGTACTAAGTAAGATCATGAGATATAGCAATATATGTTTAAACCAATTTATATTTTGGTTGTACACCACTTGTATGTGCCAGATACCATTGTGTCAAATTTTTTCTGAAATTAACTTTAAAAGTACTAAGTAAGATCATTTATTTTTGCATAATATAATGCCAATATGGTTTCTTTTGATTTTATTTCATTTATAAGCAAATCAGATTTACCCAAAAACTCCACTCCATAAGCGTTCATTTGCTAAATTAAAAAGTGACAACGGGCTAGTCTGTCCCTTTCTCGTCTGAACTATATTTTACCAGATTATCAAATATAAGAGAAATGAAATAAGGCATAAAAATATCATAGCATAATTATTGGATAAATGCATTAATAAATTATTTATATCGTAATGAGAAAAAATCAAAATAAGAAAATGAGCATAATAATAATTTAATTAAAAACAAAAACAATAAATAAAATGTAATTTTCGTTAATCAAAGTCATCAATGTCTTCGTCTTCTGATTCCCATTCGGACTTGAAAACTTGATAATCTCCTCCTGGTACACTCTGAATGGATTTTTTGTATTTGTTCTGTTTTTTAGAACCTTTTGTAACAGTTTTTTGTTTCAATATCATTTTGGAGTAACAATTCTCTTCAAATGATTTGACACAATCTTCTGGAAGGGGGAAGATGTAATGCTTTTTGTATATCTCCGAGAAAATGCTCTGGATCATTCCATTCTAAGATTGCAACGTTAACTCTAATGTTAATGTTCTTCCAGGCTCTTGATTTGTCCAAATAGCATGCAATTTTGGAGTTAAACGCTTCATTCATGCAGGTAGATCCAATGGAAGAAACTTTGGAAACTATGGGTGTCCATTTGTGAACCCAGTCATAGAGCATGAATTGAAGTTGGATCGAATTGACACCTTTTTGCCATTCAAAGCATTTGTAATTGTGCGGTTCGCAAAAAGAATGATTGCCTACGTAATGGTAGACACAATTCTCCCACATTTTCGTACGTTTGTCAATATTTTCTTCGGCAAAACATGACCAAAGCCACATACTTAGGCTTGCATTCAGACCCCAGAAAGGTCTCTCTATTTTTTCAATCTTCTGAGTCTTGTCGTTGAAAACTTCAACTGTCTTATGAGAAGCTGAGAACTTTGTAAAATCTTTTGAGATATTTTTTGATACATGACCTGGATCGAATCTTTCAAGATGAGAGACGCCAAATTCTTTAAAGACAGAGACACTTTTGTTATCTCGGTCTTTAATAATCTCTTTAACATCTTTCAAGATATTGTATTTCTTTAATTGCTTCAAGATGATTCGAGTTCCAGCACTTTCCATATTGTTGGAAGCTCCGGAATACTGAGCATGCTGTCTGTTTCCACCAATATGGTTGATGTTCACGCATGCAAGAACTCTTTTTGTGACAGCATCGAGCGCAGTTACTGTACAACTTGGCGAGTTTCGCCTGTGCGTCCATCTTGCATCAATGGATAAGTAACCACTGAAGGACTTTCTCGACAGCATTAGGGAAATACTTTTAAGTCTTCTAATCTTATCGTCACAAAATCTCTGTTGTCTCATGACACCACTCTTCACAGGGGGCTTAGTTCCACAAAGAGAAAGAAAGCGAGCACCTTTTGTATATGGCATTCCGGTCATTATGCAAGCACCAAGCATCTGTCGCGCTGAGAGTCGACGACGTTCGTGGAGTAAAATGTTATGCATTGCCTTTGTTTTCCGTTTTGGGTGAACAATATGGCCCATACAACAACAAAAAAATGAAATCCCGCCAAAAGTGAAAATTGAATAAAAAGTAATAATTAATAAATATATACTATATCATTAGATGAATATTTTGGAATAACATTTTAAAATCGAGGTTTTTCAATGGATAACGGTTCAATCAAAAATTTGACCCCATTTTAGAATCTACATTAAAAATGGAACATTTCTGTCGTTTCAAAATTCCAAAATAACGTTTCTATTCCTCTCAAAAGTAAAAATAAACTTTATTGGGGAAAAAATATTTTTATTTTCCAAAAAAAAATGAAAACCTTAAATGCAAATCTAATTTTGATGCTTTTGTTTGTGATTTTTTGGATTTCGAAAAAAATTTGAAAATTCAGACAAGTTACCATTAACACTAATACGTTTCAGCGAGTCGGTCCCATCAGAGAAATTTTCATAAATCGGCGATATAATTTATTATTTCAGAAAAATATTCTCAGATCCAACTAGAATAAGGTCAAATTATACAAATTTAGCAAAGGCTAGTTATCCTACCTATTCAATTAACTTTAATTTTAAATAATTCAAGACAATTCTCAAAATTACCTTAATAATCGCGTTCTCTTCGCAAAATGACGATTCCTCATTCACTACCAGCATAACTGAGGGCTTGTGCTCACAGAATAATACAGATAATTTACTTATTAATGCAAAATTTAGTACCAAAAGGTAATCATAGAAGATACAAAAAAAGTTTCTTTATTTTGATTGCTGATTTTATTTCTTCTAAAATTTACCAAATCTAAAAAATCCAAAATTGAATGCTATTGAATTTCATGTTTATGTAACATATACTATTTATTATATAAGGAATAAAAATTTTATAGTTTTAATCAAAAATAAAGGTGTACTAAATGCATACAAAACAAGGTATTTTTTACTCATCCAAAATATGTTAATAGTGCTATTTATATAATCAATATCCGAATTTCGAAATCATTTTGATGAAATCTTTATTTTAAAATTGAGTTGACTGTTAAAATCACCCGAGAAGAGGGATTATCTCAATAAAAAGTACATAAAATAGCAAACGCACAAGATGGCACTATGCAACTTTATATTGTTATACAGGATGAACATATAAAATGTTTGGAAAACACTTACTTCGTTCTACAAATGTGTATCTCTTTATATCAAAGATTCTTCTCAAATTATTGAGAGACTTCTCTCAAAAAAAGGAAAATTTGATAACTAAAAAAAATTATGGCATAACCTCTCGTTTTGCATAGATATATATTTACATGGTCACAGAGCTTATTTTCATTGTCAAAACTTAAAAATTTTTAGTGGACTATACCCTTAATTTTCTTTTATCTTTTATGGAGAGTGACATATCAAAGTCGATGGATACTCAGAAATTGTATTCGACAATAATCGAAATCAACGCTATTGAGGATTCCAAGGCTGATTTCGAAAGTACAATCCATACTCTTCTATTATTTTATTCAAAAGCAGCTGAATCATGCGGTATTTTCTCACAAGTAGTCTACTTCTTGTCCCAATTTCAGATTTTATGCTCTGTCTCCATTTTGACCTGCGTATTATCAAAATATAAAAACGAATCAAACACGATCATCAAATTTTTAAACTGCGTAATTCAATTTGTTATGACTGATTCAATTGAACCAAATCTATATCAACAATTACTCCTTATAGAAGTTGCAACTTTATTTTGTATTTTCTTTTTCTTTTTCGCTATTTTCAAAATACGGAGAAACCATGCGTTTAGTTCAAACTTTTTAATAATTTCTTATGTTATGTCTGTATTAATACCGCAAATTTTAATGGTACCCAACATAATCATGACAGGAAGAGTCTTTGCGAAGATATTTTCAGGTCCAAGTGCATCTTACTTCTTCTACGCATCTATCCAACTTATCATTATGCTGTTACTTTCAATTCAAAATTATGTTATCTCGATGTTTTATACGTCAATGCTCAATTCAATTGAAAATTACTCGATAGTTCCAAATAGAACAATGAATGCACCTGCATATATCAATTTACTTTTAATTGTATTTTTATATGACTATCAAGATCCAAAAATTGGGCGATACGTTTGCTCAGCAATATATATTATTACATCTATAGTATATTTCGCTAAGACAAGATTGATGATGCTCGTGTCAAGATATGAAATTTCGTCACATTTATCGTTTGGGTTCGCATATTTTTATCAATTCTGTATTGGTGTATCCGCCATATTCTATGATATAGAGTACGACTTCATATTACACATTTGGTTCACTTTTTTGGTATATTATATTTTTTTCGTGATATCATACACAATCAATGAGTACAGAATCACTCTCATGAAACGGAGAATACTAAATGCCAGCTGCGTTGAAGATATAAAGATGTCTGACGGTATAAGATTTTTAGAATACTGTTATGTGATGTATTTTTCGGATCCAAAGTTTCTGTTGGACGGTTCAATGTTCAAATATTGCTTGCAAAGAGAAAAGGATCATTTTATATACATATCATTACTGAGATTATTAAGTTGTCTTCCAGAATCAATTCCTCATCTAGCAGAAATAGAGAACAAAGCTTTTAACTCAAATAAGTTAAATTATTTTGAATCGTTCAAGCTTTTTGAGTACAAAACTTTGAAAAAAAGAAGATCTGTAAATATTGATCCAGAAGACCTCGAATATTATAAGATTATGGCAACGGCAATTAGAAAGTTCTTTGAACTCATTAACTCCTGCGTTCCTCTCATTCAACATGTTTACAAAAGAAATTATTTTTATTTTGGAACATCTTTATCAGAGTTAGAGCGAAAAGTAGAGTTCTATGTCGAACTAATGCTTATTAAACACCCTAATAAGCCCTTATTTATGAAGCTTGCCAATATTTTTTATGAAAGATGCGCAATGGACCCGGCAAAAGCGGAAAGTTTAGAGAAACAGATAAAATTATGCAATGTTTATCAGTCAGAGAACCCATTATGGCGTGAAATGTGCACTCAAAAAGTGTTTTTCAATCAGAAATACGAATTTTTATCTGATTCAAAAGAAAATTTGTTATCACAAGAGCCGCAAGAGGTTTCCACAGCATCCCTGAAGTCAGCAATATCAAATGATATGTTCAGATTAGAGTCCAAGCACTTAAGATTTTTAGAATATGTTAACATCTCAATAATTGTGCTATTTGTTGGTTATGTTGCATGTATCATATTTGCTACAGCATCATTCGACACGAATGCTTCCGGTTTAATGAATTTATCCACCGCGGTCAATGATAAACAGACAAGTTTCTGCGAGTTAATGATTAACTCCCTTCGCCCTTGCCGTGGTGTCCTTGATACTGCAGAAATGAGGTCTCAAATTCAAACTTTTATTGACGGATATTTTGTTGAACACGCATTATTCTACAAAAACTTAAATAATATCTTGTCAACGAGTGCTTTATTGAATAATTCGCTTTGGAGCTTGTTTGCTGATAGATATCTTGCTTCTAGCGCTCTTGACGGGACAGAATTTAATTATTCATACGTGACTATAGGAACAAGAGTCGCAACTGCAACGGAAACAGTATTAGGAGCACCCCAATGTAACGCGAGTCAGTATTACTACTTAACTCAGATGCTATTTCTTAATATGACAGATTGGTTTGGAATTTTTACTGGAAAATTCAACCCATTACTTGCATATATAAGCAATGAAGTAAGACTGAAGTACGTTATGTTCGGAGATCTTGCAACAGTGTTCATTTACGTTGCTGGATTGATTTTATTGATTTCTTTGATATTTTATCGTATCAAACTTCATAAAATAACGAACAGTTTCTCAGAAGGTGTTCCAAACAAAGAATCCAACATAATTCAAAAAATTATATCTGGCAATCAGAAAGGATATCTGTTTTATACATATATCATACTATTTCTGATTGCCATTACCATTATTATGTATATATTTTTGATGCATTTGATGCAATACGACGTTCAAAACCAAATTATCTATTTAATGGCTGCTTTAAGCGACATATTCAGAGAGATTATTCAATTATTCTATATTTCAACCGGTATTACATGCCTCAGAATTTATCTTCTCAATCATACTCAATATCCATTAGCAGCTTATGGAATTGAGACAACATTATATGTTCTTATGGGCTTAGACAGATCTCATAGTAACAATTATCCACTGATTGATAACATGTCTCAGTTGATTTCGAGCAGTTACCACGCAATTAACGAAGAAGAGACAATGAACTTCACCAATCAAGCCGCTGATATATTCCTAGACCAATTAATTCCATCAAATAATGAATATATCACTAACAGATATACAGCATATTATAAAGATAAGAATGAGGTGACATTTAACCATGTTGGCATTCATTCTTGGATATTCCTGTTAGCAGCGGTATTCGTTTCCATCATTTCCATTTATTTCTTTGAGTTTGTTCATTCAATTCTTTATACAAAGATGATAACTCAACTTATTCCATATGTAAGAACAGCTGTTAGCGAAGATGGAAGTAATACTGTTACAGGAATGAATGAAAACAGCTTTTCTTTGGATTTGATCGGATATCCAGCAGCTATTATTGATTCTTCCGATGAAATTATATTTGTTAATCATCTATGGTTGACAGATTTTAATGGCGTAATGTCAAATTTCATCGGAGAAAATTATCAGAATATTAATGAAGAATTTAGCGTTTGTCCGCATGTCCAAGATGGTCTAAGAGTTATAGTTATAGAGAAATCCCGCGAAATGGAAGATTTGAGGAAGAATATCTCTTCAAAAGACAGTGATTACAAGTCAATGATACAAGTATTGCATCCATTAGAATCATTTACACCTGAAATGAAGGAAAGAGATGCAATTGTGCTTTGTTTGATATTTACTTCGTTCAATGAAGGAGATAAAACTTCAGAAACAGATTCTTGTTTCTACGAAGTCAGATACATCATTAGCGAAGTCAAAGAATTCACAGCTGAATTCAATCCACGATTTTTAACATGGTCTTTCGGAGAAATTCAGATAGTTTTTGGATTGAATGATGATGACACTTCTTTAATGGATTCTGCACTTTCTGCGTTGAATACTGCTTTCTTTGCTATCCAGAAAGCCCTAGAATTTGAAGATATCTATGAAATGTCTGTTGCAGCTGTTTTAATGAAAGGAAAATTCAACAACTGCATGTTCGATGGATACGGCGCTAGACAGAACAGACAGCCAAATGCTGTCATTGTGTCTCCCGCTGTTTCTGATTTACTCACGGATTACATTTGTGATTTAGCTTTCGTCGTCAATGATTTTGTCACTATCTACGTCGATCCAAGAGATATCAAGTACTTGGCTGATGACGAAGAAGAGTGTGATTCAGACGAAGCTTTTGTTTGTTTGTGATTTATTAGTTTAGTTTTAATAAAGTTACCATTTTATATGTTTGTTTTTATAAATTAGTCTCTAACAATGTTCTTTTGCATATACATTTTCAATAAATCAAGAGAATATCAAAAATATTTATTCAATATGTTAATTATTAATGCAATCTTTATGCATTGGGATTTTCTCACAGAATATATGTGGAATATTGGTTAATTATGGATAGATAATGTTGATAAAAAATCGACATCAAAAATAGTTAAAATAAAAGTTCCAAAGTATTGTAATTTTCTGTCTTTCATGTATACATGAATGAAAATCTATAAGAGAATCATTTTATTGACGATTAATTTGAAGTATTTACTTTTGATAAGGTTGATTTCACATTTTAAATGATTTTTGACACTTTACGTTGTCAAATTCAAATCTGCAAAATCTAATCTATTTCTGATGCTTACTGGAAGACTATCTGAACATGATGCATGCCAGATTCCTTCCTCATCAGAACAATTTGCAGAAATATTGAGTTTTATTAAGAGAAAATCAACTGATTTTCAAAAATTATCGCTTATCAACAAAAACGAGTTCAGTACATCGTTTTGCGTTTCGGATATTACAAACGATGAAAATTTTCTTTTAATTGAGTATAATGATAGTGCTTCCGAACTTAATGAATTCCTTAATACATGTTATGCAGCTGCACAGTGTAATTCATCATTTCTAATGCCACTTCGTGCTTTCTACGTACAGCCTAAACCAGCATTAATTACAGATCATTATCCATACGGTGATCTTCGAAATATTTTATTCAATTATCAAGACGTTGAGATATCGCCAACTCACAAAGTTATTATTGCACTATGTATATCATATGGCATGATGAAATTCCACGAAAAACGATTTATCCACGGAAATTTGAATCTTTCAAACATTTATTTAAACAATCAGAAGCTTCCTGTTATATGTGGATTTGAGAGGGTTAATACATATCCAGATTTGATCTCCGATCCGAGATACGTTGCTCCAGAATTGTTAAATCACAAAGAAGTTGATAATAAGGTTGATGTTTATGCGTTTGGCTTTTTATTATACGAGCTCATCGAACAGAAAGTCGCTTTCGAGCAATACAATAACAACCAGATCATCGCACTCGTTCAAGCAGACAAAAGACCGCAATTTACAGATAAAACTCCAAGAAGTGTAGCGACATTAATAGAACAATGTTGGCAACAGAGCCCTGTGAATCGTCCTACGTTCAAATTTATCTACGAAGAGTTCGCTGAAGGCAGAGTTACGATTCCTGGCGCAAATTTGAAAACAATTCAGCAAATGGCGATCAACATTAGTCAAATGCGAGCACGACAAGCAACATTAATCAAGTACGAATCGAAACCAATCTCTACACTTGAAGAATTCTCAATTTCAGGCAAATCAAAAACAAAAATTGTTCATAAATCGATCAGAATCAATTACAACCTTGCGGAAAGCCCAGACAGTCCAATGTTGTTACAATACATCTCTTCTTTGTTCGAAAAACTCCCTTCTTCCGATTATCAATCGATTTACGAAGTAATTCTGTCTCATTTCTCTACAGCGCCTCCTAATATACTTCATTCATTGCTGAATATATTATACAAGCACTCCTATGAACAGAAATTGTTCTTTGACTTACTTATTAAGAATAATTTTTATGAAAAATTAAATTTCATTTCTCCTCAATCGGTTACGGTTATTATGGACTTATTTGCATTGCTCATTGAAACTAACATATTAATTATCAATGATTCGATGTCTTCTGCGTTCGAATTGTTTATTAATATCAGAACTTCGGATTCTTTATCGTTATTCCATCGTTTGATTGCCAAAAATTGCCAACAAGAATTTATTTATCGTTTGTATCTCAATTACTCGGAAAAATTCATGAATACGAATTATGTCGCAAGATTTGTAACAGCTTTGACCGCCGCTTACAATTTCGAGACTTTTAAGAGTCTCATTGAGTATTATGGTGATGTTTTCATACTAGGACTCTCGAATTCTTCAAGAACTGTTATAAAATATTCTTATTACGCATTATTGAGCCATGTACCTGCCAATAAGGGTATAAATGCATCAACAGTCTATACTCACCTCATAGATCCAGAGTTTTCCATGTATTGTACTCAATTATTATTAATGGGTAATGCAATGCCATTTTCCAACACTATTTTCCAACAGTTCGTGATGATGACGCTCGCAGGAATCAAGAATGCCTATCTTACTCTATGTAAATACATGTCAATTTCGGCAGATCACGTAAAAACTTCCGAAAATAATATTTGGATACCTCTGATCACTGACAAGCGAAAGGTGTTGAAGATATTACTCATTGCCTGCAAGTTCATCTCTTGCGAAACAATTTTCCCGAAGATTCCTGGAATATTAGATTTTGTTATTTCATTTTCCAAAGAAGCGACTCCAGAAGAACACATACCTTTCATTAACCTACTCAGTTGTATCCAATTTCCAAGGTCTACTGCAGAATTACCCGAAATAAGCCAAATGTACTCAGAATATTTACATACGGCCTTCCATTCCCAGGACAAAGAGCTTATTAACGGTGGTATTAAGCTCCTGCATATGGTTTGTAGAATAACTTATTTGACCATTTATCCTTCATTAATTCCTTTGTTGCACTACTACTTGAAACCAGAGTTTACTTATATCTACAACATCATTCCTGCACTTACTGAAATGGCGAAATATGATGGAATTCCTGATGTATTGAAATCTCAAGGTATTATTCAGACTCTTTCAAACTTGTCATCTTACTCTCAGTTCAAAGAACAGATTGCGAAGTTTTTATCTTATTTGGAATAACTTTTTATGTTATTGTTGTTTTTATTTTTTATTTGTTATGTATTTTATATTTAAAACCTTTATTATTATGTGTTACTCTTTGAAAATGTTTTAATTTTTATAAGTAGCATACAATTTATGAACTATAGAATATCATCTCAAAATTATTCTATGAATTCATTACTGATATAGAAACACCTATAATATCCAAAGCTAAAACAAGAGAATTTTATTCGTTTCTATCCATTTATAAAAAGAAATTTGATTATTTTGAACAATATTTTCCTTTAATTCAGATTTTTCAGCAATATGACCTGAAAATTCTTTAGTTGCGTAAGTTATCGAAGCTTAAACCATGAAAACTTAGTCATTCTTCTAAAAGAAAAACTTTGAATCTTTTCTTTAAGTAAATCAAATAAAAATTGAAACAGTAGTTAAAGTAATAGAGGAAAGGAATGTATTTTTTATGAAATTTACATAATAAAAATAAAAAATAAAATATCCGAAATTTTTTTTTTCTCAAGAGAAAGCATAGTAGTTACCACAGAAGTCAAGAGCCTTTGCTATTTTCTCTTTCATGATTTCTTTCGATGAATACCTTGGCATCTTCAAAAATCTTCCGCAAGTTGAAACAGTTGGTAGAGTATCTTCTTCATCGAACTTTAATTGTAGTTCTAGTCTTGGATTGAGGTTTGCGAGGCCTCCAATTGGCAATTTGTTGCATCCTGTTGCGAATTGGATGAATTTCATTCTTTGTTCAGAAGAAAACTCCAGCAATACCTCTCCAAGCATTGTTCTCATTGCTTCATTAGCATTTCTTGTTATATTTACGTATTTTTCGAAATCTTCCAAAGTAAACTCGAAAGATTCTCCGCAAACTAACTTAGAAAGCTCTTTTGGAGTGAACAATGACAATGCTTCTGCTTGAATGACTGTTGAGAATCCTTTTTGGAACTCTCTGCAGGATTCTTTGCATGAATCAGACAGATTCCGAGCGAAATTGATGAAATCATCAACATTTTCCTCAGTAATCTCTTTATCTGGTCCACCCAACATGTCATAACTCAATCCGATCAAACTATCTTTGTCAGAAAGTGAAGTGGCCACTTGTTCATCGTATTGGGAAATATCAACTTCATCTCCACGAACTAAAGCGAAGAAAGCATCGGAAAGAGGGATATCTATAGGGCTATTTAAGAGAATAGCTCTTGCACAGAGGATTCCGAACTCCCAGAAGTTCTTTGTGACGTTGCTTTTAGGGAATAATCCGTTTTCTTTGTTTTCCATCCACATTTCTTTGTCGTTCGCGAAGGCTTGGGCCAACAGCTGCATGAACTCACTCATTGGGCCTTGTCCTGTGGCGACATCGAACTCTGTGTCCCAAATAAGTGTTCCTTGGCCACAATTTCTGAGAATCTTCAATCCGTCTTCGTAAATGTTATCTCTGTGTGGAGTAATCTGTGTTCTGAGATATGGACGGAATCCTTTCGGTTTGTTTTCGAAGTTTCTGAGAATAAAATCATAATAATTCTCATAATCCATGAAAACTGTTCTCAGATAGGCGTATCTTGTTTCGAATGAGAATAAGAATGGACAATGATACATGGCGCGTGTCTCTGATGAATGGAATGCGAATGAAAATACAAGATTTGCCAAAGACTCGTAGCATCTCTTGTTTAATTCTTCTTCAATGATTCTTATACCTGTTACTCTGAAGTATTCACTTGCAAGTTCAACAATTTTTGTAAAAATCTGATTTTCCCACAAAACTTTTGGAATTTGGAGTTTTGTTGGTTCACTCTTGCCTTCTTCTATGATCATAACAATGTCATTGTTGATGGCATCGCATGGCTGTCTGACTGTAGAAATAATTGATCTGAAAAATTGTTCGTTCGGTGCAAAATTGTGTCTCTCGTTCTTATAATCAATCAAGTATACAGTGTAATCAGCCACTCCTTTGATATCATAAAAAACATTGGAGATTTTCGATAAAAGTCCACTTATCGTTGTCATATCGTCCGGGGAAGTCACCGGAGGGAACTTCATAACTGATCCGTATTCGGACTTAGAAAGCTTGTCTTGAAGGGAATTGAGATTTTCTACTCCGGATTGGAAAATATAATAGAAAATCATGGCTCCGATATCTTGATTAATGAGCATTGATGTTTGGAAGGCATCTTCTGGTCCAATCAATGTCAAATTGAAGGACAATTGTGATCCAAGACGTAAAAAGACAAATTTACCTTCTGAAGGAGATAATTGAACGAAATTGGAAATTAATGCGCGAATTGTATTGGTAATTTTAGAGTAGAAGTCATCTTGTGTGGCATCAAATGGTTTTGTGTTCTTTAAAACCTTCAAAAGTTTGAGAACAACATCATATGTTATATTATGTTTGTCTATATCTCTAAAGTCATCAATTGTCTTATATTCTTTATCTGTAGTTGATTTACTAAGGAATTTGATGCGTTTTGCATACCATTTATTGTTAATTTGAAAAGCTTTCAATTTTTCTATGAAATCTGTATTCAAAATTACATTTGGATCTTCTACATTGAGCAATAGAAGAAGGATATATGGTGCTAAAGTGTTTGCGCTTGGTAAATTCAAAATTTGATTCAAAATTTTTGAGTAATTTTCATTCCATTTGAGTGGTTTGTATTTAGATACGAAAGCAAGAAGATAAAGAATCTTTCTGATGCTGTAGCTAAGTAATAAATTCGATTCAAAATATTGAATTAAAATTGGACGAATAATATCAGAAAATTCAGAGTATCCGACTAACTGTAGCTTCTCAGAACTGCAAATATTCTTTTTATAGAAGGAATCAGGGAATCCGTACTGAGGAATCAAAGAAATAAGTAAATCGAGTTGAGAATCAACTGCTTGTAAGTGTAAATGTTCATCCTTGCACGATAAGTTCGGAATTGACTCAGAATCAATGATTGATTGAGCCAATGATTCAAAATTTGCTAAATAATTAAGAATAATGCAAATATGAAGAAAATCATTCTCATCGTACTTGTGGTCGGGAGTAGTGAACAATCTGCACAATTCTCCAACAATTGATTTTTCAATTTGGTTTGCTGAAGCGTTTTTGCTTGTACCTGCATGAGGACATGCTGCTGCAACTACGTTAAGTATGAATTTCCTTGTTTCTACACTACACTTCTCAAATTTTGAAATTAAAGTTGCGATTTTGAATTTTCTAACAAGTAAAGCAGAATCTTGTTGTAGAGAACCGGCTATAAGAGCTAGTGTTTGAAAAATATATGAATATGATTCTTCATTAAATTGATTTTCTAAATAAATTTCAATTTTATCTAATAAATTACTATTGTCGAGTGCGGCTATTGTTTTTGCACGGAGATTGTTCAAGTTATTGTTGCAGCATTCATAAAAATTCTTAAAAAATTCAATTTGATCTGCAATTTGAAAATTTTGAAGAGATAAGGCGTCAAACTTCAGAGATAATTTGTTTATACTTTCAGTAACTTCGTTAGGTTCGCTTGATTCAACAGGCATAGGCATACCTGTGTTTGAGGGGCTATTCCCCATGAAAATTTTACCATTAAAAATCCAGAAAATAATGATGTTCGCTATAGCATATGCTTATCAATAAAATGGTGCAGTTTATTCAACTTTGACGATCAGATTTTGAAATTTCATTCTTCGACTTTAAAAATTTAGGCTTAAAAACCAAATCAAATTAATCTTCAACCAATAGACTTTCGATATTTTAAATTATAAGCTGGTTAATTTTTTGAAAATGGTCGAACCATAAAAAAGTGAAGGAGCGAGACGATAAGAAACGGTTTTGGTCTTTTTCGAATATGGGTCGTAAGAAACTGAGCCGTGCACGTGAATCAATCATCAACTCTCTCTCACTTGTTACAAAGTCCGGCAAGTACTCCCTTGGCATCTCACAGACTCTCAAGTCCCTCCGCAACGGCGAGGCAAAGCTTGTTATCTTCGCTTCCAATGTTGCTCCAGCCGACCGCTCCCTCATCGAATACTACGCTATGCTCTCTGGCTGCGATATCCTCCCATTCGATGGCGACAACGTCGATCTTGGTACAGCCTGTGGTAAGTATTTCCGCTCTTCAGTCATCTCCATCATTGATGCTGGTGAGTCCGAAATCCTTAAGATGATCAAGCAGAAGGACGAGTAAATTCCTTCATGACAAATATTTCCAAAAAATAATATTTTCAAAAGAATTCTAAACGCATTTTATTATGTTTCCTTCAATTTAATTTATGTTTTTACTACAATCATAACAACTTACAGACAAAAATTTTATATAAAAAATAATGATTTGTTTTTAAGATGTTAAAATGTAAATAATATTTATTTTACAAACATGTATAATATAAAAATTAGTATTATAAGAAAGATGCAGCGCAATCCCACATTGTTTGGTAGCAATCTTCGGCATTTTGATGAGCAACATCATCTAACTCAGCCTCTCTATTTCTCTTAACAATTCTACCGAGTAATTTCACATTTTCAGGAGAGCATTCGCCAAATCCTTCTCCCAAAACCAAAATAATTCTATAACAGCAATAGCTAGCAGCTCTTCTTACATCTACTACATGGTGTTGTTGCCAGGCATTGTCAATTGTCAATACAATGTCTGTCAACCAGTTTGCACAGCCAAATTCCAATGCAGAGACAAACTCGGCCATGTCACTTAAAGAAGCCGCCTGAATTAGTGTTGATTCATGGGAAACTCCACGTGAAAAAGCCTTAATGAAATGGCCGCACAAGTTTCCATTTGCTGAATGAATCAAGCCAGGACCAGTTCTTCTTGCGAGAAGCATCAATGTCTGTGCAACTTTTAATGATAAACTTACATCTGGTTTAGGATATTCTTCGCACAATTTTTTGACGACCAAATGAGGGAAAACATCTCCAATAGATTCCAAACAACGAATTGCGTTGATATAAACATATGATTCCTCATGTTTCAACTGGTTCTCAGCCAACGGCAATATCTTCTTTATGTTTTCCTCATCTCTAAGCACAGATTTTTTATCCATAACATTTCTTCTCAAATCGAATAAACCACGACCACGTAATGCAGCAATTGGACTTTGTAAATCATTAGAAATAGATTTAATGATATCTGTTTTATCATTATCATCAGAATCATTGTCTTCATCCTTGTATTTCATAGACAGCATCTCAGGAATATCGCCTCCAAATGTATTAATAACATTTCTTGGTAATTCATCAACCTCCAAACCGTCAAAAACCGCTTTTGCAATTGAAACAATATCCATTCCGATTTCAGCGTCACCTTTGACTCTTGAAAGGAAGGAGAGAAGAGGGATACCCCAATCAGGAGATATCTTTTGAACTGTTGGTAGTATTTGGGATATTAATTGAACAGATCCGAATGTTCCTGGCAAACAAGAAATAATTGAATCCATGTATTCAATTTTTATGAGTTTTGACACAATTTCTCTCATTTTTGTGATAATTGTCAGTTCACGGATTTCATCTGGCTCCGTTTCTACAACAGAAACACCTTGGTTCTGAGAAACATCAACAACAAAAGAATCCAAACCCAATGGACTCAAAGATGAATCAGAAACAACAACTTTGACAAAATCAACAACAGATTTTTCATCAACTAAAATGAATTTAAGTAAATTCAAACATCTTTTGTTAATTTCTCCTTCTGTTTGTGCAGCCAAAAACAATATTCTATGTGGCATTGGAGAAACTAATATTTTTTGTGCTGATTTCGGTGACAAAACACTTTCTAATGTCCACAGCAATGTTCCTAATGGTTTTTCATTTGTTGTAGGCCATTCTATCAATGGTTCCAAGTCAACATGTTTCAGAAATTGTTCACTTCTTGTTGAAACAATGTATTTTATGATTTCTTTCGACAGTTTGTCGCCATTTCCACTTCTTATAGCTTCAAGGAGCTTTGGAAACAGCTTCTTATAATAGTCATCTTGTTTGTCAAGGCTTGGAGGAGTTCCAATAGCTTTTGCAAGCATTGGAAGTGGGAAAATTGTGTTTTGAATCGCAGATAAAGAATCTGATCTGTTCAATATTATGTCTGGAAGCAGAGAAGTGATGTTTATCTTAAGAGGTATCAATGAAAGTATTGAACTAAACAAAACTTCGGTGTTTTGCGTTGACATAATTTTATTCATCATATTTAGGTCCAAAAAATGAAGACAAGCAAGAACATGTTGAAGAAACATGGGATGTATATCTTGGCAGGTGACATTATCAAAGAAACTCTCAAGAGCTTCGAAATAATAATTTGCTGGTTTATTTAACCTTGGAGGGGCTGGAGAAAGAACCCAGTGCTCTAGATCTTCAAATGGTATCTGTATTGACTTAGGAAGGTGTGGATATATTCCCCAATTAATGATACAAACAATTAAAAAACAAATTGCTCTGTAATGACGAGCGGAAAGGTCTCCTGAACTTGGAAGATAGTTCTTAATAACATGAGCGCAATAATGGCTGAGATCTGCATAGACATCTCCTGTTAATTCAATTTCTTGGATGAATTTCGGAATTTGTTTGGTCGCTTCACTTATTTGAGTGGTAGGACGAATTTTGACCATTAATAGGTCGACCAAATTCAAAAATTGAGGCTGAATTCCGGCTAATGTTCTTGCATCCTTTAATTTGGCATAAAATGAGTTCAGAGCTGTTGAGATCGAACTATCTTTGCATGCTTCGATCTGTGGAATGATTACATCTATTAATCTTGAAAGAATTTTTATATTTAATTTTTGGAATGGAAAATTATTGAATTTTAACAGATGTAATATGATTGTTTGTGTCGTCTGTGGTGATAATTTTAGTGTAAACTCTTCATTGAGCTTCATAACCAAATCTGTAAAAATTACAGGTTTTGAATGGAAAGTTTTGAAAATTAATTCAATGTATTCATTCAATGATTCATCTTTTTGAGAACTAGCGTCAATTGTAAACGCTGCAGTGATTAAATTAGAATATGTTCCAATGTAATCGATTAATTCTTCTGATCCTGATATTGATTGACAGTACCTTCTTGTTATGACTGATATCATTGAGTTGTCTTTGTCAAATGTGATGTTTTGCGTTGAAAAAATAAATTTCAATAAAATTGAAAACAAAAATTCATAAGAAGAATCATTTGTTAATGAATAGTAGTTAGATATGAAATCTTCACATCTATCATGTAACAAAAGCATCATCAACTGCTTAGAATTTTGAATAATTGTTGGTATTGGAAAAGCATTTGAAAATTTTGAGATTAATTTGATCGTAATTGGTTGGTTGGACATGGCTAAGTTCATAATGATCGTAAAAAGAGAGTTATCATTGAGAATAAAGTTGGAATTCACCATGATTTTGGCGAATTTGTTGTCTAAATCAGACAATTTGTTGGAATTTTGTAGTTTAAGGAGTTCTTCAATGAAAACATCATGGTCTAACAAATGAATGTAAACTTTTTGGAAAATATCAAGAACATTATCTGTTCCTCCATTTGAAAGGTATTGAATCTTGAATGTATTGAAGTTTTTGATAAGTTCTTCTTCTGTTTTCCCTTCTGTTTCAAATGAAAATAAATTTATCAGCATATTAACAATTTTTTCATTATTGGAATCGTTTTTATAGAATGCATCAACGAGTTCTTTAACTGAAATCAAATTATCTTTGTGATTTAACGAATTCAAAAACCAAAATACTTGTTTAATGAGTTTTGATGTATCATTTTGTGTGTTTAGTGCTTCTAGTTTGGTTATTGCTATGTTTATGTCTTCTGATGTTAATGAATGATCTAAATATTTCGAAATCAATGGCTGTAGTGTTTCATAAACAGCTTTATGAAATATAATGGATTCATCTGTGTATTTGTACTTATTGGCTGATTCCAATTTTCCATTTTTCATGGAAACAATCTGAGAATCAATCAGCCAACAAGACATGTAAAAAAATAAATAATTGGTCGCACAAATATCTTATCATAGATGGTATTAATAACATTTTTAATCTAAAATTCGTTTTCTGAAATCAAAATGATTTCAAAAATTTGAAAAAATCGAAATTGAAAATGATTGTTGAAATTTCCATTTAGTTGTCCTTTATTTCCGCTCAAAATTACTTGAAAATTTGATAAACAAAATTTTGTCACTTTTTTGTAATTATTATTTGATGACATCTGAAGAAATAGTTTTAGCTTTCTGTGGAAGCTTCAATCCACCGACAAATGGACACTTGATGGCAGCCACTATTGCTAGAGATCATATGACAGATCTTGGATTCAATGTTAAGGCAACTGTTTTTGTTCCAGCACATTCTGGATATATTTTCAAGCCAGGAATACTTTCTGGTGAACAACGTGCCGAAATGCTTGAAGCAATGGTCGCTCATACAGATTATTTAAGTGTAGATCGCTTCGAAGTTCAAAAGAACGATTGGACACGTACAATTGACACTCTTCTTTACCTTAGAGAAAAGCATAAATGCAGAATTGTTCTGATTGTCGGAATAGATATTGTTGAATCCTTCGAAACTAAATGGAGAGAGCCAGATGTTAAAAGAATTCTTGAAGAGTTTGGATTGTGCATACTTCCTCGTGTTACAGAAGCCGTAGATTTAAAGAGCAAATGCAAATACATCGAAGGACGCGATAAATTACTTTACGTTGTTGGATCGAACCCACTAAACCTCGTTAGCTCTACCCTTGTTCGTGATGAAATCAAGAAAGGCCATCATATTGTTGGTTTAGTTGATCCAGCCGTAGCAGAAATAATAGCTAAGAATAACTACTATAAAGACTAATCAAACTGTTTTTAAATACGTTTTCTATGATCTTAGCTTTTTTCTACAAAAATCAAAACAAAATTTAGTTAAATTAAGAACAAAAAGAGAAATTTGACTCACAAATGCGATTAAAATAGTTGAAATGGATATTTGATTATCAAAATTTGTTTCATTCTATGTCATAAAATTTTCAAAATTTTATCAATGGTCAGAAAGAACATTTAATAGATTATATTAATTCATCGTTATAACTTATGAAGATTTTCAACTTGGTTTTAATTAGCCGATAATAGATGTTGGACCAATCGAAAAAGTACATCATTGTTGACCTTCAAACATAGATAAATGGAATCTAAATCTGATATATAATGCATCTATCTAGGTTAAAGTCCGGAATTTTTTGATGTGATTTTTGGCGGTTTATCGTCGTGATGTTTGTGAATGAGTATTCTTATGAATGACAAATTGCAGAGCTTACTACAACAACAACATTGTTCTTTTAAGGATGTCTATGATGCTATAGGTAGTATCGACTTCACTAAGGCCAAATTGAACCAGAAATCTAGGGTAAAACTCATACAAATCGTAAAAAGCGAAGTTGATTCCCATCCAGACAACGAAGCTACCCTCAATTTACTGAAGATAATGACTTCCAGAAGGAACTTTATCAATGAAGCAGCCAACGACAACTTCAATATTGCCAGTATTTGCGATACTTTCCTCAGGATATCCAGGAATGACTGCCAAAACCCTCAAATTAAGACCGCTTACATACTCTGTGTTGACTGCCTAGTTAATACAGCCGAGAAACTACGCGCTCAGATCGCTGCTTCCGTTTGCGAATACGTAGTTTCGAATTTCAAAGAAGATTCAGCCGACCAAGTAGTTTTTAGCAAGTCAATGAGGCTCATTATCTCTACAATAAGAGGTTCCCTTGATTCCAAACCCGTTTTCCTCAGCAAACTCGTTGATCAAGATTATAAGAACATAATTTCCTACGTTTGCAACACATTTGATCCTGTTGGCCAAGCATTAGCCGCCGAATTCCTCTGGAGAATGCTCCAACTCTTACCGAAACGAAGATCCGAAACCGAAATCAAATCATTGTACGGGGACTTCATCCAACTGAAGCAGATCAGTGTTTCGCAGTTCTCAGAAGGCATCCACAACTTCCTCAAGAACCTTAACTCCGAGTTCAAGAACGTCTACAACTTCAATCTGAAGAACCTTATCGTTGGTGGCTCGACCGTCTCGAAGACACATTGGATTTACATCGGAAACGATAAGATCGTGTTCTGGATTTCTAAAGATTCAGAATGGAAACCTACGATAAAGAAGCCATGTGATCTGATGATACTCAGAAGAGAAGACATCAGAGGTGTCTGCCAACATGACAAGTATTGGTGTCTCGTTCTCGACGACCATTTCGATACAATGGTCGAATGTTTCACTGATGAGAAGAAATTAATTTTCTTCAAACCGTCGAATAAAAGTGAAACAGAGTCAATATTCAAGATCATGGAGAGCAGATTTGGAGAAGTCAATGAATCATCAATCATCATTACTCCTCCAAAACCTCAGAAGAAACCTAAAAATTCTGAATCCAAAAAAGTGGCAGAAACTCCAAAACCTAAATTACGTGAAAAGAAATATGACATTCCACCACCACAAACACCTAATTTGGAGAAAGTTCCTGTCACTCCATCATTATCAGCGATGAACCAACAGACAGGAACATCGTTCATTGATTCCTCCAGTAGTTCATGGTCATTATCTGATTCATCACAAGAAATCAATGTCGAAGAAGAAATTCCTAAAGTTCCAAAAGATAGGAAATTCAAACCAATAAGAGAAACAGTGAAGAAGACACAAAAAGAAAGTATCTTTGAAATAAAGAAGGGAGCAACACCTGAGAAACAATCAAAAAGAATCGAAATAATCAACGAAGAAATCAATTCTGCAAAGAAATTGTTATCAGAAACAGAAGAGAAAACAAAAACAAAACAAAAGAAATCATCAAAGAAGAAACCAAAAGAAGTTCCAAAGAAGAGACAAAAAGAAGAACCAAAACCAAAGAAAACAACAAAGAAATTGTCAAAGAAAGAAAAAGCTAAAAAACTTTTGGAAGAAGAAGAAATGAAAAAGAAAATAATACAGGAATCTTCAGATGATGAAATCGAAAGTCCATCATTATCTGATGAAGACTCATTCTCTGATAACTACGCTCCTGTTATCAGTCAATCATTTGATAACACTCAAATCGATGAATTTGATAACGAAATCAGTTCAGATGAAGAAGATGAAGAAAAAATTTCAGAAGAAAAAGTGTCAAAAATTTCTGATGAAAAAGTGACAGAGAAATCTGACATCAGAGAAGAGAAACCAGCTGAAATTAATCAAATCCAAGAGCAGGCACCTAAGAGAACATATGCTCCACAATCCTGGGAATTGGAAGCATTTGCAGAGTTGAAGAATTTCGGGCAGTCAATCAGACAAAAACTGAATGACAAACACAACGAAATCAACAAAGTCATTGAGTCTTCAACGGAAAACGCAATCAATGATGTCTGCAAATTCACAACTGAATGTGAAGAAAACTTGGAACTGATGAGATCCAATTTTGATGACGCTTCTTCTGCAACTTACACTGATATCCAAAACAAACAGAAAATGGTGAAAGAACTCGGTCAGCAGCAGAGAGAACACATCGAACAGATGAGAAATGACTGCGCAGTTCTGAAGAAGAGAGCTGCAGAAATGATCAAAAGATTCGAACAACAGAAAACTCAGTTGTTACAGAACCAGGAGAAACACATAGCTCTGTTCAGAGAGGATATCAGATCTGAAGTAAGAACTGCTGTTTCTCAAAAGAGAAGGGAGTTCTCGAAGAGCAAAGTTCAGAAACTTGTCAATTTGCTCGAAGAACTGTAACAAAATTGACATTTTTTACATTTATTGAAATAAATTTTTTTATTTTGAAAAAAAAATCTTTTATAAGTTTTTTTAATATGTTCCTTTTTCACATTGCTACTATACATATATAATATGACCATTTCCGAATAACACTTCATTAAGCATCACAAAATTCATCTCCATCTTTAGTTGAATTCATTATTTCAAAAAAAAAGTAATGAATGGAAAACTCCCCTCATATTTGCATCACAATCTGACAACATGGAAATTGCACAATTTTTCAATTCAAAAAGGAGCCAATATCAAATCAAAAGATATTGATGGAAAGATATCTCTTTATTCTGTATTTATAGATGATAGTCAGGAATTGAGCTGATTTTAATTCAAAGAATCAAAGTAATATTGCATCAATTCATCTTGTAGCAGAATCCTATTGTGTGCCAACATTTGAAATGCATTTTCACTATATATTTAACTTTCTGATATGCATATGGTTAAACAGCATCCTTGATATTATATAATATAGTGCGTTATTTTTTATATCATAATCAGATGAGGTGATATGATCATAAAAAAACCATCGTTCGAAAAAAAAATAAAAATAAAACTATGAATATCATTACAAAAAAGTATCATGAGATCGAGAGAGGCAACGATATTAAAGAGAAAATTCCATTCACATTATATATTAACAACGAGCAAATAGAATCATGGAAACACATCTCGATTATGATTTCGAAATTTATTCATAATGAATATTTACGTGACAGTTCAGTAAAATCAGCTAGAAAATATTTAAACCTATCATGTAATAACATAATTGACATCATTTCCGAATTTTTCAAAACAGGAATTCTAAGATTCGAGAATAACCGAGCACATAATCGAGACATATTCGAAGTTGGCAATGCATTTGGTATAGAATTCCTGACAAACGTATTTTGCGAGTTTGTTAAGTCAGCATACAAAGAAATCAACGAAGAAAACTTTTATGATATCTATGATTGCTCAATAATTCAAAACGACATAAATAAGATTAATGAATGTATTACATTTTTTGCATCAAGAATGGATGTTCTTCAAGAAGAATATAAAATAGCCACTATTAAACGATATGGATATGACTTTTTTGAGAGAGTTTTGACATCAAAATCACTTAAAATTTCCAATGAAGATTCATTAGTCAACACAATCTTAACAATGAGTGAGCATGATGACTCATTCTTTTGTCTTCTTAATCATGTTAAAGTTGAATTTTGCAGCAATGATTCAATCAAATCAATCAAAAACTTCGCAGTTCAACACAAATTTGAATCTATAACAACAGAAGTATTCGAACGCGCTCTTCTTCTTCGTTCACCAATTCAACACAAACAATCATTTTCAAACACTAGCTATTTTTGCATAGAAACAATTCCTAAAAAACTCAAACTTTCTGATTCAAATTATTTTGAAGTAGAAAAAATTCCATATAAATTTAATATATCACCTATCAATGAACTTCATAAAATTGATAAATCGAATGAAAATTTGAGAAAATTAATGAGTTTGAGAAAGACAAAAGATGACTTTAATCAAATTTATGAAGTACTTGTAAAGGCATCAAATGAAGGAGATCTTTCAACAATCAAATACGCATGCGATGAAAAATATTCCGAAATTTCTGATGGCCATGATATAAATATGATGCTTATGGCGGCATGGAATAATAATCTAAATCTCGTATTGCAGTTGTTCAATTATGGAGCTGATGTAAGAAGTAGATCTTATACTAATAGAACGATTCTTCATTATTTTTGTCAAAAGGGAAATTTAGAAGGTGTTAAATTCGCTCTTAACTTCATAGATATTAATGCTAAAAATATTGATAACTATACACCCCTTCATGATACTATCGCCAATTCGGATAAAAATCAAGTTGAGATATGTGAATATCTTTGCTCCCAACCGAATATAGATAAAATTATTCAAAATAATAAAAATAAAACTCCTCTTCAGTCTGCAAAAAGTTTAAACCTACAAAATATTGTTGATATTCTTCTCAGAAATGGTTTTACTGAATAAAAATGTTTATCATAATAACGATATGCCAACACCCCTAGCAAAACACGATTTGATCATATAACAAACTTATTAAAAACATTTTTTGAATATTGAATATGATTCATTTATTTATGAATACATTACAATATTAATTAAAAGGCATTGATTTATAAATTTAAACAAATCTGTTTAGATTAAGCTGAAATCTATGCTTTACTCTAAATATATCCAATGTTAAATTAGTGTCTAATGTGTGATAGACTTTTTACAAATAGGAAAAATAATTTATGTTGATATGTTTTTTTATCTGATTTCTCTTTTATTTCATCTCCACTGATAGAAATTATAATATTTCCTGACTTCAAGAGCTTGATATAAAAGTAATTATGCAAACACATTCTTGCAATGATTAGCAAGAATTCACTTTCGAGATCATTCATGAAAAATTAGTTATCTAAATATTGTTTTCTTAGAAAAAAAAAGAGTAATTATCAAAAAAACTATACTAAATTTTAATTTAGCAGCAGCCGTAAGCGAGCATGGCCTCAGCGACGCGCTTGAAGCCGGCAAGGTTAGCACCCTTGTAGAGTGGAACGCCATATTGCTCAGAAGCAGCGTGAGCAGCTTCGAAGATGTTGTGCATGATTTCCTTGAGCTTCTTGTCGACCTTCTCGGATGACCAAGCGAGGCGAACGGAGTTCTGTGTCATTTCGAGGCCAGAGACGGAAACACCACCAGCGTTGGCAGCCTTGCCTGGGCCGTAGTAGATGTTCTCCTTCATGTAGAGCTCGATTGTCTCGTTTGTTGATGGCATGTTAGCACCTTCAGCAACGAGCTTGACGCCGTTCTTGACCATGATTGGAACGTGTTCTGGGAGAATTTCGTTCTGTGTAGCGCATGGAAGACCCATTTCGCAGGCAACTTCGCAGGCCCAGATGGACTTGCCATCGATGTACTCGTAGCCCTTGAGTTCTGGGAAGAGCTTGCTGATTTCCTTGAGCTCTGTACGAGCAACGTTCTTGATGTGCATAACAGCATCAAGGTGCTCCTTTGTCATGCCATCCTTGAAGATGATAGCACCATGGGAGTCGGAAACAGAGACTGGGATAGCACCGAGCTGCATAAGCTTCTTGCAGCAGTACTGAGCGACGTTGCCGGAGCCAGAGACCATAGCGCGCTTGCCCTTGATCTCCTCACCACGAGCGCGGAGCATTTCTGTAACGAAGTAGACAAGACCGTAGCCTGTAGCTTCTGGGCGGATAAGGGAGCCACCGTATGGGATGCCCTTGCCTGTAAGGACGCCCTCGAAGACGTTCTTAATACGCTTGTACTGGCCGAACATGTAGCCGATTTCACGAGCGCCGACACCGATATCACCAGCTGGGACATCTGTGTTGCCTCCGATGTGGCGGGAAAGTTCGAGCATGAAGGACTGGCAGAATCTCATGACTTCGCCATCAGACTTGCCGGCTGGGTCGAAATCGGAACCACCCTTGCCACCACCCATTGGGAGTGTTGTAAGGGAGTTCTTGAAGACTTGCTCGAAGCCGAGGAACTTAAGGATGGAAAGGTTAACGTTGCCACGGAAACGGCAGCCACCCTTGTATGGGCCAATTGCAGAGTTGAATTGGACACGGAAGCCACGGTTGACCATCATCTCACCCTTGTCGTTGACCCATGGGACACGGAACATGATAACACGTTCTGGTTCAACAAGGGCTGGGAGAAGCTTCTGATACTTTGGTTCCTTCTCGAGAATTGGGACAAGAGATGTAAGAACCTCTGTGACGGCCTGGATGAATTCCTTCTGATCTGGATCGCGAGCGCGAACGATTTCAAGTGTCTTTTGGACTGCTTCCATTGAAGTAAAGTGAAGAGGAAATTTAATGGTCCCCTAATTGAGAGAAAACGATGCTTAAGCTCTCAATTTTTTGAGAAAACAATGAGAAATGAATTCACTTTTCTCCAATAGCAATACGAGAAAATTTGCTACTCATTAGTTGACAAATAATATTAGCTTGATGACCATACCTCATTTTTTCATTTCACCTCACATCGTTTTCCGTAATTGTTCTGAAACTTTTGATTTATATATGATGCTGAATGATATGTGAATCTACTAATCCACTTTTTGAATTGTTTTCAATTAAAATAATTCTGAAAATAACAGTAAAAACAAAATAATTCCTTCATAATCACATAGACGTCAACAACAGAAAACGATGTTTACATTTTCAGATAATTATCGTTAATTTCACTTTTTATCTATGACATTTCACCTGTATTCAGAGTTTGTGCTTTGATCATTTAATCATTGTACATGATTACAGCAATTTTGATTGCTTTTATCCCAAATTTTATGCAGATCAATAGATTTTATTGAAATTCCTTACGTTTTCTAAGTCCAAAAAATGGATCACTCACACCAACTTTGATTTAGTCCCATTGATCAAATAGAATTATTTCACAACACCGTAACAAATTTCTGCTTTGTTTTTAAATTACAACAAGGAACGGCATAACTGAAATATTTAGCAGTGATTTCTGCCATAACATAATCTTATTGAGTGAAAAATGAAAAATCAATTCAATATAAAGATTCATAATAAAAAATACTTCAGATTCTAATTCGAGTATAATAAATCATATGTCATCTTGTTATACACTCCTATATTTATTAATAAAGGAAGTTGCCTCAATATTTGATAAAAGTTATATTCATCATAGTAATATTTATATTTTATTCAAAATAAATAGCCTATCTTAAGAGTATTATTGTGTGTGGTGTCAGTGCCTCGTTTTCTCCTGTCTTCCTTCGGATAAGTGAAGTCTGGATATTTTTTATATTTTGTCACCTTTACATGATAATTCTGAGTTTTTTGATGTCGCGCTTACGAATAGGATATGTGGGTCCAGATAAGAAATGGGAATCTTTAAAATGGAACAAATTCGTCGAATATGCGTCAGAAAGGAATGTTGATGTTGTCCATATAAATTTAGATCAAGATTTTGATAAACAAGGCAAATTTGATATCATTATTCATAAGGTCACATACTTAATGAACTCTCCATATCCAGAAGAGAATCCAAAAATCAAAAATTTATATGAATTTTCCAAAAAGCATCCAGAAGTTCTTTTAATCGATGATTTGCAAAATGTTGGTAAAACCCTAGATAGAGAACTTCTTGATCAGGCCATCAGATCAATTCAATGGCCTAATGATATAATAGTCAAAATTCCGGAAGCAAAAATGCTTGAAAAGTCTGATATTGAATCAATTGTAAACTCTTCTAAAGATCTACATTTCCTGTTCTAGCGAAGCCAAAGTCAGGCTGTCAGACAGCTGCTTCTTCAAACAATGAAGTGCATACATTCAGAATTGCAACAAAACCAGAAGATTTGATAGGATTTCCAACTCCTTCTTTATTACAAGAATATATTAATCATGGAGGAATTGTTTATAAAATATATACGATCGGAGATCATTTAGAAGTCACCGCTCGTCCTTCAACAAGAGACTTGAAGAAAAACGAGACGGTAACAATAGACTTTCACTCACAAAAGCCAGATGTAGAAAATGGTATTTGGACACATCATCAAATAACAAAGGATGATAATTTTCCGATTGAAGACTTTAAAAAGATATCAAAGGCAATCCGTTCAAGCCTCAAGATGGAATTAATAGGATTTGACATCCTTATTGACTCCAGCGGTTCGTATTGGATTATCGACATTAATTCTTTCCCTGGATACAAAATGATTCCGAATCTCCCGGAATTGTTTTATGAGTTCTTCGTAAATCTTGTGAAGAAATAGATAATTTCGTATTTTTTGTCGAAATTTTGAAATCATTTTTAAAACATGTTGACTATTTTACGATTTCGACTTAAATTTTCAGCATATTTATACAATAGAAAATCGGAATGGTATGAGAATGCTACCATTTTCATAAGCGACGATGATCGAATTTCCAAAATATGAAAGGGTTAAATCTCAATTAGTAAGAATTGGAAATAAGATTGTATGGAGACTAAGAAACTATATCAGAATCATGTTCGAATAAAATTTGCTCAAAGCGTAATCGATTCAAAAAAAAACGTTAAGAGCGGTTTTTGATCATCTGTATTAATACATAGTCAAAAAGCCAAAAAAGTTGAGAAATTTATATAACTTTCATTTGAAAGGTTTTTTTCAAAAACTAAAATATGGGTGGGATGGAAATTATAAAACATATGATAAATAATAAAATATCTCTTCACGAAACAGATAAAAAGTCAATTTACGAATCGGTTTTGAGTCATCTCACAATTATTGAGCACAAAAGTATTTTTGAATAAATATTTAATAGGTGAAGTGAAATGAGTTTTATCTCGATTCAGCATAAAGACTGGAAAACTATACTTGTTAGTGGAAAAGGAATTGTAAAAAAAGAAAAAGATTGATTAAATTAAGAAAAAATTGCTGAAATATGATTTAGAATTCCTGGTAGTCGCCCTTTGGAGCAAGTTCTTCTGGAAGGGAAGCGATCCACTTGTTTGTTTCCCAGTTGTTACGGTGGACTGGCTTGAACTTCTTAACTTCCTTTGTTGGGAGAAGGAGAGCCTGGTTCATGAGCCATTCGCCACGGTACTTGAGTTCCTGCTGGAGTGTGACATCGTTAGCCTTGACCTGGAGGTTAGCCTTCTTGAAAGCTGTCTGTGTTCTGATAACTGGAACGACGATGAGGTTGCCCTGGCCTTCGGCATCGACTGTGTACTTGTCGCCATCCTTCTTGACGAAGGCTGGGAGGTTCTGGTTCTCAGAGAACCAGTACTTCTTCTCGTCTGGCTTGAGGATGAGGATGTTGAAGAAGTACTTGTTGCCGTCGTTGACCTGCTCGAATGTAACTGGTTCAACCTTTGGCTTGGCTGGCTCTGGTGGTGGTGGTGGTGGAGCCTGCTCTGGGTAGTCTTCAGCAAGGTTGCCCTCAAGTTCGACCATGAAGGTGATCATTGGGTGGCAGTTTGGATGGTGCTCTGGGTTGATGACAACCATCTCCTTTGTGATCTTCTCGCCGAGTCTGGCGAAAAGAGATGGGACCTTGATCTTGATCCAGCAAGCCATATCATCTCTAAATGGATCCTGGTCCATGACTGTGAACTTGATTGTGTAGCAGTCATCGGATGGGATGTCGAAGACTTGGTCTGGGTATGTTGGATTCAAGTTATTCTTGACAACTTTTGTCTTGCCACCTGGTCTTGGCTTCTGGTCCTTGCCCTTAGTCTCGATGACTACGTAAGAATCGATGAGACCGTTAGCATCCTTAATTGGAAGGTCGGAGCAACTTAAGATACGGAAGTGGAACATCTAAGTGAAGTGACGATAAATATCATAAAAGTTTATTTTACATAAAAATAACATAAACACCATAATGCTTCTTATAAAAAATTAATTAGTTTCTATAGATATGTATTTTGATTGCCGTTTTTCGTATTTAATTCTTATATCGGGTGGTCTCGGAAATTATCTGCAATCGTTAGTAATAATTTCATAGGCAATTGTTAATGTTTTGTGTTATTCTTTTAATACATGTGATGGATTCATGGTTATTTGCAATATGGTAACTTTGTAAAATGAATTTTTCTGGTAGGATTGCAAAATATTGAAAAATCAGATTAATCTTATTTTATTTGTTAATTTTAGAATTAATGCATCAATTAATGCATCCCAGAAGTTCACTTCTTGAAATTTCCAAATGGGACGCAATAGAAATGTACATTTAGGAATTCAAATTCAATAAGCGTACTATCCAAATAGAATAATATGAACATTTATTCAATACTCATTTTTTGTCTTTTTCAATATTTTGTCCGAAATGCATTCAATTTCATTGCTGTTTTCAATATTAACACACCCTAATTAATAAACGGGAATAAAAAATATGATAAAATTGGCAATCTGAACGCAAGTTATACTTGAAAGGCAATGGGGGCTTTGTTATAATGATTTCAAAATTATGTTGAAATGTTGAATTCATGGCAAATTTAATCATTATTAGTGTTTCGACCAAAAGAGTTATAATTTATTGTATGGAATTTATCATAATTATCCATTTTTTAGACATACACTCCATTTCATAGATATTGAACCAAAAATAATAACAACTTTCAAAATCGATTACAATCATCTGGATAAGATTTTGTATCCAGACTCTCATTGGATTCAAAAGTATCTGAGAGAAAAAAAAATTCTGTCAATTTGAGAAATGAAAAAGAAAAAAAGAAGACAGAGAGACAAAACTCGTAAATTAGAAAGTATTCAGAATATTTCATCATCATCAAAGCATACTCAGTTTTAAAGAATTATATCAAAATTCAGTTAATCTGCCGAGTATGAGTAAATGATGTCATAATATCATCGGAATTGAAGATGGGAACTCTAAGTTACAGTGAGTTATTTGAAAATAAATGTTAGTAAAACCTGAAACAAATTTCGTTGTGGCACAATCTCAGGATGATGATGAAGTTGGCAAAAATGGATGACTTTTCGCAAGAACGGAACATGTGTTAACATGTTATCGAAATTTATTCATCGAACTTAGTGAATTTCAATGAAAATGCAATATGGATAATCATGCTTATGATCGGCCATCTGCGATAATGATTATATTGAATAAGATCCTAACAATTGGATTCTCAATAAAGTCGAAAAAAAAATCTAAAAGTGACAAATCAAAATCCGTTTTTTACTTCTTGCATGGATGGAACTTCTACGCAAAGAAGCAAAAAGACAATTAGAGTAACTCGAAAAGTTAATCAAAATGGTAATCCGCCTTCAAAGCAGCAAAAACCAGTTACCCAATCGGAAATTCATGAATTACGATTAAAAACAGCTCAACTAGATCAACAAACTAAGATTATGCGTACCCAACTTAATCGTGTTCGAGATCAAATAGCTTCCAAAACGAAAGCTATTAACAAAACCGTTTCAAGTTCATCAGACGTTAAAGGAACAAATGGTTTCAAAACACGTGCTGAACAACTTGAGAAATCTATTCAAGCAGCTACAGATACAAAAGAAAAGCTTGAAGAACAAATAGAACAAGTCAAAGAGAACGATAAAGGCGCACTTGTTGTTGAACTCAAAGAAGAGCTCAAAATGGCTTATTGTGAATTGCAAAGAATTCATGATGAAATTGAAGAACACAAATCAAGAGGTGCGAACGATGCTCAAAAATTGAAAACTGCCAACATGAAACTTACAAATGAATATCTTCAGGAATTAGAGCTTAAAATAAACAAGACAAGAGACTCAAATAGAGATATCAAAGATAAAATCATTGCTTACTATAAAAAGATCGAAAGAAACAATATCGAGAGATCGCTTAACAAACGAAATAAAGAAGGTATTCCTTTACAATACTCAAAGGTCGAAATTGAAGATAATAAAAGATATAGAATTGAAAAGTTTAATGTCATTGCAGAAAATTTGAATGACCAATCTGCAAAATTCGAATCTAATGTAGAATTACTGAATAACATTATTAATGAGCAACGTTCTAAGATTATTAATCATCTTTCACAAGATCAAGCTATTCAAAGAGAAATACAACTTGAAACTGCTAGAACAGAACAAAATCAGGAAGAGGAAGAAGTTAATATTGACTTTTAAGATTGTTTGTTTTTATTATTTTAATTTTTGCACTTGAATCGAAGAGTGTTTACGATTAAATAAAACTATTGCTTCTGTGTTTATTATAGTAATTAAAACTTGTTTGAATATACTTATATAAAAAATCTTATAAAATATTTAATACTAATGTATCATATGTTATGGCCATAGGATCCATTTATGCATTTGATGCATTTATGGCTAAAATATTGTGACGTCTATGTTCTTATAGAAAAAATTTATTAAAAATTTAAATAATTCAATGGAATACTAGAGTATCTATTAGTCTATGAAGAGACATATAAGATATTCTAATGATATTGATTATGCTGTCTCACAGTTCGTAAAGTGAAGAAGTTCTCCAAAAATTTTGTCACTTTCTCAAAATTTTCAATAAAAATTTTGAACAAAGTCTACTAATTTTATTATGTATTTGGGATGTACTTAAAATGACAAGTGAAAAACATGCTTCAATACAAGTTTTCAAGCGAGAAAAAAAATCCTCAAATTATCTGTGCTGATTTTAGGGGTAATTTTAAGTCTGTGGCCCCTAATACTATAGGATTTTTGGAATTTAATATAGCTTGGTCGCTCATCTGTAAACTCAATTTTGAATCGAAATTGAGAATACTCAAAATGAGCCGATTTCTTCAAAATAGGCATTAAAATATTCAATAACTAATTTTAGGAAGATATGGCCATAAAGATGATAGGTCGGGAAGGAACAAACGATAGCCCTCAAAACGGTTATTCATGGCCATTTAAAATGTCTGGAAAGAACGCCGGTGCAAAGGTTGGTGGCAAAGGTTCATGGCGCAGGAAAGTAAAGAAAGCCCCAACAGGCTCACAGGAAGCCGACAAGGTTTGGCTCGCTGCTCAGCGCCAGGGCTGCCGCGATATCGGTGAGATTGATAACGCTACAATAATCTTAGCACAGAATGATAGCCTTTCTTTCACAAAGCCAGAGCTCGCTATCGATATGCGTGCTAACACTTACGTTCTCCGTGGAAAGCCAGAGAAGAAGCCAGTATCTGAGATCCTTCAGGACCTCCTTTCTGGCATTGACCTCTCTAAGTTTGGCGGTAAGGCTGGTGAAGAAAAGAAGGAAGAACTTGGTGATGTTGCCAATGTAGATTTCTCCAAGCCAGAAGAGGCTCAGCCAGAAGAGAAGAAAGAATAAAGTGATTTCTTGACTCATATTACTTAAATTAAATATAACCATATTTGAGTCAATACAAAATAATACGAATTCGGCCTAATCGAATCGTATTAAATGTGAGAGAATAAAGATAGATAAAAAGAGCAACTACTTTATTGAAATTGAACTATTATACTTATATAATATACACAAAGCTCTTGATTCTATTATAAAATGTTTGATTGGTCATATTTGTCAAACAACTTGAAGCAATTTTGAATACTTGAAATGTTTTAATACATGAAAATAATATTATTTGCAGCTTCCAAATGATAATTTAATAGAATTAAATTTACCGAATAAAATTTTTGGTCTTGGATTAGAGTACAGTATCTTGGTATGGAAATGTCATATAAATTTGCGTAATTGTAATGTGATTATGTATAGATAATTTGAATTTTTCTAAAAATTATATTTGAAATTTCTAAAATTAAAAAAAAAGAAGAAGAATATGCAATGATTATAGAATTTACTCGTTGAACAAAAGATCTGATAATTGTTGAGATTTCTCCTTGTCCATAGCGTTCCGCTTCTTAGCCTTGCAGAGGCAAACAGAAAGAACAATGATGATAACAATAAGGATAAAGCCGCCGACACCAATCATAACGTAGATGAACTGTGTCTTTGTTAATTTACCAATATATCCGTCGTTCTGGTTATTGTTCTCTGTTGGAGCTGGAGTAGGTGGTTGTGTTGGTACTTCCTTTGTCGGCTTTGGAGTTGGTTTTGGTATTGGTGTTGGAGTTGGCTTTGGAATAGGAGTAGCTGTTGGCTCTGGTATTGGTGTTGGAGTTGGCTTTGGAATAGGAGTAGCTGTTGGCTTTGGAATAGGAGTAGCTGTTGGTTTTGGAATAGGAGTACCTGTTGGCTTTGGCATTGGTGTTGCTGTTGGCTTTGGAATAGGAGTAGCTGTTGGCTTTGGAATAGGAGTAGCTGTTGGCTTTGGAATAGGAGTACCTGTTGGCTTTGGAATAGGAGTAGCTGTTGGTTTTGGAATAGGAGTAGCTGTTGGCTTTGGAATAGGAGTAGCTGTTGGCTTTGGAATAGGAGTACCTGTTGGCTTTGGAATAGGAGTAGCTGTTGGTTTTGGAATAGGAGTACCTGTTGGCTTTGGCATTGGTGTTGCTGTTGGCTTTGGAATAGGAGTAGCTGTTGGCTTTGGAATAGGAGTAGCTGTTGGCTTTGGAATAGGAGGAATTGGAATTTCTGATGAGGATGATGATTCAGTTGATGAAGTTGTCTCTGATGGTTCAATAGAGGATGTTGTTTCGTTTGATTCTGATGGTGTGAAGTAACTTGATGAGGATGACTCATTGTATTCTGATGATGAAGATTCAGATGATTCGTAGGACGATGAAGATGTTGACTCATTCGATTCTGAAGGTGTGAATGACTCTGTTGAAGTAGATGATTCTGTTTCATTTGATTCTGAAGAAGTAGATGACTCTGTTGATGTGGATGATTCTGTTTCATTAGATTCAGTGGAAGTCAATGACTCTGACGATGTAGATGATTCAGTAATGTTGGAATCTGATGACTCTGATGATGTTAATGTTTCTGATGACGATGAAGAAGATTCTGTGATATTTGATTCTGAAGAGTTTGAAGGAATTAACGATTCGGAGCTCTCTAATGACGATAACGACACTGATGATGATGAGATCTCTGATGAATTAGAAGGTGACTCTGTAGAAGATGGAGAATATTCATCGGAAGAAGATGAGCTTTCAGTCGAATTTGAAGGTAATGGGACTTCCTCACTACTGTTTGATGATGGGGATGGCTCGAAAGGTGTCTCAGACACAGAAGAATTAGTTTCAGATGGTGTTCCAGATCCTGAATCTGTAACATTGGAATCAATTTCTGGTGAGACTGATTCTGTTGATATTGATGTGTTTGAGGCATGATCTGTTTCGGAGGTATTTGTTGTTGAATTTAGTTCTGACGAAGGTGAAGAAATGTTTGCATCTGAATTATTTATGCTTGGCGAATGTGATGTGACGCTACTAGAATTATCAGCGGCTAAAAGCTGATTTAAAATCAAATTATTTTCTGCATCAGCTAATTTATATTGCGCGTCTTTGAGTATTGAATAATCATCCTTCTGCTTAATATAGCATTGGGCGGTGATTGTAAAAAGAGATAAAATCATTATTGCCATATTGTCAAAATAAAATTTTAAAAAGTGACACGAATTTTATACGATTCTTGGAAAATGAAATAAATATGCAATAAATATTGAATACAGTACTATTCGTTTTGATCCAATAATTGAAATAAAAATTGACACGGCCAATGATTGTCTCATCAAATTCGAAGTTTTACAACCTTATGTTTTGAGTAGGGGTAATTTTAGCTAAAAGTGACGCGCCTGTAAAAAGTGACACACCCGTGAAGGGTGTGATTACCGATCGGTAATTTCGACAGTTTAGAATTTAAAATTTTTTATGGAACTGTTGCGAGTTTCATAAAGAATTTAAGGAATATAAGCAAAGATTTGAATCAAAATCTTAGACCTAAGCCGCTCGATTCGCTCGCGGCTTCCGCGAATTACAGATCAGCAAAGATTTGAATCAAAATCTTCGAACTAAGCCGATCGCTTCGCTCGCGGCTTTCTTTATTATTTTAAATTTGCATATTTCCATCAAAAGTTCATAAGGTAAAAAATTTCGTTTATATTATTGCAAAATAAAATCTTCATTATCAAAATAATATTAAATAATAATATAATATAATTTATAAACAACTATTATTTAATAAAGTTTAATTGCCAAGGTTCATCTAATTTTTTGATTTTTAATGTTTTATGAATTTTATTTATCATGTATATATCTAATGAAGATTATATATGTAGAAGATAAGTACCTTAATATGTACGTAAATTTTAATGAAATTTATACAACATTATAAAAATTTATGAATAAAAACTTGATATAAAATAACATTTTTATTTTTACTAAGAAAAAAAAAGGTTTTTGATAATAAATTTATTTTATTTCGAAAAAGTAGCAATAATCGTAAAAGGGCATTGATAGGCTTGCTAAAGTAACTAATTTTAGCTGTCAAATACTTTTGTATTTTGAAGTAAATTAGTATAAATTTGTTTTTACTTTTATTTCGAAAAAGTAGCAATAATCGTAAAAGGGTATTGATAGGCTTGCTAAAGTAACTAATTTTAGCTGTCAAATACTTTTGTATTTTGAAGTAAATTAGTATAAATTTGTTTTTACTTTTATTTCGAAAAAGTAACAATAATCGTAAAAGGGTATTGATAGGCTTGCTAAAGTAACTAATTTTAGCTGTCAAATACTTTTGTATTTTGAAGTAAATTAGTAAAAATTTGATATTATTTTAACTCCCTTTGAAAACCTCAATTTTCCATACAGAGGGAACGGGAATAGCATCCAATATTCCCTGAGAATGGTTGCGCATTCTCAGTTCCCTCTATATTTCGAACAAAGCTCTCATCGGTCTTTTTTTTAATACTAAACGTTTTTTTTCCCTGTCACTTTTAGCTAAAATTTGGGTTTGCCCCTTGTTTATCTGACTTATTAGCAGCAAAAATATCTTTGCTCAAAAATAACATAAAATAAAGCGGGATTAATCTAAATGCACAAATTCCTGCAAGAATTGCAGAAGCACTTATAGGCTTTCCTTGACATTGATCTTCCGAAAGAAGATTTAAGTTGTTTGCGATTTCATTGTCTGTATATTCATCGGCATCAAAATCTGATAAATCAGTCTCTCCATTTTTAAAGTAGCAATTCAAAACTTCTGTATATCCATAACTTTCAGTAATAATTATGTGAGTTCCCGTATTATTAATAATATTGCATTCTTCAATTGTTAATTGGTTACATTTAAAATTACTGATAACTCTGTCTGTTACGGTGTTATTTATGACATTATATCGAAATAATTTTAGATCAGACCCGAAAACAGTCCTGATGCAATACGTTTGAGCTTTATTATTTGTTATTGAATTATAATCAGATTGCTTAATATTTCCAAAATTAGAAATGAAACCACAAATCGAATTAGTTCTGAAATTCGAGATATTAGTCTGCGTTAAGTGTTGGTTTCCTTGGTCAAAGCAGAATGGAGCATCTCCAATTTGAATCTCAGACGATCTAGAAAGTGTACTTTCTATCATGTAATTTTTGAAAGATCCTGAAGATGATTGGCTATAGCAATACTGACCAGAGTTTGTTGTCGAACAATTGAATGAGCAAATTCGGTTGTGAACAATTTCGCCATTTGTAGTGAGAACTGCCCCTCCATTTCCAGATGGATTTGATACACTAAAAAATGTACTATATTTAATAAGAAATTTAGAATATCCTGTTGAATTAATCGCACGATTATTAAATTCTTCGAAGAAACATTGTCTAACATTGTAATTTTGATTATCTTGGAAGGTGCCACTCTTTACATTTACGCATGGTCCTTTAAAAAATTGACTATATTGATAATGAGTAAGGAGCTTGAAGCAGTTTCGGATTTTGGCAAAATTTTGATGTATATAACTTGATCAAACAACATAATTCATGAAGTTGAGTCATACTGATTGTTCTTCTTAGTAAAATCTTAATATAGTATAGTAATTCATTTCATCAACATTTTGAGGCTCGATTTATTCATCCTTTTTGTCAGGAATACAATATCTCGCAATGTAATGTGTGGTTGCTTAATAAGTTATATGAAAGGCCAATATTTTTAAATCAATTCCATATGAAGGGAAATAAAATTAAACTCTTACGTACAATTAGATTATCCTTTTCGAAAGATGCAATTATTTTCATTGAAATGTTACGATTTTGAGGCAAATAAGATATTGGAATACAAAAAAGGAAATTTAACTATGTATTGCTTTTGATATATTGCTTCTATTAAAATTAGAGTATTACCAAATGTATTAGATGTCTAATATTATCGAAATAACGATAGTAGTATATGTGGAAGGGTTGTGTGACTTTTTTTGTAAACGTAAGAATTCATACAATATTGAACGATTTTGTATCATTTTTTTTAACATATGAAGTAAAAAATGTATGATTCTTACGGTTTTTATTCTTACGTTTTTGAATAAATCAAGATTTAAAAAATTGACTTCTTACGTAAAATTAAAACTAAGTTAAATTTATTTTTTTTATTTTTTTAATTCGTAAGAAAATGAGTGGATCAAGATTCGTAACCGTCAATCAATTAATGGATGCTCTTTCACCAATTCTTGAAAATGTTAAACAAGTAGATGTTTATTTCGATGATTATGTAGAAAGTTTATATTATAAAGGTAAGTTTAATATTAAACCTATTGCTTTTGCATTTGATAATAAATTAATTGAAAATGTAAAAATTTGGGAATTAATTCCGAATATTGAATTTATAACAAATATTAATGATAAATGGTTTAAACGAATTCCAACCACAAAAGTTCTTTGTAAATTAATGATCAAAACTGAGGAAAAAGAATTTAACGGGTTTAAATATCATCCAAATAAAGTTTCAGAACTAGAAAATGAAAAACTTCAGAAAAAATTAAATGATAGACTTTCAAATGATCGTATTGAAAAAATAAATAAACTAGCAGAAGTTGCATTTAATAATGAACTCAGTGATGGGCTTTAAGGACCCGGGCTCAACGAGTCATGATTTATGAAATCAATTATTTGATTCATTCTTTCTTCAATAATTTCTATTCTTTTTGTTAAATCATCTATTTTCATTAATGAGGTGATTCTTGATTGGGGAATAGATTTCAAACTAACCACTCCTTTTATTTTTGAAATTTTGAATCCATCAACTTTAAACATTTTATTCAATTTACATGTTGTCAATTCTTCAAATAATTTTTTATTATTAGCATAATAGTCATTAAATTCTTCAACAGATGAAAAAATTTTTATTTCAGTAATTGGTTTAACAATGTTTATTTTTTGTTGAACATTTTCACTTTCATTTATTTCTTCCTCCTCTGTCTCATTTATTTTTAAAATTGGTTTCATTTATCATTAAGGATACCCTTACGTGTCAGATTTTTTGCGCATACGAAGAAGTCATGCTAGACATGAGCTATAAACCTGAAATTTTAGCAACATATTTAAAACTTTTTAAACTACAATACACTTTAATATTCAAGAACAAAAATATTCTTTTTAGAAATTACATAATTATTTTATGTGAAATCTATATAAAAACATATTTTGCGAGCGTAACTTTTTTCTTTATAAGCACCTTATATGACTGATAAACTGTGAAGGCACATAATTGTTAATTCATAGAGTTGATATGTTTCCAAAATTGAGAGGAAATTTGAAAATTGAATACCCTTTCAATTCAATTTTCAAAAGATATCAGCTCCTTCAATAATTGAAGGACGATTTTGATCATTTGCTCTTAAAACAAGTATGCCATGGAGAAAAAAGTTACGCTCGCAAATCTGAAATATAACTATCATATAAAAAAATTAAATTTCTAATTTTTTACTCTATAGATATTATTGGCCACTTGTGTAATGCATAAAAGTTTATGTCATATGCATACATTTGGAAGTATGGGAGACGAGGGAAATTACTTCTATGAGGCACTAGGATTTTTAAAAATTTCTCTATCGGACTCACCATTCAATTTCTCGAAAATTAAAAAAAATCAATAATAGCTAAAATGTATTATGCATAACAAATTTTAATGTTACACGGTATTTTTTGAACTTCATGACATGAATTTTCTTTATATTATTTTTTTTTGGATTTTCTATGATTTATGCGATAGGCTGGAACAACATTGTAAGTGCAATGATATCATTTATAGAGAAATCTAAAACTTCAGCATTCAGAACTCGCAACCACAAAAATATTCATTTGCTAAGTAAGTAAAGTTGATTAAGTTCGACACTTAGCTTTTATACGTAAAACCAAGTGTGTATTGTTATTTCTTGTTAAATTATTGAGAAAAAAATAAATTGTAAGAGAAACGATACTGATTATTGAAATAATATTGAGGGTAGCTGCAGATTTCTTCATTAACATGCCGGAAATTTGTTAATCTTGGTTTTCTATCATAAAATCTGTCGAAGAATCTAAAAACGGAGATATGAAATAGAGATCATGTAAATCTAGAGTATCCTGTCAGAAAAATAGACTAAGCATGTAACCCTTTTTT